AAGTTGGACTTTAAGGGGAATAACTAGCTTATCCTGCTAAAGGGAAACCTTCGGCTTAAGAGATAGTCGTCTAACTGGGTTTCTAACTAGTAGACCGCTTCCTTAATTAAGCTTAGGAACATAAAGTTCTATATCCCCTCCTTTCTTATGCTTAAACTAAACTGCGGCACTATAAGCCTTAATTGCTCTTATGTCCGGCTTCTAGAAGAGCTATTGCTTAGTAGTGTCTTTAACGTATCTAATAAATATAGTATCCTTGCCCCTATTTATTAGTTTGTCTAATCTTATATCGGCTAGATAAGACTTTAGATCTATATAGACTACAGCTTTGCATCCCTAAACTCTAAAATGTGAGATAGACGGTCGAATTCTACTAAAAGCCTCTTTAGGTAAAACCTGAAAACCGTTAACTTCTGGGCTATTTAGGAGTGCATTCCTTATAGTAGTGCACGCTTTAAGGGCTTCTAGCTAGAATTTAATCGGCATTGCTAAGTCCTTTAGTATTACCCTTATATGTTCTTTAGAAGTCTAGATTAACCTCTTAACTACTCTATTTTAGATAGAGTTATATGCCTCGGTAGTGTAGTATACGATGCTATACTTACGCTCCTACTACTTAAGTAGGGCAAGAAGCTCTCTTACTCTATTACTGCGCACTACCTAGAGAGGTGTTCTAGTCTTAAGCTTAACCTTTCTTTTCTAAATTGCAAGGGATAACGGTGCATCTTCTCTAGACTTTAACGCAATAGTCTATTTCTTTCTTAAGAAATTATCTATAATCTTAAGCTACTATTTGTATCCTAGTCGTAATAATAGTAAGGGACTATAGATGTTAATTAAGACTAGCGAGAGAATATTAGGTTTTCTCTCCGTCTCCTTTCCTCTGTGCTTCTTTATCTTCGCTAATAAGTAGACTCTACAAGGTTAATGTTCTTTCGGAATAGGGATAGCCTTCTTTAAATCTGTTATAAGGTGTAGATTCTTAAGGAGCTTCTCTCTAAAGTATGTAAACCTCCTATACTAAAGCTCCTACTAATCGTATAACGTCTTAGTTGCAGTAAAGGCCTTCTAAATAGGAAGGATGTTTAGGGTTATAGAGGATAAGGTTTCTTACAGACTCCCGTTAATTTCTTCGATATACGGAACTCCCCTACGAACTTTTATTAGAATAACGGGTTTCCTAGATTCTAAAACGAGTGTAAATAATAGTAGTTAAACACTATACTAGCGGCTGAATTAGTGCTATAAAACAAGATTAACTCTAAGACCTAGTACGAATAAAACTTCTTTTAGGATAATAGGCTTTCCCTTTCTCCCTCCTATTACTGCATTTCCTATATGCGTAGCTCGAAAATAGCTACTACCGACCTTTATCTAAGTCCTTCGTTAGATAGGACTTAGTTCCCTAAAGAGGGATTCTTAGTTAGTTATATATAAAGAGGCATAAGAGTTAAGTAGCTATCTTAACGATAGGGACTTGCCTTTTACCTCGATAGTAAGGTAAGCAACTTCTTCGATCTTATTACCCTTAGATAGGGAATTCGATAATGTTAACGAAGTTAGAGAAGGTGCATCTTCCTAGATAGTATATGCCTTCTTCTTCTTAGACCTTTTATTAAGTCTCTAAGTTAGCCGTTTTATCTAAAACTAAAGTTCCTTAACTATCTTCTTAAGTTCATCCTTATCTAGTAAAGATTGTCGAGAGTTCCTCTTTAGAGATAACCTCTTCTAGATCCTTCTGGTCTTAGATTTCTTAATAGACCTCTTTGCGCTTAGGAGGTTAGGACATTCTCGCATTATATACTTTCCTTCGTATAGATAGTACTTAATCTTATATGCCCCTCCTCTCTTTGCAAATATCGCAGTCCCTTAGCTATCTTATTTAAAGTCTGCCTCCTAACTCTCTAGAAGCGTAAGGATCTCTTCGTAATTAAGCTTTTAGGCACGGATAGCTTGCTTTATACTTTAGTATTAAGGTAGTAGTACCGCTAGGAGGTGTTTAATCCGAACTTTAGGACTCTTGTAATTGTCCTAAGTCGGGTCCACTTCCGAAATCTTCCGGCCTAGTCGCGAGAGAAGTGCCTAAGCACTCCGTATACTCTTATTTTCCTCTATGCGGTAGGTAACTAGTTAGGTTACTAAAGCTATAGCATCGGCTTTATACACTTTGTTATACTTTGCCTTTAATCCTTCCTATATTTCTTTAGCTAAATTATTAAAAGAGAATTCATCCTTATTATCTTAGGATACGTAAAGGCGGAGGTAGAATCTAGCCTTTAAGTTCGCTTCTTTCTATATTAGGCTCCTTTAGAGGTAGCCTCTAATAGTTAAGCTCGTGCTTAAGTCTAGTGTTGCTTAATTATTAGGCTTAGTTTTAATAGCCTAGAATACCTTGCTAAATTATAAGTAGTCCGTTATTAATTAGAACTATTCCCTTTAATTTTCCCTTGTTAAAACTAGCACTAGCTTCTTAACTATTCTAAATCCACTCTCTTAATCTATAATTTCTTCTTAAAACAAATATTAAAATAAACTCCGAAAACAAAACTCCTTTCTACTCTAAAATGTTGCGTAATAGTTTCCGGATAGCTGTCTTCCTAGGTGCTAGTTACGTAACGTAAGTATAGCTGTTTAGTAGATTGTAGTAGGCTCTCTAAAGCTAGGACAGTCGTTAAATGTCCTATAGATTACTAGGCTCTACGAGGCCGACGTAACTTCCTTAAGTCCTTCTAGAAAGGGGGTTCTCCTTTCGGGTATTAATAGCGTTGTAGCTGTCTTACTAGGCTCTTTTACGGCTTATGCATACCTCTTAGACTTTTCTAAGAGCTTCGTATATACGGCGGGGGCGAGCCTCGAGTTAGCCTTCCTTTTTCTGCTTCTCTTTTAAAGTCTTATAGGTGTAGGGATAACCTATACTACATACGGTCGCGATGTAGTCGAGCTATAAACCCGGGCTTATAACCTGTCGAATTAAAGAGGGACGACGGATCTAAAATGGGTTCTTAGCTAGGCTAAGATATAGCGGAAGGACGACTATAAAGCACGCAGCTTCGTATAAAGGACGATATATAGGAACTAACCCGTAATGTAATTGTGTTAGTTAGCTAAGAGTATAGCTCTACCTCGGAGAGGTAGGGCTCTACGGTAATTACCTAAGTAGAAAGATCCATGTCGGCAATCCTATCTTAACTGTACTTTCTAACAATAACGCGCGTTTGCGACGATAGCCGGAATTAATATAATAGAGGTACCTACGAGCTCGTTAGATATAGAAACCTTAAGATATAGATAGTCGAACCTCTAGTATAAACCGAGTATAGTTAGGGATAGTAATAAGGTAGATATTAAGGAGGAGTAAGAAGAGGTAGTAGTCGCTAGGTTTTATAGCCGTAAAGCAGCTCGTGTTATATACTTCTAATCTATATAGCACCGTTTACTTATAAAGCTCGTACTAGGCTTCTACCTTAGTAAACGAACGTATACGTTAGAAGCTTCTATTAATAAATTCGTACTTCGTACTTCCTAGTTCGAGGCTACGAAATCTATTAATATCGGCTATATCCGAAGTAAGATAGATAATATAGTAAGGGAACCCCTAGTAGTAGCGCTACCGAGAAGACTCGCGGGTATTCGAACTAACCTATTAATAGAGCGTAGAACCTCGCGAAGGAGGTACCCTAGCCGACGATAGCTAAGAGGCGCCTAATAACTACGACGTCGACTATATCTTATAAGTCGGATCTCTAAGCGGTAGTAAGGTAAGTCTCCTATATATTTCTCTCTCCTATATACTAGCGATACTAACTATCCGATAGATCGTCGCCGATATAAGCGTCGAATCGAACGTAGACCTACTCTTAGCCGATAAGTAAGATAATACCTCCTAGTAGTTACCTCTATTTAGCTCTAATCTCCCGGCTACTTTTAGTAAACCTATCCTCTTCTATAAGCGGACGTTAATTAAGGAGATCTCCCGGAAGAAATATAAAGTAAACTCGAGTATTAGTAGTAATAGTAGTATTAGATATACTCTAGCCCTAAAAACCTTAGATGTTCTCTAGATAGGCCTTAAGAATCTAGATAAGGAAGAAAGCGATCGTATAAAGGAGTTTATACGAAGCTTAAAGTAGATAAAGTATACTAAGTACTATATCCGTATTTCGAAGAATCCTTACTCTAGTAATAATAGTATATCTCCTTTCCTATATTCCCCTAATAGTACTAACTTAATATAGACTTAGTAAGTATAGATATCGGCRTTACGTTTGTTAAGGACTCTTCTAGAAATATTAAGGGCATTTATAAGCACCTACTCCTTCTAACGGACGCGAAGAACGTCCCTTACCCTCCTATTCCTATTAACTACTACGGCTCTAAGCTATCCTTCTCTAAAGAGGAAACCTCTATTAGCTAGAACTATAAGTATATATAGCCGGTAAATAGTAAGTTATTCTTTAATACTTAGGGTAGCCGTAAGACGTACTTACTAAGTTACTAGATAGAGGACTATAGCGAAATCCCTACTAAGCTACTACCTAATAGGCTATACTAGGTAACGCGTAAGCTAAATAAAGCTACGGGCTAACTCTACTAGTCGTAAATAGGTTTCGGTAGGCTAAGATAGGCTTAGATAGTTCGATAGCGTATAGATCGTAACGGGGTAGGTATATAGCCGTTTAATAGTAGAACGGTTATAGTTCTACGAATACTACTACTATTAGATATAGTATAGCGACATCTCTAGCATCTCGATCTTACTTCGTAACGTAAAAACTTTTTATACGGTTCTATACGAATACGAATTACTAACTCTAGTTTTCCGGCTAGGCCCCGGCTTTCCCTTTATAGGTACAACCCTAACCCTATAAAACGACAGATTTGGCTGGAGATTTCCTTATTTCTTTATAGTCTTTAGATGCTTTATGAGCTTCTTGTCTGCTATACTGTTAATCTAACCTTGCCCTCTCGACCTATCATACGGCACAAGAGACAAGACGCAATCAGCTAAAGTCAACAACAACTTCAGTTGCAAGCGTGGGTCCCAGAACTGCCGCGAACTCTGCGAATAGACCTTTTAATGTCGAGCGGTCCATTTCGTCGCCATCATCCCATACTGTGATGTTCTGTAGCATGAGTCAGAAAATATCGCGTGAATCCGCTGCAAGAAAGTCATCGACTTACCGTCGCGAGATGCACTTTGCCCTGACCAGGATGAATCTTCATCGCATCAAGATCAATCTCCTCTTTGATACCTTCAAGAGACATGACACCAGGCATTCCCAATTGCAGCAGTGAAAGTCCGGATTCCATCGCGTCATGCGGCAGAGGGTGTAGAATCTCGTCAACATCATCACCACCACCGCCTCCCTCCTCCTTCAGCGCCTTCCTCTTCCGTTCCTCCGACATACTAGCAAACTTCCTCCTCTCCATCAACCCCTTCACCTCCTCATCTAGAGGATTCCACTCCAAACTGACATTGTCAAGAACTTCCTGCGGTTTAAAATCTCCTTTATACCGCATCTTCTTACAACTGTGAATGTAATACCCCATGTAATAGTACTCATACCCGCCCTCGATCGCCAGTCCAGCTTCTCTGCATGCAGAAAGCTTGCCAAAAGACCATTTCTCGAAATCGGAGTGGTAGATGAAGTAGACGCCACTGACGGCATGAGGAAGAAGATCTAGGACTGCCATGGCGATCAATCGGCCATCTAGGCGGTAGCATTGGTGGAAGCTTCCGAGTTGTTTGCCATTGGGTTCAGTTCGACTCTTTATGGCTGAGGAGCAGAGGAAGCGTTTGAATCCGGGACGAGAAATCTCGCTTTCTGATTCGTGGTGCACGGTGCGTTGGTAGTTGGAGAAGAGGGCGAACTTTTCTTCTGTGAAGGTGTCCGGTTCGAGGGTTATTTCAAAACGATGGTCTGGAATGAGGCCTGGGCGGAGATTGGGGATTTCGCTTTCGTGGATTGTGGATAGGAGGTCGAATTCGGTGTTGAGGCGTTTCTTTTCTCTGTGCTTGAGGGTTAGATTGCGGTGGGACGGAGGGTGAGAGATATGGCATGCTCTTTTGTTTTGGGGAATTTTATGCTGGCTTCTTTGATGTACTTCTCCCCGAGCACATATCGATTCCAACGATACAAGGCCTGGCGTTGATCGCGTGTGGGCTTGAATTGTGATGCTGCGAGGCGGATTGTATAGTGCGGACAGCAGGATCTAGAGGCGTCTGGGAGATAGAGCAGGCTTCCTGATCTTCTCCATCCTCGATCCATGAGAGTTTGGTAATGCTCTGGGCTGAGAACCTTGGATCGTGCATAATAGCTTGCACCTACAGAGTGTCAGTCCGCCACTTCTCCTGGCAATTGCCGGACGGATGTGAGACGGATTGTGAATAAAAGTCATGATGATGCAGAAAGAACATTTAGGTGGGACAATGAACGCCGACGATACGACACTGGGAAGTAGAATGCACACCAAGGAAACGCACGGGATCGAGGAGTTCGYTKACTTGAATCTTCGGCTTTGCAATAGCCACAATCGCCGCACTGATAGCCTAAAGCGGGAGAAAGAACACTTAGCCTGGGTATGAGGATGAGATGGTATAGAAATGCGATGTGATGTGACGCTATGCGGCGGCCTGACGTCGACACATGGTACATCACCTTGTGTGTCGTGTGCTCGATGAAACCAGCAGAGGTGGGTGAGGTGCAAGCGTTGCAAGGCCCACGAAGCTCACACCGAGCACGCGGTCAATGCCAGGCCAACGATTGGTTTAGGCTCGCTTACCGATGGGACTTAGGAGCGACAGAGCTGGGCCTGATGAGCTTCTGTTCTGCATGACGGCGAGCTGGGGCCGAAGCTAGAGACAGTGGAGTGGCTTGGATGTCGTGGCGTGGGAAATGCGTCGAGGGATTGAAAAATGAATTGAATGGAATGGGATGGGAGAGTTCTGGAAGCGGTCGACGAGCAATTGGTAGCGCCCACGTCTTGTCCGGTCCTCGCGGGAGATGGGGCGGTAGATGCTGTCCCACGTGTCTGTAGGTATGTGTGAAGAAGTTGTTGCCGGGAAGAAACGAATGCAGATCATGGCAGAGAGCAGGAGCACCCCACTCCACAACCAGCACCTTCCCAACTTCCACCATGTTCTTCCTACCTAGTCACGGCCATCCCGCGGCATGATGATCCAAATTTTCATCATTACCTACAAGCCCATACGCAGGCGCTTCACTCGGAAAGCAACCTTGGAAGGAAAGGAAAGCAAAGCGGTGCAAACTTTCCAGGGGTGGMCTCTCACCCATGGTCCTTGGATGCGGCCCAGGCCAAAAAAAGGGTAATCAAATATTGAATGGGCCTTTAGCGAGGTACAGTAGGGTGTTATTCTAGGTAGCTCACGGAAATAGAGACGGGAGAAATACCTTACCCTCCCTAGCGTCTGCCGTCCACCAACCTCGATCTTCTACCCACACATCTACCCTCACAATGTCAACCGCAACGCAAGGCCTCCTGCGCCTCTCCAGGTCAGACACTCGTCCGCAACCCCGGCGCAAGCTGGTCTGAGGACGAAGAATCCCAACTCGTCTCCAAGCTTCTCGTGAACTTGGACCGTCCCATCACCGCAGTCGCTTGCTCACGGCAACTCCTGGTGGAATCTTTTGAGGACAGTGACACCCGTTTTGATCCGTTGCGACAACCTTATAAGCCTCCCTCCTCACCCCTCTGCAAAAAAGATTCGTCATTGCGACTGAACATTATACACAAATCACCCCCAAACTACTCTACACTCCTTCCTTGGTATACTCCAACATCCGACACATTCCGGCCCGTCATGGCGCAGCAACAAACGAGCGAGAGATCTATGCACGCACGAGTGGGAAGAGACAAACAGAGGTATGTCGCTGATTCCTCACCCTTGACCCTTGATATCCCATCACCCCGCTGATCACGTGCTCCCTTAGATATGGTCTTTCCGGCGAGCGCCTAGTAGCAGGCGTGGTGCCGCTTTCCTCCGACCGCACCAAAGTCCTCATGATCCAATCTTCCAGTCGCAAAGGCTGGGTCCTCCCCAAAGGCGGTTGGGAAACCGACGAAAAGACACAACAAGATGCCGCTTGCCGTGAGGCCTGGGAGGAAGCCGGCATCGAATGCAAAATCGAGCGAGATCTCGGTACGATTGAGGAGAAGCGTACTGAGGCTGCAATCAAGAAGGATGGGACCAGAGCTCCGAGGGCTTCGTATAGATTTTATGAAGTCAAGGTGAAGCAGGAGCTGGATCATTGGCCGGAACAGCACAAGCGGGATCGATTGTGGATGAGTTTCAAGTCTGCGCAGGAGCAGTTGAAGGATCGGCCGGAGTTGCTTGAGGCGCTGGAGAGGAGCAGTATCATCAAGCGATAGTGAGGGCTGGCTTGGCCTTGGGGAGTTGAGATGTAACTATCTCCTTTCCTACCATGCAAAAGTTGATTGTCAGAGCGAATTCAAATGGTAGCACTCTGGAGATGGGCATAATTAAAGGCTTGTTCTCAAGACCTTTGCAGGTCCGTGGGTCAAAGCTGGGAGTGAACCCACAAGGGAACGGATTTGAATTCATCACGCCTCTCCTGCGCACATGCGCACATTGCTTCTCCGCTCGCTCACCCATCATCGCATTTCAAACTGTTGAACCATTGCCTGCCACTGTTGGGCTTTCCTGTTACGCCGATTAAATCCATCCCAACCGTTCATTCATGCCGTGCTGTCCCGTGATCCCCAAAACTCCAGCATACACAATGCAAAGTGATCATCCCGCGTGTGTGTTCTCGCTACTCGCTTCGTAGCATCGACTCCACAAGCTCGCCCAGAGGTCCGTACCACTCTCCCTTCTTGTTACCCTTCTCATCCGCCAATCCAAACTCCTCAACAAACAGCACGTAATGCTTGAAGCCGGTGTTCAGGTGTGCCTCGAGTCCCAGACCACGCACCACACCGTAGTGGTGGCAGTAGATGTGTGCGTAGATACGGTACAGTCGCTTGAAGATGGTGCGAATGGTTTGTTGGAAATTGGGTGGGAATGCAACTCCTGGGTGGGTGGGGAAGACGGATGCGTTGGAGAGGTGGTTGGAGGTCCAGGAGAGTAGGTGTGAGATGTAGGTCGGTGCCGGGAGGCGTGTCGGCTTGGGAAAGGCGGGAGGATCGTGCCACAGGTACTCGAACTCGTCCGTGGCCTTCATCTCTGGACAAGATGCAGGAGAGCAGAACTCTGTGATGGCGCCGTAGAGGAGGTTGATCTGGTTGTAGAAGTCGACCACTTGGGATGGGATTAGAATGAGACTCGTCCATATGGCTGGCTGGTTCATGCTATACTCACCGTTCACCGCCAACCACTCGTCTCGATCCTCGCCCTCGGGGAGCTGCACCACCTTGCGCAGACTACCACTACCCAGCGTGGCGTCCGCAAACTGCTTCAACTGCCAGCTGTTGGTCCCCTTGGAGCGCTTCTGCGGCTGAAAGGCATTCCGCTGGGTGCGCGCATTGCTGTTGCTGCGCGACAAAAGGTCAGCTTTGGCTGCGATATCCCATAGACCCAAGTCCATCATTGCGCGGCCTCGCTGTATCTCATGCTGTCGCTTCTCATGGCGAGGGGGAATCGGGGGTTGTGCATGTGATGGAGGCGGGTCGGACTGATCAAAGACATTCTGAATATGCCGCTGCAGTGGCGAGTGATAGACGGCCTCTGGGCTCTCGGGGTGTTGTTCGTGGGGGTGGAAATGGGTGTACGACTCGGAGCTGGCGAGCACGTTGGACTGCACGGCGGGCAAGGGCTGTGACGCCTGCGAGTAGGGCTGGGGAGGGGAGGTGTGTACGAACATGGTGTTGATGAACGAGGTCATCGTGTCAAGGTGCTGACAGTATATGGACAGGCAGGCCTGCTAGACTATTCTACATTCCACATGGATGGGTTAGTTGGCGGGGGAAACGGTGAATGGTCGGCACGGAGGGAGATCATACAMTGCACTCCTTGGGCCGTCGATCAGACTCGGTGGATTTGGAGCTTGGGAAGCGAATGTGATGGCGATGGGCTGGTCAAGTGGTGGAGTGTGTTTTGGCGTTGTGTGATGTTGGGTTGCGGTCGGGCAAGTACAAGCAAGCACAATCGATGCTGTTTCAACTCGCCCGACGTTTCGGCCTGCTTCTCAGCCCGGGCGGCAAAGTAAACAAGAAAACAGTTGCATGACGACCGCACGTCATATTCCAACTTCACAAAACATCGACACGGAAGGCCTGTGGGAATGGGCGGAAGATCGTTGGTATCATCTGAGCCACGAGGACAGCATGATTACTCCCCCATCAGCGTTCTTGATGAGAGGCTGATATTCGGGTAAGGGTTAGGGTTGGGGTAGTGGGCATTTGACGGTATACCTCCAACGCACGTCAACATCATGATCTTGATTGACAAAGCAAAGCTTGACTGGGCTTTGAAGATGATTCTCATGCCTTCTAGACGAAACATTTGTTCTCCGCGTAGTTTTGGACGAGTTTAGCTTGGAGTTGACTTTTTAACACACTTTCTGAAGTAACACCTTAACAGATGTACTGATCTGAGTGTTTGCCAACGTGGACAGTCTACCGTCGTCACACGGAAACGAGGAGTGTGCAGAATGCCTACTATCATACATCCATTCCAATCGAAAAAGCAACGAGAAACTCCAAAGGGTATGGCATCTGCCAGGTATCAAGGACAGGCTACGGCACATCTGCATCAGAGCTCCTCTCTAATCCCATCCCTCCGCATCCTTCGATACAGGCATAGTGGCATCAAACCGAGCCCACACAGCCCCCGCTTTCATATCCAGCTCACCACTGTGAAAAATCAGTAAAAATTTCTCCCAACAACTCCCAGATACAGCGGGACTTACTCATACATGTCCTTCACAACCGGTTCAGTCTTCCCATTCTCCTCGTCTGGATTCACGAAAACCATGTTACGTTTCAACCCCAATGACATATGGATCGCTCTCGGCGTTCTTTCAAACTCCGCTTCGGCTTTCTCACCAGAGATCATAGAGACGATGTTGGTTGCCGTAGCTTTGGCTTGGCTTGCTCCGGGTCGAGCGGCTTTGTACAGGCCGGTATCGGCGACATCGCCCACCGCGAAAATGTGTGGATAGGCGTCATCTTGTATCTGAAGGGTGTTCTCGATGCGAATGTATCCGTTGGAGGGGTTGACCAGGCCCTCGGGGTTTGTGGTGGGGAGAGAATTGACGAGCTCGCTGTTGGGCGTTTGGCCAGTAGCCGCGATGACGAAGTTGGTTTCGATGTGCTGGCCATTGGTGAGGGCTACTGTGAATGGACCGCCGTCCTCGGGAAATCCACCCTCGGGGACCTTTGCCCGGGTGTTGAGGATGAGTCTATGAATGTTAGCGTTGTTGCATGTTGCGATTTGAGTTGAGCACTCACTGTATGCCATGATCATCAAAGGACTTCTCAAGAATGGTAGAGAAATTGCGGTGGAACTGATGCATCAATGCGMCTCGCGAGTGGACCAAAGTGACTTCTTTCTCGGGATTGAGCTCCTTCAGATCGAGCGACATTTGAACGCCTACGGCACCTCCGCCGATGATCGTAATGTGTTTTGCCCGTTGAAGTTTCTTCTGGTACGAATTCAAGAATTGTATCGAAGATGGTTTGTCGTTGTACGGCATCATTGATGGAGCCGCCAATCTGGTTCCAGTAGCCAGGACGAGGTAGTCGAAAGGAATCTTGTTTAAACCCTCCCACTTTGTGTCGATTTCAACATTCTGGGCGTCGATGCGGGTCGCGCGAGCTCTGATGGCTTTGTGTTGCATTCCTTTGGTGAAGATGACGGAATATGGGATGAAAGCTTTGTGCTCGTGACCGTTTAGTATGGCGTATCGAGGCTTCAAATCGATGTCAGTGAGTGTGAATGTCATGACTTGTTCGTTACATACAAAGGCAAAGATGTGATTGAAGTGGCTGTGGGGTTCAATCAGGAGAACTCGGTGGGTCGATGGGAGCATTGCCATGAGCTGGCGAACAGTGTTCTCACGACCTGTCAGTCCAATGTAACTTGTCAGTCGACCCATGACTTACGATTCCAACATAAGAGCCGCCAATCACTACAACGTTCTTCAGAGCGGTAGCCATTTTGAAAAGCCGAGACGCGAAAGTTTATAGGAGAAAAGATCAGAAGCCTTGGGAGCATGTGAAAGATTGATAACGCGAGGAGAGGATACTTATCTGATCGAGGACTTAACGATGATTTGCCGGATTCTTACTCACGCTGACTGCCGACATTACTACAGTACATGCCTACGACGATTCATCATCCGGAGCGTGGTGGGGTGTGGCATCGTTTGAGACGTGTTCCGGCTGCTGTGTCGGAAGACGGGAAAAGTTCATTCCAGATTTGATTACGGAAGACGTGGATGCGGCATCTTTCCGCGGTGTCTCACAGCCGTGAAAAGTTGTCGAAGTCTGTGTCATGGTTGCTTCCGGCTTTGGCATCTGGATATTTGCAGGCATGCCTTCGCTGGAGTTCGTCGGCTCCCGTGTCCAAGTTCGAGCTTTGAATGTGAAGCACAGGATGTTCCCTTTTCGATCGGCTCACTTGGGCAGGARGCCAAGCATGCCAGGGTCTTGCCTTACTTGATGGGGATGTTTTGCATCACTCTTCAAGTCATTCACTCACAGGTGTCGCTCCCTCCCAATGGGGACACAGTGGCAAGAATTAACATGCGGCGTGGAGTTGCAACATGAAAAAGGAGTAATATTGTCTTCATGTGTCCGTCCTGTACACGAGGGGCAACTGTCCTCTACAGCGTCTCGCCACATTGGAGGATCCCAGACCCACAGAGTCCACTCGAGAATCATGGCGCTCATACGATAGCAGGGAATCTTTATTTGCAAAATTGTAGCGAAAGCAGGCCAAGGACGCCTTGTGATGCAAAAAGAGCTGGAATGAATCACCGTCGTGGCAAGCTTTCCAATAAATTCCAAGCACTTGGTGTGAGAACCTTACCAGGAGACTCTCTCGGCAGTTGAGTTGTACGTTCCTTGCCTAGCACGTCCGGTCGTGAGTGGGTCATTGCAATGTCTGGTGATGAGAAGAAAAAGCGGAGCGGAGACGAAGACACGTCTCGCACTTTCCCGCCCCAACATACGACCAATCGGAGTGCTGAGAGCCGACGGGAGTCAGCACTAGCCTGAATAGGGAATTTACTACAGGCTATTCGGCCTGCAGCTTGCCGCATTCGCATGGCATACAAATGCTGCCATCTGCGTGATACTCGAACCTTGAAACCCCATACACCTCACTCGATTGTTCTTGATATTCAAAGTCACGATGTCTATGTCACTGGAAGATGCTGCGGTGGTGCGGGAGGCGAAGCCGGTCCCAAACACACCAGAGAGCGTTTTTGCCCAGCTCCGGATGGATGGCAAGGTTGTGGCGATCACGGGAGGAGCAGATGGTATTGGATTCGCCGTTGCGGAGGCAGTAGCAGAAGCCGGAGCCAATGTCGCACTATGGTACAACTCCAACTCTGCCGCAATCGCAAGAAGCAAAGACCTGGAAGCGAAATTCGGGATCAAGTCCAAGGCATACCAGGTCGAGGTTTCGGACCACAAGGCCGTACAGGAGACTATGTCGAAGGTAGTTGCAGACTTCGGAAAGCTTGATGTGTTTGTTGCGAATGCTGGTATGGCCATCTCCAAGGCCATTACTGAGCAGACTGTGGAGGAGTACAGGAAACAGATGTCCGTTAACCGTAAGTATTGTTCCACGCCCCCCCAGCGTATGATATACCCCGGTTGACATGAAACAGTTGACGGAGTCTTCTACTGTGCTAAATATGCCGGCGAGATCTTCAAGAGCCAAGGGTTTGGCAATCTTATCATCACATCCAGCATTTCCGCACACATAGTCAACGTTCCCGTAGACCAGCCGGTAAGATCATCATTGACAAACCCAACCGTATGATTGGTATACTAACAGCTTCTAGGTCTACAACTCCACAAAAGCGGCTGTGACTCACCTTGGAAAGAGTCTGGCGCGAGAGTGGCGAGAGTTCGCCCGTGTGAATGTCGTTTCACCTGGTTTCTTCGACACAAAGATGGGCGCTTCACCGCGAGTTGTCAACGAAGCATACCGTATGACACCTCTTGGACGCATGGGCCATGTTAAGGAGATCAAGGGGTTGTACTTGTATCTAGCTAGTGATGCTTCGTCGTATCAGACTGGCAGTGATGTTATCATTGATGGAGGATACGTTCTGCCGTAGATTAACAGCAGCAATGTAAATTCCAAATCTGTCTGCTTTACTTCTTCCATGTCATCTATTTCAAACAGGGTGTTGATCTGGTAGTCAAGTTAGGAAGTAACGGAATGAAGAATTTGTATGCTTTAATGGTTTGATTTCCACTTCTAGCCCCGTCAAGTCATCTCGGACGGCCCTGGGTAGGATCTAAAGCGGCACAAGATAGCGTTCGATGTGCGACAAAAGCATGCTTACGCTTCTCTTACAACTGCTCTCCAATCTTAAGCAACATCTCATTCGATGCAGTTAAGATTACTTCAATTGGCTGAACAGAGCCTTAAAAGTCATTGAATGTAAAGTGAGGCGGAAACAATATTGAGTTGGTGGGAACGACGGCGACTTGACCATYTCAACGTCATCTCTTCGTCTTTAACAACTATTGACTGCATTCGAACCCTAGCAGCCTAAAAGACGATTGCTCCCCCATCGATGACAATATCAGCTCCGTTGATGTACGAACCCGCATTACTCGTAAGGAGCACGACAGCTCCAGTCAGCTCACCAGGCTGTCCCAAGCGACCGGTAGGATTTCGATCTGTCCAAGTTGCTCTTGCAGTAGCCAATCCATCACCCTCATTCAAGACGGTATCCATATATCCCGGACTGATGCTGTTGACTCGAATTCCGTGTTGAGCCCACTCTGCGGCAAGACAGTTCTTGAGCGTTACCAAACCCGCTTTGCTTACATTATAAGCAGCTTGAGGTTGAGGAAAGTTTACTCGATGAGCAGATATGGATGCCGTAAAAGTGATGGAGCCGCCGGTGTTCTGTACTTTCATCAATCGAGCAACACTCTGCGCACATAAGAACGAGCCCGTGGTATTCACATCGACGACTCTTCGCCATTCGGCTGCGCTGACATCCATAGAATGTACGCAGCCAACGATTCCACTGAAGCAAAGGAGATGATTCAGGGACCCGAGCCACATGGAGGCTTTTTGAACGGCTGCTTCGACTGCAGCATCGTCTGTAACATCTACCCGATAGGCATCGATGTTTCGCCCGGGAAATCGACTTTGAAGTAGCTTGACAGCTGTCGTGTTCTGCTCCACGCTCATATCAAAGATGACCAGGCCGGAGAGTCCATGTTCAAGTAGTGCGCTGCATGCCTCGAATCCAAGAGTTCCCGCTCCACCAGTAACGATGGCATTTCCTGAGACCGCAAATCTTAGCCGAGCTCGCTCTTCTGGATTCGAGTCGAGTGCTGCTGAGGGTCCTTTTTGGCTTTTGTCGCCTAATACCATGTGAGGTATCTCCCTCGCCGCGAGAGACGCTCGTGCCGTTTCATGTTGAGCTGTGCCATTGCTCTGTCCGTTTGTCGACATGATGATAATCTTGAGAAAACAAAGCTTGATGATGTGATGTGTTCAAAGTGTTCCTTCTTGGGACCGAAACCTCTAAAGATCATGTGCTTTGAAGTATGGAGCCAATGGTCGATCATAACTAAGCATACGGCTTGATCGCGGCCGATTTGTCGGGAGACAGTTGCCCGATGGTGGRGACGGGGGACTTGCTTCGCAGCGAGCATTGCGATGGAGTGACTCGACGCATCGGAGTGGGATAGAAGGCCTAGGAGACTGCGGCTTAGCAAGATCCTCGGCCAATCCAATGGAGAGCGACATGCAAAGAACATCAAGCAGCATCTGCTGTGAACTAAACCATTAGCCTGCTCATGATCGATGATCTCAATGTAGCTGCCTACCAGTAGGGTGGTGGAATATACTCAAGACCTGTGACTTTTGGAGTGGTATCCCATCGTTGATGTGGCGTACTCCCGATTGTCCGTTTTCTTTCCGTGTTTACAGCATTCAGTGTTGCTAAACGCTAAACATCGCGCAAGTGTTGACCAGGAATGACCTCTACGTATAGAGATCCCCCGCCCCGAAATCGTCCATACCATTGAAAAGACTGTGCAGCGACAAATCCGCCGCATTGCCCCATTCAGCCAGGACGAGATTGGGAATCGCTTGATCATAGTCGAGAGGAATACTGCTCGGGTCTGTAGGTGGGTCTTGAGGACCAAGGATGTGCTGCATGCCATTGTTGACCTGAAGACCATTCGATCCATCAGAAACTCCATGCGAACTCATGCCCGCCTGGAGGGTTGCATCAAGCGGAATGATACCACTAGTCTGCCTGACAACGTCTCGAAGACGATGGATGATGCGGTATGCTCGATTTGCTGCAGCGTTCTTTGCCTGGAGAGCTTCGATGCAATTCACAGCCATGGACGCCGTGTTTTCATAGTGTTGCGTGTCCACGTCGTCGAACTGCCGACCAGCACGCCAACGATATACACACTGAGACGTAAAAGAGAGCATCGCCTGTAAGGTGAAGTAGACCGCATACCAGGCCAATCCACTGTGTAAATGGTCTGGATGATGATCACAGAAAGTAGCAATGTCACTGATGGAGGACACAGCGACTTCCTGACACCTTGATCCAACGGCCAGCTTCTCGAACTCATCTGTTCGATGTCTTTGACTTGCCAGGAGTAGCAAGATACGGAGATTCGCCGCTTTCCAGTGGATCGTCTGTCTAGGACCGAGAAACCAGGCCGGGACGTTTGCACTGGTCATGTAAGCTGGCAAAGCTGATTGCCAGTTTTGTATCATGTGCTCCATCACAACGGTCAGATGATCTACATCTGCGCACGAGCCTGCACAGATCACCTCATTGTACACTTTGTTCGCGATCTTGGTCAAACGAGCCAAAGCGGTGATTAGAGAGCATGTTGTTGGACCAGTCACATCGATCAATCTCCCCGAACTGTCAAGCGCCTCTTCCTCAACGTTCTGCGGCATCTGTACGTCGAAATTTGCATCGGACAGCAACGATGGCCTTCCGGTGGTGATATTAAACCAGCTATCGAAGCAGTACAGGACCCAGAAAACGATTCGTCGGCGATGTCTTTTAAAAGGGCTCGCGGGCGAAGTACTGGGTAGCTCTCGATGCAGACCAAGACCCATGGCTAGTCTCAAAGCCAGACCCAAGTAGTTGTATCCTGTATTGGGACGATCCGTCTTCTGCAGGTAGTTGCCAAGGATCAAGAAGGATTGCACACCGTTGATAGAACCCGACTCGAGAACTTCGGGCTTCAGCAATGATCTTGCAGCCTCGTAGTAGAGGGATGGTTGATCATCGGTGCCACTGCCAGAAACCCACTCACCCATAGCCAGGACAGCATAGTACGTAATGTGCCATGAAGAGCTGCGAGGCAACGATTTTCGGGTACTGCATTGATCACGGAATGATTTCTCATGCAAGATCGGATAGCTGGTGTTGTACTTTGCAAAGTACGCCGAAATCAGCTGCTCTTGGATGAAAGCGGTTGAAAGAGAGCTTGAATACAAGTGCGGAAGGCCAGGTGCAGACGAGTTGGACATTGGCGTTTCATGCGGCGCTCGTTCGCTCCGCCGGACGGCGCTGGTGGAGGGGGGAAGAAAAGATGAAACGGACTGTAAGAGTTCGTGACCGGAGCTCGTGCCTGGTGAGCTGGTCAGTGTAGGATGTATAGGGGGAATATGTGAATTGCTATACCTAAATAGCCCGAGCCTGATTTTCGACTGGTGAGCGCTCCCATACCATCTCTTGCATGATCACTATCAGACGACTGCTCTCGCGCCTCGGGATCCGTTGCTTCATTCCACTCGTAGTCTGCGATACCCTCTCCCGGATTGTTCGCCCTCAGCGTTGTTTGTTGGTGTTCGGCCGCACTACTCGAATCTGAAGGCATGGCAGTCTCACGCTGCTGCTGGAGCATCAGTTCTAATTGTCGACATCGTGCTTCAGCCTGGTCAAGATTCTGCCGCGTGAGAGGGGTTCTTTGCGGTGGTTCCTCAAACACGCAGGCCTTTCCGGCTCGTCGGCAAAAACCACAATGGGAACCGTCTTCGCTGAGTGTGCATTTCGTCTTTCTTCTCTGGCACTCATTGCACGCCTTTTCGGCCGTGCCTCTTCTCGCGCTGCGGTCTGCTGGCATGGTCGGCGCCGTGCAGCCCGACGCAACATGGATGCGGGGAAGTTGGATTCGGGTGACTATGAGCGATGGAAGGTCGGCACACCTGGCACGCTTCGGAAGGCAGTGCTCCGGATCGCTTGGCGCACTAGGTCACCCCCTGAAGCCTAACGTCGAAGTGTGCCTCAAATCCGGGCACTCCTCACGGCTTGGCACAGTTGTGAAGGGATCAAGATATTCATTTCTCATTCTGCGAGCCTTTTGAGCTGACTGATAGAAGTTATGCAGCCTGAGGTACTGCTCAGTAACAACGAGCAAGTTCCTCACCTGCTGGACCGTATTGCGAAGCTTCGAAATTCATCTCGCGATGATCAACGAGTCTTGATCGCCGTGGCAGGAGGCCCAGGCTCGGGCAAATCGACTCTATGTACAACGCTGCTTCAACGTGCGCAAGAAGAGGGACTTCATGACATGATCGCCGTACCGATGGTCAGCTACGTTGGTCGACCGCAGAGAGAGACAAGCCCAGCTAATCGATCGAACATAGGACGGCTTCCACTATCCCAAGTCCCATCTTGCAGCTTTGGATGACCCTGCTGAAGCTTTTGCACGTCGAGGTGMACCGTTTACCTTCGATGCTCACGGATTTGTCGAAGCTGTTGCGAAGCTCAAAGCTTCATTCGCAAATGCCCGTGCTGAAGTCTCATTCCCTGGTTTTGATCATGCCCTTCAAGATCCAGTAGAGAACCAAATCGTCGTGGCGGCGACGACCAAAGTCGTTCTTCTTGAAGGTAACTATGTACTTCTCGACGAGAAGCCATGGGACGAAGTTGCGAAGATGGTCGACGATAGGTGAGTTAATATCTAATGCATATGCAAAGGCGGACATTGTTGACCATAGTATTGCTGTCGGCTAGATGGTATATCGAKGTAGCCAGAGAAGTTGCCAAGGCGAGGCTGGTGGAACGACATATGCGTGCAGGAATTGAGACGTGCCCTCTTGCAGCGGCTGCCAGGGCAGAGGAGAACGACTTGCAAAACGCGGACCATATTGCTCGTCGATTGATAACACCAGATATCGTTATTCAAAGCTTCTAGTCTGTTGGATGGTGTGTTTTGCGTCACTTTTGTTCTCTGTAATGAGTACCAGCGCTATTGATATGAAGTTCGTTTCTGCAGTCCGAAGGCGACCAGCCGTGCTAAACTGTGGAGATGAGCCATTGGAGGAKTCCATCGTCTCGAAGGACCAGATCTTTCGCTGATCAAAGGTGGTCGACTGTCAACGGTAGGAAGCCACCAAAGTGTCACGCGAACTCAGGCCGGAGTAATGTCGTGGCGTGATGTCAGCTAAACTCTCTTCGAGACCGGAGTGCTCTTGACCGAGCGGGGCGTCAGGCATGTACCATGTGTTGTGGCTGGAGACTTTCGGACAATGTCGACCGATGAGCCTCTGAGAGATACGCAGTGGAGTCTGAACTCGCTTGCATTCGACACCGTAGCATGGAAACTCTAAGGGGGTTGGGGTCATGCGGAAACCTGTCTTGGGTAAAGCATTGGGGGATAAAGTACCTGGGATCGACCACCATTTCTCCAGGATTTCCCCATATTTCCCCATCGCTACCTCGAACTCTACTCCCACGTGGCAGACACGTTCACGCCCAACCATGAGTGACTTGAAGGATGACATGAAGCATGCAGAGTACAGGGTGGAAGATACTTCCGATATCAATGCGACGGAGACATTGGAGACCAAGTTTGCATGTATGCCTCTCCAGTCCCACGAACCCCTGTAACCAGCTCACATTCAACAGCTTTGGGCCGATGGCAAGCCGCGAGAGTCTTTTGGAAGGCCATGCTCTTCTGTATGATATTGAACTGGGCAGCATTGAACGATGGTGTGAGTATTGGCCCTCTACCTACGAAAACGTCGCATACGCTAAAGATTGCTGCAGTTCCAACAACAAGTACCCGGCAACATCATTCCCCTACCAGCATTCGTCAGACAAATGGCGGACACGGTTGTAGATGGCAAGCCTGCCATCAGCGCTACAACTGTATCCTTTTGGCAGGGTTTTGCGGAAATGTCAAAGATGGTGGGAATGTTTGCTGGGGGATATTTTGCCGACAAGCTCGGGCGCAAGTATGCAGCATGCTTCGTATCGTCCAGACACAGAGCTGATACGTTGACTTCAGGAGAGCAATGATGGTTGCCATTGCAATCCTCCTCGCGGGATCAGTGGCTGAGATTGCCTCCAACGACTGGCAGAGCTGGCTCGGTGCTGCGGTCCTTGTCCGTCTTGGTGTCGGTCTTGCCCAGTCMATTCTGGTCACTTATATTTCAGAATTGGCGCCCTTTCAAATCCGTGGACTCATGATCGGTGCCTATCAACTCATGCTTGCGTTTGGCCAATTGCTATGCGCAGTGGCAGCACAACTGGTCCAGGTCAACAGGCCGAATGAATGGAGACCCCTGATTGCGACCGAATTCATCTTTACTGGTGTACGTTCCAAARGGCATGATCTGGGTGGTATCGTATACTGATGTGGGTGTGTTAGATCCTGATCCTCATGATTTGGGCAGTCCCAGAGTCCCCGATCTACCATGCACGTAATGGAGACGCGGAGCGTGCGAAGCGGTCGATGAAACAACTCTACGGTGGCATTGAGAATTTCGACATCGAGTACGAATACCGCGTGATTGAGCACGGTATTCAGGCTGAGATGGCGCTCATCCTCGCTTCGAAAGAATCTTCATTCTTGGACATTTTCCGTGGTACCAATTGGCGTCGAACCGTGGCTGGAGCCGTGGGTATCTGCACTCAGTGGGCGGCAGGTGCTCCGATCGTATTCAGCTACTCCACGGTAAGTTCGTTTCCTGTGGATCGTGCTGGAGTGTTTCACTAACGGGCATGATGTAGTACTTTTTCGAGGTTGCCGGGATGAAAGATCCCTTCATCGTTAGCATATTGACATTCGTTCTGCTGATTATTTCAATCTCCTGTTCATTGGTCGCCTGCGAGTACATCGGCCGACGTCCTCTCCTGATCGGCGGCTGTGCTCTTATGTGCATCTTCAATATTGGATTGGCTACTTCCGGAATCTTCAAGACCAGTGGTGCAGATAAAGCCGCCCTCGCGTGCTTGCTCATATGGGTCTTATGCTACGGCGCTTCAGCCGGTCCGATCGGATTCGTCGCTGCTGGAGAGACCTCGACTCCTCGTCTGCGGGCTCAAACCACCTCCTTTAACTTGGGTTGCTATGGTGCCGGCTTGTAAGCGTATTCTATGACATTTCTGAGATACTGAACTAATCATCTCTTCCAGCGTTGTGTTCCAGTGGACAATCTCCTACATGATCAGTCCAGATGMTGCAAATCTGGGTGTCAAAGCTGTCTATGTTTGGGCTGGCCTGCTAGTACCCACAACAGCTTTGCTCTGGTTCTTCTACCCGGAGGTGAGATTTCTTGCCATAGCAAGCCTTGATGGTACCAATGACTGACATCGATCGCAGACCCAAGGACGGACATACTGGGAGTTGGACGAGCTATACCAACGTAATATCCCAGCGTGGAAGTTCAAGGAAACCAAGACCTTGTCCGAGAGTAGTGGGCAGAAGGCAGTACCACGGCGGAGGAGCGTCGTTTAGTCTGTATTTGTTTGACTGATGGCTGGGAACGGCAGCATGTCTTGCTTTGGCCTGTAAACGAGGTAGTACTTTATAGTCGCTGACCATTTGAGCATGACCATATGAGCATGACCATATGAGCATGACCATACATGCTTCGTGCATATAAAAAGCAACTGGCACCTTGCTCAAAGCCTCCCAGAAGTGTGACGTCTAAAACTTTGTCCAGAGCTGTCGATCGGAGAAGATGATCAACAAAACAGTGCGCTCTCSATGATATGACGGGCTACTCTGCTAGTAGTAAAGGTTCTAGCAGCTCCAGAATCGTCGATTTTGCAGAGRGCAAGGCCTTGAGGCGTGATAAAGACGACTGAGGGTGTCTTGTCTCGATGAAGAATCCTCATCTCGACAGCTTTGACTTTGTCGTACCATGCTTTCCCTGTTTAGTGGAACTGGCAATTCCAATGTCACGGATGAGGGCGTGGGAGGCTCAAAAATAACCATCGAKGCCGGCCTCTCTCCTGTCATGACTTCCTGGAGTTTCGAACCGTTGTATGTTTTACTCGAATGCCCAGTCTGAATCCGGCGTGGCGATCGCAGCGGAAAATGCGAGGTAGGAAGATCTCGCGTTTGCTCTCGAAACTGCATGCGCTTCTCTTGTGCGGTATGGGCATAAATAGCTTCGCCTGGGTCGAACGCCAGTTTTCGTGCGGCTGCAATATAGACATTTCGCAATCTCGACACTCCTCAATGTTTCTCATCTCGATTGGTGATGCATGTTGAAGGTCGGAGTAGAAAAATGCCAGCCCTTCATTCTGCCAAGACATGTTCCTGCCCCGGGCATCCAAAAATTTCCAAACGCGGAATCATTCACTCACGCCCCTTTTCGATAAATATTTGCAAAACACTACGCTGTTGATAGCAGTGGATGAAAAGGCTGTAATAAGGTCAACGGCAAAGGATAGTGGTTGAAAGAGGCTGGCGGAATGAGGTCCACGGGAAAAGGATAATCCGCCCAAAAATGAGCAAAAAAGATGTTGCATGAGAAACTCTCCATCTGGGAATCGAACCCAGGTCTCCCGCGCTTGTTGATTCGGAAATCGTGACAAGCGGAAACGATAGGGGGGTCAGCATGATGTTGTAGAAGTCAAGATGTGTTGTAGAACTCACTCATGACCACTAGACCAATGAAGAATTGCGCTGCTGAGCAGGCATTGGTGAATTGATGGAGGATCTCAAAATCCGGGCCGGTTATGAAGCTCTGTGTGTTGGCTGCGTTAGCTTTCTTGGCTATGCAGGGGAGGGGACCCATTCCTTGCACCAGTCCTCAGAATTCACGTTCTGAAGTGTACCCTTACAATGCATCAGTCTCAGGGTCACGATCAGCTTTCCATTAACAACATCAGATGTAGAACGCTGCCTGGACGTTGTATGGCAAAGGAACGGACTATAGCAGTGGCTCACATCACTACTTGTTGGCAGCGTTGTACAYACTGTTTTACCCCTAATACACAAGTTGCAGGCACAACGAAAGGTGAAGCGTGTATAAGGAACGAAGTAATTCTCACCAGGTTTACGCTGGTGTTGCCGTGCTATCCAACTGCCACGGTCACAGACTGCCCCAAAAGCTGAAGTTTCTCACCAGCTATGCCGTGCCAGTAGAATTCAAAGTGTGAATATCGAAGCTCGCCCTTATACGGCCCGACATGTAGACCGACAAGCATATCAACCTACAGAACAGTGAACAATAGGATGATGGTTCGGATGTTGCGATTTCAGTACTACCACTACGGCAAAGGAATCCGTCCTAGCTATCTATAGCTTACTCTGGCTTCCCGGCACCTTCTCCTCCCTYCCCACCAAMCCCGGATGTGTGTTAATGACTGGTCTCGTAACCGCGAAGAAAGCAGTCCCGCCACTCTGGCTGGAAAATTGCGCCTTACTTCCAACCGGGAAGAAAGCCCAGTCTCCAGCTACCTAAAAGCGAAGGAAGAAGATGTCAGTGGTGTGTTAAAGACCAAGGATGGATAGAGAAAGGTCCGAGGCATCTCACAGATGCACAGGGGTCCCCTAATTGGTAAAGCACTCCCAATGCCGACTTGGAGATGCTTTTTGCCTGTCAATTAATGTACTTACCAAGTGGTGTGTAACGCCAGTCGCCTCGTCAAGAACATCGATTTGTCCGTTAAGCACAAACTTGGTTTCCTCATATGTATACGTTGGGATGTTGCGTGTTGGGCCCGGCTGAATGCGATAGAAGCCCGAGGTGAGGTACGTTGGGCTACCTTCTTGCGTTTGGGTCTGGATCGAATGGAAGTCTGCAACGATAGCACTCTCACTGAGCCATGCGTGTCATATTAGTTGAGATTCCCCCTCGCGAAGCTTGTAAGAATACATACCCGTCAGGGATTGGAATGTGTTGCGACCCGGCGCCTTTGATGATCGTGAGAGGGACAGGAGACACTGGAGAGTAATGTCTATGTAAGTAATGTACTATCATCAATGTACGAGATACTGGATACTAACTTTTGGATTGTGAGTAGGGATAGTTGTGCTGTAAAATGTTTGTTCATGAGGACATTCATTTATTCTAAAAGTGAACCGATTGCGGAGAAATCGCGGAGACACCCCTGCATGACATGTATTCTCGCAATCGATTGCTCCATCATTGAGGTGCTTGGTATGCATTGCAACATCAGATCCATGAGTGGAGGCTGTGATAAATTTCCCAATGCGGTAATGCGGACCCGAGATCTAAGTGGAGACACTGACAATCGCAGTGCGACGATTTGCACGCCCATATCTGGTGATGATCCTAGTAATGTCGCTTTCTAGGTCTTCTCTGGTGGTTTTGATCCCAGCCCTGTTTGATAACACGAGGTTTTTCAGTCCTGTTCGAATAGACGGCCGGACATTTTCCACAAATCCCCGACACCACAATCACCATTCGAAGTCTGATATTGAGGGAATAGAGACCACTTCGAGCTTCTTCCCCAGAGATAGAGCTCACATCAGTGTCAGAGCCTCACCGCTCAGAAGAAGAGGAATTACCCCCGTAAGCTGCCTCTGCTTTGTCAGCTCGTTGAACATGGATATGTGGCTTGAGAGATCACGACGCAAGCTACTCTTTTACCAACTCTCTGACTTTCAGCAAGTCCGCAAAAGAAAGCGAAAATCTGACCGCTGATGCTCAATAGCCAAGTCATAATATCAACAAGCACACTGCATCAGACGCCCAGATACGGGAACACCAGAGGATCAGCACTCTCCATATTGGCTCTCAGGTGAATGACCAATAACTCCTGCATGCCACATTCAGCAGAAGCCTGTAGCCACTCACCAGGGCTAACCTCTTCAAAGTGCTTCCCGTACACTTCACTCATACGTCTCCCGAATCGATCAAAGGGCACGCGAGAATTGCTGCTATGATGTTGATACGAAACAAGATCATCATCAGACGAGACGCTGTGCGCGATATCATACGCCACAATCTCAACGTCCTTGAAGTCGAAGAATCCAAGCGTCCCTTCAATACGTGGGACCTTTCCAGTCAGCAACGAGAAGCGAACCACGGAATTCATAACATCGTCTGCCGGAGCACGCTCCCCTACTAATGCACAGTGTCTGTCCATGACCGACCACTGGTAGGTTTGACTTCAGTGCCAGCTTCTCTAGAAATCGTTCACCCGCCCACTTCGCGGCAGTGACGCCTTGGGATCCGTCAACTGGAGGCGGCTGAGCTGACATGGAGACTGGACCTCCTTGCGACGTTCCGTGTGCATCAATCTAGCCATTACCTTGAGAGTGTGGTCGATTGGTACAGAGCCTGCAGAGGTAAGCTTGCAACGAACCGTTCCTTGACAGCCTTTTGAAGGTGGACCAGCAGAAGTGAGCTTCCTCCGACCATGAACAAGTCGGAGTCCGGGTTGATCGCGACACCAGTGACTGCATCTCCCAGAATCTCAAGCCACAGGTTGCGGCGTTCTTCTTCAGGGACAGAAACTTTGCCTTTCGTTTCGGGCTTCTGAGAGTCCACTCGGAGTGGAAGCATCTGAAGTGCTTTGCGATCAAGTTTCCCATTTGAAGTGGTAGAGAGCGTATCAAGCAGTCATCCAATGGGGAAACTAATCGGAATGCTTTTGAAGGTTGCAGCACAAGAAGCTTCGGTCGGACCATAGCAATCTGTCAAAGTGAGGCTGGGAAGATCAAGTCTCTGCATCGCATCTAGCAGACGCAAGGGCATGATCTCCCCACCTGAATATGCATTCGTCCATGAGGTGCACTTTCGTAACAATACGCCCGCATAAGTGAGCAGTAGTTGATACTCGGATGGTGTGTAGATGGTCAGCTCAATGGAGTAGTCATACATCATCTGTGATAGAACAGCTGGATCGCCTCGAGCTTTAAAAGGAGCCACAGCTAGCGCCCCTCCATTGAAAAACGCACTATAGACCTGAGCGATGGCCATGTCAAAGCCGCAAGAGGTTTGCTGAAGTACTTCCGGCTGCCGTAGTTTGAGATGGGCTGTCAATCGCCGGCGCGATTTTCATCATTTGTGCAAAATCCAGTCTGGAATCTTTCTTGCCCGACGCAAATGCCTCGCAGATTGAAGCTCTCATCTCGGGAACTAGCTCGCAATTGCTCGATACACTGGACCCAACTCTAATAGGAGATGTGCTGGGAATAGTCGTTGCTGCTTTGCGGAAAGTGTATGTTGCCATCTTCTTCTTCCTCGGTCGATAGCAGAGCGGCTGACATGTAATGAACAGATTCATACCCATGTATATAGGAGCTGCTGTGAGCTTTATCGCTGCATTGTTTATGAGAGTAAGTTGGAATATCTAAGGCTGTTTGTCACTGACTAATCATGTCCCAGAACGAGAAGTTGTTCGCAGCTAAGTAGGGATCATTTACTGGAGAGGACTCTCAGCTTGCTGCATTTAAATGTCCGAGACGAAGAAAGACCGTGGACATAGACGCTGTAGCGATGCTCCTAAAAACCTAATCGTACTTATCACTTTATCTTACATGCTAAGTTACTGACGCTTTCACAGTACACTTTCGAACCTTGTGCGTTTACTGTGCAATATGCATGAATACCATTGATCAGGACAGCACGGAGGTACCACGCCTTCACACTATTTGAAATACTATCGCTAGCATGTCATTGCTGTCGAGAGGGTAAATGCAGTCTGATCAATATTTGGTCTGCGGTTTCACATGTCGAATCTGGTATAGACTAGCGTGCCAATGTCAGGAGGGTTTCAGGGGCCTCTCCTTGTAGTAAGTCGACGACAACGTACATGAACAGGTGGCTATAAGCACAAAAAGCAGCAGCCTTATGGAGGAGAGTCAAGTACGGATAGTCTGACGTCTTATCGAGTAATGTCTCCTGAATCGTTCTGTCGTTATCACAGAAAACACAAGATTTTTGCCTGTTAGGGCGGAAACCTTCAACTTCATCGGCCGTTGGAGGCAGCTCGACTCGGCAGAGGAAGTCTCAAAAAAAATCACCCATCATCTAACCTACCTCCCAAGCAGTCGCAGAAAGGCAGAGTGGAGCTGTCACATATGTGGCAGGTCATTTCTCATCATCTTAAACATCACCTACCGAAGAAGCCATTGAAGGCGATATTTTTGTGGATGGAAATTTGATCTAGCGACAGTAAATGGCCAAGTTTCTTTCACCAAGAATTCTACCCCCTTAGCGACACCCGAAAAATCTGGTCTCAGCTGCAGGCCCATGTCTTCGAGCTGCAGCATGCAGATGGTGTTACCTTGAGATTTTCTGCGAACCACAGACTTGTCGGACAATGTCGTCGTCATCAATTCTGCAGAATATTGTCCACCATCTATCATGACCCGACAGATGTCTAAAAACGTTGTACACATAATAGCCACGTCATTTCGGAAAACCTCCCATGCTGGAAGATACATTTCAGTCGCTCTCCCGATGGTTCGAACGTGAAGCGACGAACGCCACTCAGCCGCAGTGACACAATATCGATAACAAGTGCTGACAGATCTCCTATCTGCAAGGGACCGTGATTGAGTTCCGTACATCACCACGGCTCAACGCCAAATGCTACGCGCGTTTCACTATAAACGGATGACAATTCGCTTTTTCGTTTCCATTGGGAAAATTCAAGAGTTGGGTGCCACCAACTCGGTCAGCACGCATCCTTTCACGAGCCATGCAAAAGACACGAAAAAGGTCATAGATTATCGGAGATCTCGATCGCGGGTTGTGTTGTGAACGAATGGTCAATGGCCAAGCCACACATTCAATCTCTATTGCATGAAAGCCCCTGCTTGTCGGGAGCGCTATTGAGACCATTTCGGCTCCCCACAAAGTTTGTCCCTTGATTGATGCATATGGTGACAAGCATACTGGCGTATGAAGACGCAATTATGACTGGCGAGAGTAAGGTGACATTTGTACATTAGACTTCAAAGTCGCATGATTTTTTCCGCGGTCATCCATCATCTCACTCAACCATCAATCTTTCATCAGCTGAAATGAGTCTGACACGCCTTCTCCCCCTTTGTGGCTTCCTCGCTTTGGCGTTTGCACAAGCATATGGCGCCACAGTACATCCTCCCATCCCCATCGCACTGGGAGGAAAACACCCAGACACCGCAAAAGCATTCATCCGACTCATGCTACCCGAATACGACGGTACATCTTGAAAAAAAGCAAAAACCAAAAGCATCACTAACATTCACAGTCGTTCACGTCGTCCACAACTCCCCCGTAGGCGTATCCGAGCTGGTTCCTCTTCTCGCAGGCGAGGAAACCATTCCCGCATCCGGCCTCGGTTCAAACAGCAATACTTCCACACCTCAAGCCCCGAAAGCAATCTTCGTCGGCGGTGGATTCTCTCAGAGTGAGATTGCGGAGATGTATAATGGTACATCGTTGCAAACGATTCCTTGGATCTATCCCCTTGCGAGCGAAAGAGTGAACGGAACGATACCTCCGAGAGTGGAGATGATTGCTGCGAGAGTGAAGCAGGTATTTGCTGAGAATGGGTAGGTTGACTGTTTATGTCTTTTGTTTGGGATCCATTGGCTGATACTAGTTGGCTAGATTTGTGCCTGGTAATGAAGACAATGTTGTGCCTGGCGTGTGGGCTTTCTGAACTTGCCAATCTACACCAAAATAACGGGTCGGGAATAGATAGCGATTGCTTCTTCCATTTCTTCAATGTTTCGAACAGCTCAACGAGCATATAGCTCTATGCTTCAGTCAGATTCACTCCTTTTATCTATCCCAAGTCACCCTCAGTGCCGCAGTTCTGTTACAGCGATAGCGTCTATGTTACTCATACCACAAAGCAAAGGTTACCCCGAACACTATCCTCAAGGCTAGTCCATCCATGACCATAGTGCTTCTTCAACAGTCTCTCCGCGTCTTCATTCGGAACCTCGCTCAAAGCTCTGCCCACCTTCTGATCCTCCAGAAACGACTTCCCTGGCTTCAGCTTCCTGAAGATATCGCCAACATATCATTCCGAGTGTACGGTTCTGCAAATGCAAAGATTCGCTGTCCATCACACTCCGGATCAATCAAAGCAGCCACATGCAACTTCGCGTCATCTTCGACGTCAACGAACCACTGCGCCAAGTCTCCCATTGGAAATTCATTTCCGGCATACAAGTCAGGGATCCAATTGCCAGTGCTGTTGTCGTTCGGTTTCAGAATCCGGCCGAAGTTGACATCTGGTAATACTGTGGCGACTTGGAAGCTTGGCGGGCTCGCTTTGACCGCTTCCCACAACGCCTTCTCAGCTGCAGTCTTGCTAGCAGCATAAACTTCAAAAGAACTCGCCGTCGGCTTGTAGGCTGCCTCCATAGCGGCTTCATTGAACATGTCTTTTGTGATTTTCATCTTCTTGTCCGCAACTGGCGAGAAAGAGGCAGTGCTAGAGGATGTATACACAAAGCTCTTCACCATTGGTTCCTTTTTCGCAGACTCGAACACATTCTCATTGCGCCTTTGACAGATGGTCCAACGACCTCATCGGCATTGGTGCTGAAAGTCAGGACAGAGGCCATGTGCACGATTCCGCTTACCCCTTTCACGGCGGCGTCGTATGCACCGTCTTGGATCATGTCTGGTACCTCCACAATCTCAATCTTGCCACTTCCAAACTTCTTCTCGATGTAATCGACCAAGTACTGAGCTTTYGCTAATGTGCGTGAGGTGCCGCGGACTTGGAAACCAGCGGCGATGAGTTCTTCGACGACATGGCTCCCAATGAAGCCGTTTACACCCGTGACAAGCACAATGTCTCCCTTGTTGAGTGTAGACATGAATGAGATATGATTTCTTGATGTGAATTACGTTCGAGGGAGTTGATACGACTGATGTGTGTGTGTGGGTGACGTGAGTTTCGTGTGTGAGTCTTCGATCGAAGACGTGACGAGTCAGAAGACAGACTATTATAATCTCTTGTACATGTGCTTTGAAGTGGCAATGAGGAGAGCCGATAGCATGCTTACCAATAAACCCAACGCCTTCTATTCCTGCATGTCTTGTGCATTCGACGCAGCATGCTTGCCAAGCAGTCCAATTCGTTGAGCACGCTTACAAAGCATGCTCAACGAGTTGAACATTCATATACGCAGCGATGGATGCGATTCGCGGTAGGCTACTGATCCCCTCAGGTTACAGAGGAGCGAGCTGAGGAGTGAGCCTTGCTTAAAGGTGWAGATTTCGGGGTTGACGCCCACTTAATACCACGCGCAAGGAGCCAAAGGTCGAGATGCTGACCGCATACGCAGGGGTCGATGTCCGGTTACGAATCGAACGCATGTGAAGGAGTTAACTTCTGCCGAGTTTTTCATCTTAATGCCTCCAAGGGCCGTTGAAATTGAAGATTGCTGCCCTACCTACAACAAGCAAAACTCTTGTATTTTCTACAATAACGATAGAACAAAAAGGAGAAATTATTCGACAAGACATTGGACTATCCGTACTTTGACTCTCCATAAGGCTACTACTTCTTATCTATGTAGGTAGCCACCTATTCGTAAGCCTTATCGTCGACTTACTACAAAGAAGGGGGAGATGGGACGTGATTTTCAAACGCGGGAGGGACACTTCATCTTCTATCTTGTAATGAGAACTGAAATTTTGGCCTGGTCTCTCTTCTTGCGGACATCCGCCCTTGAGCTTCAAGCACTTCTCGAGTAACTAGTTTCTCGGAATTAGGACGAGCTATATGCACTCGTACCAGCGATTAATGATCAAATGTTTGGGATCGATTTAATCTGTATGGCCAAAAACAGCTTCTATGGCCGCGTCAGGACTCGCTATTGGATATTACTGTGGTTATTGACCTTGAGAACGGGCTATGGGATTTTGAGTGTCTTGTCCACAGCTTCCGCGTCCGCTCGTGCATTTCTTCTCGATAGTTGATAAAATAGTATTCAAGCACTGTTAATCGATGCACCCTCCCGATACGGTACGATACCGTAGCCGTTATCTCATGGGTTCCTCGTTAAGAGAGATTCGGGAACATTCACTTGCACCGATTCACTTACTCGAATTTGTAATCAAGTCCTTCGAAACGAAGACGCCGGAAGCTTCAAAGACTAAGTGGAAATTTTGATAACCCGGGCATAAACCGTCCTCAAACCAGAACTAGAACATCTCTCTATATATATCCAGAATTCCCTAAGGTACATAGGGGAAACTGTTACTTCTATAACAGTTGTTATTACCCCAGCCCTAACCCTAACCCTTGCCCCTAAAATTTCCCTCGGAGGGCATGAGAAGGATCTAGGGGAACGATGCGTTAGCGAAATACTCGYACTCGCTATTGATCCTCTTCAGATTTGTATTCGCGACTTGAAGATGCAGGGTAGTAGTAAGTGCTGAAGCGGCCAGTATGGTCGTCAATCCTAGTGCGGTCACTACAGTTGTCTCATGACCCATCGTTGGGCGATTCGCATTTGAGATTTGTGATTGTAAAAGTCGTAGGTAACGAGCAGCTAAAGCTCTAGCATCACTGCTATCAGTCAATTGGGGCACATATTGCTAGCATTAACAAAGAGGCCATTGTTGCTGTTTGGTATACTCTCTCATCCACCTCTTGAACCCTGCCTCAGCTCTTTTCTTTCGACATGTTCGCTTCTGTGGCACTTATCCGGGCAGCATGTCGGGAATCTCGAACGATGGGTTGCTTGTAGCCTGTTGGTTCTTCGTTGGTCTGTCAGCAATGAGATAACCAGGAGATCTCCTTAGGGATAGACGATTGGATAGCTCTCGTCAGAGTTGTGAGTGAAGGACACAGCAATTATGGGGAATGAACCGAGGCATTTTCATTATGGGTAGCGTACGTTGTTGCTGCAGCTATTGCCGTTGTATGTGAGTCTCACGATGTCTTGCTGGGCCCAATTATGCAATCCGAGTGACCATCTATTGTTCGGCTCACAGGATGGCTTCGAGAATGAGATTGCATGGCACACTCGCCTAATAAGCAATGGTCTTTGGTGTCTTTCTTCTAGCCCACGTGCAAAACCTACCGTTACGACATGATTGGAACAATGCGGATTTTGTGTCTCAGGTGCCTTGGTACGTCAATCACACGGATAGCATTCTCCACACGACACCAGCACCAATGTGGTGTGTATTGCAGCACCGGTATCTCAATCACCGTCGTGAATCTGCCAGCGTTGACCTTCTGTACAGTGGCTCTGCAAGAACATGTTACAAGAAGCGTATGTAGCCTTCTGAGCAGTAGCAGCAACAATCATCGCAGTACCCGTGAGAGGTTGATTGTCTAACAAAAAGCGGTGCTGTGCAGCGTATTGGAGGGTAAGATCTGTTAGATTGTTAGCAACAGCGTTTTGGGACCCATCCTGAGACTATATATCAAACTGCCTCCGATTACTATTCAAGGAGACGCTGTGTCGGCCACGGCTCAACTCGAGCTGACTTGGACCTTCAAATAGCGCCGACCGGCGGAAAGTTGGTCCGCCTCGTGTGCGTCCCATGCCCTCGAACCATTTTTTTTTCTCAGGTCTTTGGTGCTCGTGTGGTCACGGATCCGGAGTCAACGACATCCCGGGAAGGAGGCAGAAGGGTAGAGCACGTGCCAATCTGGTCACGTGTGGAGGAGAAAAGTCCGAAGCTCCGAAATGTCGGGCGGCCCTAACTCGATCCACCTCCTCCTCTGCCCTCAACCTCAACATCGCCGGGTCTTGAAGAGGGAGATCCAGGTAGGGTCCGACTCCGCTGCGACCCCTGCACATGGCCGGTGAAGGACGTGCGGGTTGTTGCATGGCCCGCATCCGGGCTGGCTGGCTGGCTGGATGTCGACGCTGTCTTGATTTGGCATCATCATCCCATACTGCCGCAACTTGCGAGGACGGAGCTATGGGGCGTCCGCGCCAGGGTATCGTGTCATTGTAGACTAGACTAGACACCATCCGTATTCATGTGTCGATGATGTGAAGACATCATGGCTGGCCGGGGGGGGGGTGGAAGAGACTAAGTTGCCCTGTTCGGCCATCTCTTTTTTATACCTTTGATGTTCCCCATGACCCAATGACCTGTCTGACATCTGTTTTGAACAATCTTCCTCCCATACCCTGACCTTCACTGGCAGTTCGGTCAGCTCTTCCCGATGGCGGTTCCCTCAGGCTGCGGCGACAGCATCGTTGAAAGCCTTTCGCGAACATGGTCGGGGCAGCCCGACCCTCAGGACAAGCGATACGACGAGAAAGATGACCAGCCCATCAGCAAGGCCGAAGACTGGCGACTCATGAACTACGTCCGCACATACCACGCCAACGACAAGGCTGAGAGCCGACGCCTGGGCATCGCCTGGAAGGACCTGACCATCAAAGGCATCAGCAGTGGGACGRCAATTCACGACAACTTTCTCAGTCAGTTCAATATTCCGCAGCAAATGAAGGATGGCCGGGGGARGGCGGGCCTCAAGACGATTGTCAATTCGAGTTCGGGATGTKTTCGTCCAGGCGAGATGTTGCTCGTTCTCGGACGTCCTGGTGCCGGCTGCACAAGTCTGTTGAAAATTCTCGGCAATCGCAGGAAGGGGTATGYTGAATGTGTAGGACGGAATAGAGAGTCTTAGAGCTGAACAGAAGCGATAGGTACGCCGATATCTCCGGCGAGATACATTACGGGACCATGGATCCACAGGAAGCTGAGCAGTACCGCGGACAAATTGTCATGAACACGGAGGAAGAGGTAAGCATGTCAAATTTGGATACACATCACACAGTTACTCACTCTTTCTTGCAGATCTTCTATCCGACGCTTACAGTCGGCCGCACAATGGACTTTGCTACCCGACTCAAAACGCCAGCAACCCTTCCCGCTGATGCCGAATCCTCCGAGAAGCATCGTCTCGGCATGAAGGAGTTTCTTCTAGAGTCCATGGGAATCGCTCATACATCTGATACCAAGGTCGGCGATGCATTTGTCCGTGGCGTCAGCGGCGGCGAGCGGAAACGTGTGTCCATCATCGAGACTCTCGCCACACATGCAAGTATGACATCCCGACGTCCGGTCTTTGGCGGCGTCACCACAGACTGACCTTGCTTCCAGGTATCTACTGTTGGGACAACTCGACTCGTGGTCTTGATGCTTCGAGTGCGTTGGATTGGGCACGCGCATTGCGAGCCTTGACCGATGAGCTTGGCCTGACGACCATTGTGACTTTGTATCAGGCCGGTAACGGTATCTTTGATCTTTTTGACAAGGTACTCGTTCTTGACGAGGGCGAGCAGGTCTTCTACGGACCCACATCACAGGCTCGGCCGTTCATGCACGCCCAAGGCTTTGTCTGTGATGATGCAGCAAATGTGGCAGATTTCCTCACCGGCGTCACAGTACCAAGCGAACGAACAATCCGTAAAGGATTCAAGAATCGGTTCCCCCGGAATGCTGCAGACCTCCGTGTAGCTTTTGAGCAGTCGACTATCAAGCCTTTGATGGATACAGAGCTCGATTTCCCATCTTCCGACGAAGCAGCCCGCTGGACCCAGCAATTCAAAGAGGCAGTAGCCTTGGACAAGGCCAACTCGCTGTCCAAAAAGTCGCCACTTACAGTCACCTTCATGACCCAAATTCGAGCCTGTGTGGTCCGCCAATATCAGATCCTCTGGGGTGACAAGGTAAGCACGAACAATACAATCCTTGCAGACAAACAGACTAATAACCATTCGTGACAGGCCACTTTCATCATCAAGCAAGTTGCCACAATCATCCAGGCTTTGGTTGGAGGCTCGCTCTTCTATAACGCACCAGAAAACTCGTCCGGCCTGTTCTCCAAAGGCGGAGCCGTCTTCCTTTCCCTACTTTACAACTCCCTCCTCGCCATGTCTGAGGTCACCGACTCTTTCGCTGGCCGACCGGTCTTGACGAAGCACAAAGCATTTGCGTTTTACGATCCCGCTGCCTTTTGTATCGCCCAAATCGCTGCTGATGTGCCCATATTAATCATCCAGGTACGTTGGTCCGGGAGCGTACAGCTCCATTCAAGGCTGACACTCTTCAGGTTACCAGTTTCGACGTGATACTGTATTGGATGACCGGTTTGACGCCCACCGCCGATGCTTTCATGACGTTCTGGTTCATCACTCTTCTGGCTACTTTCACCATGACGGCCTTTTTCCGTATGGTCGGTGCAGCATTTCCCACGTTCGATGCCGCGTCCAAGGTTCGTATCACCCGCATTCGTGCAAGATGCGAGTTGTGCAGCACTGATTACTTCCAGGTATCCGGCTTCGCAGTCTCTGCGCTCATCACATTTGTCGGCTACGAACAACCGAAGCCTCAAATGCATCCCTGGCTCGTCTGGATCTACTGGATCAATCCGCTGGCCTATGCATTTGAATCTCTCATGTCCAACGAGTTCAAAGGCAAGACAATTCCGTGTGCAAACGCCAATAAAATCCCGAACTTTCTACCACAGTATGCGGATGCCCCAGCAGCTTGTTCTGGAGTTGGAGGCGCTCGACCTTATGAAGACTTTGTTCGTGGCGAGGATTACCTGGCAAGCTTGTCCTACTCAAAGAGTCACATTTGGCGCAACGTTGGGATCCTTTTCGCGTGGTGGGCCTTTTTCACTGCATTGACTGTGATATTCACCCGTCGCTGGCGTGATGCGAGCGAGGCCGGCCAAAATCTTGTGGTTCCCCGTGAAAGGGCGATGAAACACGCGGCTGTCATGAGTGATGAAGAATCTGCAATGGCGGAAGTGGGCAGTATCGCCTCCTCCCACAAGGAAAAGGAACATGAGACCGAAATGGAAAGAAGAATGCCAGATTCCGGAAAGGACACTCAATTGGTCCGAAACACATCGGTCTTCACCTGGCGCAATTTGACATATACTGTCAAGACTCCTTCAGGCGATCGTATTCTTCTCGACAATGTGCACGGATATGTCAAGCCTGGCATGCTAGGTGCACTGATGGGCAGTTCTGGTGCTGGAAAGACTACTTGTAAGATCCATCCAACCTGCGAGGGTGTATCCTACTAACACATTTACAGTACTTGATGTGCTAGCCCAGCGCAAGACAGATGGTACGATCCGCGGAGAAATCATGGTAGATGGACGCCCTTTGCCAGTCTCATTCCAGCGATCTGCTGGCTATTGTGAGCAGCTCGATGTCCACGAAGCCTATTCCACTGTACGAGAGGCCTTGGAGTTCTCCGCTCTCCTTCGCCAACCCCGAGATGTCCCCCGGGAAGAAAAGCTTGCCTATGTTGACACTATCATCGATCTGCTCGAGCTCCGCGATCTCGAACACACACTTATTGGGCGAATCGGTTTTGGACTGAGTGTCGAGCAACGGAAACGAGGTAAGTATACGCGGATTGATCCCTTCCATCCTCGTCTGACTTTCTCTAGTGACCATCGGTGTCGAACTCGTCTCGAAACCTTCGATCCTGATCTTCCTAGACGAGCCAACCTCCGGACTTGATGGCCAAGCGGCTTTCAGTACTGTCCAGTTCCTTCGCAAACTTGCAGACGCTGGACAGGCTGTTTTGGTCACGATTCATCAACCTTCTGCTCAGCTTTTCGCCCAATTCGATACACTCTTGCTTCTTGCGAAGGGTGGTAAGACTGTTTACTTTGGCGATATTGGTGATAAAGCTGCGACTGTTCGCGAATACTTTGCCCGGAATGGTGTGCCTTGTCCGCCTAGTTCGAACCCGGTAAGATGATCGAAAGCAGAACATGTACTAGCTTGAGTGATTCTGACTAACTCCGAATCTCAGGCCGAGCATATGATCGACGTTGTCTCCGGAAGACTGTCCAAGGGTAAGGATTGGAACGAAGTCTGGCTTGCGTCTCCCGAGTCACAGAAGTTGGACAACGATCTCGAAGGTACGTTGGCCCTTCCCACATCACTACGAATCGAGACGAGAACTGGCCAGCTAACCGCAAGTCTGTTCGTAGACATAATCACCACTGCAGCTGGGAAGCCTCCCGGAACAGAAGATGACGGACATGAATTTGCCACGTCTCTCATCGCCCAGACACGACTCGTTACCCATCGCATGAATGTGGCTCTCTATCGCAACGTCGACTACATCAACAACAAGATTGCTCTTCACATCGGCTTGGGACTCTTCAATGGATTCACGTTTTGGAAAATCAAAACCTCGACCGCCGGTCAGCAAGAGGTGCTCTTTGCTCTGTTCAACTTCATCTGTGAGTTTACTCACTTGTCCTTCTTGGCCACTCCATTGAATTTACTAATCTGCTTCTAGTCGTTGCTCCGGGAGTCATTGCTCAGCTTCAGCCGCTGTTTGTCAGTGTCTTTGTTTTCCTCCGCGTTGGCGGACACTACTAACGCTCGACCAGATTGAACGACGCGACATCTACGAGACTAGAGAGAAGAAGGTAAGAAGCAATGTCAAGTGGCTGTCGAGACTGGAAAAATTTCTCGGCTGGTAAAAGAACATTACTGACACTTCTGTGCACAGTCCAAAATGTACCACTGGGCACCATTCGTCACCGGTCTGATCGTCTCCGAGATCCCCTACCTGATCATTTGCGGCCTCCTATACTTCTTCTGCATGTACTACACCGTCGGCTTCCCCACCGAACACTCACGCGCAGGGAGCACTCTATTCGTCATGCTGGTATATGAGTTCATTTACACCGGAATCGGCCAGTTCGTCGCGGCTTATGCCCCCAATGCCGTCTTCGCATCCCTGGTAAACCCGCTATTATTAGGCACCCTGGTCTCATTCTGCGGAGTCCTAGTCCCCTATGCCCAGATCCAGGAGTTCTGGCGCTACTGGATGTACTATCTGTAAGGCTCCCACAAATCTCTTCCACTCTCACTTACATAATATATGTGTGTACTAACTACAAGCCCCAGGAACCCTTTTACCTACCTCATGGGAGCCCTCCTAGTCTTCGCAGATTTCGACCGTCCCGTAAATTGCAAACCCTCGGAATTCGCACGTTTCAATCCTCCTTCGGGGATGAATTGTGCTGAATATTTGGCACCTTACCTCGCCGGACCCGGTTCCAGAAACAATCTCACCAACCCCGATGCTTTGACCGATTGTAGAGTCTGTGTCTATACCACCGGCTCGGATTATTTGTATACCATCAACTTGAAAGATTACTACTATGGCTGGAGGAATGCGGCTATTTGTGTGATCTTTGCCATTTCGAGCTATGGAATGGTTTATCTTTTGATGAAGTTGAGAACTAAAGCTTCTAAGAAGGCGCAGTGAGAGATTTGCACTTATCGAGGGTCTGAGGGGTTTGGAGTTGGTTTTAGGAGAAGCGCTGAAGAGGAAAAGGGGATTAAGATTAATAGATCCATGTATGTATGACAACTATAGATTGTTGCTGAAATGTTCGGGACGGGTGTTTGCAATGAGTTCTTCCCATGGCGCATGAAGCTTACTTACATCTGATAGCCAAGAAATTCGGAAAAATTCCAACTATCTCACTCGATTTCTCACGAATTGTCGAGACATTCTCCATACCATACCACTTTCAAAGAACCCTCCACCACTGACATTCCGCGCCGCAGCGCAGTTACCAAACTAAAGCAAAGCCCGCCGAAATCGAAGCTCGCCGCCTTTCCACGCCTACATATCCCCTCCACCACCACCCCCCCAAGCCGTCCCCGCACGCATCAAAAACAAAACTCCGACACAACATCAAATCCCACATCATCCATATCCCGAAACGAAAGCCATCCCTCAGGCAAATTCCCCCCAGTACCAGGCCCAGTCCCATCACCCATCAAAGCATTCCCAGCGACAGGAATTCGCAGTATATCGTCCGGCGAATAATCCAAAAATTGGTGGCCCTCCTCTTGAGTAGTGGGACTTTTATTCACTCCTGTATCGAACATATTCCAATCAATCACTCCCGAATTATCGAGCATGTCTCCGAGATAGTCGAGTTGAGGGGGCATATCGTAGGGATTGTTTGTGTTGGGATTGGAGAGGTTTTCGTCGTTGGGGGTGTAATACTGCATATTGGTCATTTCCAAGTTGCCGGACATATTGCTGTCCCAAAGCTGATTATTAAATGAGGTCCCTCCGGAAGGTGCCGTGCTCGTGGCACCTAAAGAGGGTGTAGTAAAAACACTACTACCCTGCACCTTCTCAGACTCGACAGACTCTTGCGTGGGAAATCGCTGTTTGACCTTGTTAAGCATGACACGCATCGCAACAGCAGCCTTCTCCGTGTCGTCCAACATATACTCTCTAGCGAGATTCGGATCTCGGCCCTGTAAACGGGCCGCACGCCGTTTCCGACCAGTAGACTCCCAAATCTGTTGACTTCGTTCCAGAGCCTCTATTTGAGCCAAACGACGAGGACATTGAGGCCCATTCGGGTTCAATACGGACGATGAGGTGATTTGTTGAGAAAGTTCGAGACAGATGACCATGGCAGCAAGGAGAAAGTCATGCGTGGAGATGCTTCCCATGTACCAAGAGACTTGCTCGAGCTGTCCACCGGGTTGACTGGCGGTGAAGATCGTGTGGTGGTGTTGGAGCACGCTTAGTGCGGAGTCCACAGCGAGCCTCCTGCTCATGCCGATGCCCAGTTTCTGCTCCTGAGGCATGAGGTGCAAGAATGGCGTCTCCATGTATCGTCTGTGTAGGACAATCTTGGTCTTGAGATAGAGGAGGTCTATATTGAAACGGCACATCAACTGCTCGGCAGGATCCGTGACAAGCTCACTGATATCGGGCATTTGCAAGAGAGGAGGCAGCTGCATCTTCGCTTCTTCAAGTCTGCGGTCGAGTTCCATCATTTCGTCGTGCGAGGGCGGTATGGTGGCGTGACTCAACTCCGCAGCTTCTGCAAAGATGGTCACTATCCTTAACTTGCTTCTCGTATATGATGATGGCGTCAGCTCATCTACACCGCGGCTGGGAGGTAACACTTTGGTGTCAACATTGAAGTCACGGTCTAGAAGATTGCGAGGTGGCTGCGTGTCTGACACAACAGTCTTGACCTATTATTGTCGTGTCAGTGGGTTGGGGACCGCATGTAGAATCAATCGTACCATGGAAGGAAGAGCCAGCTGGAAAGATATCAGCACATCCAGCATAGTAATTGCAGCCCATACCCGGCGCCTCATCTCGCCATGGAACGGCGAGATGGCTGGGTAGTTGGMGGAGTCCTAGACGAGATTATCAGCATCAGTCTATATTGTACAGCTGGCGACGACACTCTCGATCAGGGCATCTTAATCAAGGCAACCAGCAGTAACGTTATGAGGACATGCAGAGACTGTGCTAGCGGGACCGTGAATCACAAACTCACCCGGTGATACCCCATACGTAGAGCTAATCTCACGCAAAGTCCAATCATCAGCCATACATTCACAAAAGCATTACTGCTGCTCCTCAGACCAGCTCCATAGAGCAAAAGGCATTCAATAGTATGCTGCTTGGGTTTCGTAAAGTCCGCCAGAACGGCAGCAGACGCAGCCAGAGCGTGGTATCTACCGACTTCAGCAGCAACGTTTCGTCCACTTGGACTATTCGGATCACAATCTCGCAGTCCGAAAGAAGCCGCCAGACTCAAAATGGCGAACAGCAAGCCAAGCCACATGGTGGGTGTCTGTGATGGGTCTCGTAGAAACGAGCGATACTGTTCTTGAAAGCTGGGGCCGTGGAGAATCGGCTTGAAGGGATCCGGTGAGTTGAACCACAGACTCAGCAGGCGATCCGCTATACGCTTCTCAGGCACAGAGGCGATGAGTTGTTCTCTCGTCATCCGGCCAGAATTTCTCAACACAAATCCAAGCCCGTTTGTCGGTACGACTGGGTCTTGCCAGCCAGAATTGGCATCATTGGCGTCGTGCCTCCAGGGAGGTGTATTGGCAGAATCATCATCCTCCTCAACATGTCTCACATCTTCTTCGTCTTCCAATTCTCTTCGAAGGCTATCTATGCCACTCAAGATAGCCCTCCAATGCGTCTCACCAACGTAAGAAATCTCATTCTTGCTAATCTTCATCTTCCCAAACGGCTTCACCGCACAGTCGACATCCTCCTTCGATGGCAGCGAATCGTTCTCGTCTGAAGATGGAGGCGTAGGCTCACCGGTGGATCGGTTTCCTGTGGAGTCCTTCCTCTCATTCCCCGCCAAGGAGTGATTCCCATTCTGCTGGTTCATCAAATCGATTACCATGCTCTCCAATTGCCTTACTCGACTCTTTACATTCTGTGTATTCTTCTGTTTGGTCGGCGGAGGCGCCCATTTACAGCTTGTCTCGCGATTGCGTTTGATACATTGGTCACACGCGGGCTCGTGGACTCGATCACACTTGAGCTTACCAAGGCGGCAAGGGATACAAGATAGTTGTGATCGTGCTCGTTTCTGTCGCAAATGCTGGGCATTGGACTGGCTATTCGTGGTTGACTGCGGCAGACTGCTGCTTACTTCGTCCGTCATGGCTATGTGGTGTCAAGAGGGGCGTGGGCGGCGTTGAAGATGGTAAAGGAGACTGTGTCACTCCCCGTCCCGAGGCCGAGGAGTATGGCCTACGCCGCAATGGAGATTCCGTTCTGCGACCACGAGTCCAGCTCGTAGTGCGGATGATGGAGTCCTGAGGCTCGGAGCTTGGGACGGAATGCCTGGGTCTTGGCTGCGGGCCGCGTGTTGACAATATCGGGGCCGAAAACGAACGTGTGGTACTGTAGCTTTGTATGAGTTGTGTGCGGAGAACGATTGTTGGTATATTGTATTTCTTTCATGGAGCATGCGTCAAGCCTTGGATGTACCGTCTACGATATCTGAAGATGGTGAGGTGCTGTGATCCTTCGGATCCTTCCTGCGCTCTTCCTCAACCTTTGTCAGCTGCAGCTGAAGCTGTCACAAAGCCTTGTCCAGATCTCTACCAAATCTCAACCTACTACGCAAACAATCGCAACCTTCGATACTCAATCACGCCCTCAGCTACAGAGGGAAGGCTAGACAGGTCTTCCTCATTCGCCGCCATCTTTCTCATTGTAATCTCTCACAACTGTCTACCGAACAACGACGATCTCGTTGGTACTACCTTTCACAGCGGAAACAGCACATGCCAGAGTAGAGGTAGCCCAAGACATTTGGAACACAAAGTGTCGCGACCAGTATGCTACAAACATAACTGTGTCAACGCCCCAACCCACCAGAAACCCAGAAGTCATCGCGAAAGTCTACACGTCTGATTCCATGCGCATAATGGGACGAAGTGGGACCAGCCCTATGTATTGGAGGATTGGAAGTTTGCCGAGCATGGTAGGATGAGGAAGCGGCAGATGGGCGGTAATCATGTTGTGCCTGACGAGAGCGAGAGATGGTTTGTTCATGGCGTGCATGTTCATGTGGTGGATGTCAGTGAGAGCCATGGGTGTCGTTTCCTTGTTCATCAGTCTCGAGACTGATATCGTTTTCAGCCAGATGGGATAAATGTCTCGAATGTCTTTCCCTTGACCACCAGATGCGTACACCATACGGTTGCTAGCATCGTTGATTGCTTGCCATCGAGACTCTTCTCGAAGTCGTCTTCCAAGGTCCCGCAAACCGGACTGTCACTCGGCAGCAAGTCTTATCGGCTTCCCTTGTAGTCCTCTTGTTGAACACTGCCAGCTCGGTTGGAATCGCACCTTGTCCCGACGACAACCAGTGCTATGCGCCAATTTGAGCCTTTCTCCACGGGACTTCCGGTGGCATATGATGCAACCACTGGGCTCTGCGGGCGCTGGGGCTGGATTGCTTTTGACCAGTATGTCTGGTCGAGTTCTTCCATCGTCTCACGCAGGAGGAGTGTCATGGATGACAACCAGCAGGAACTTCGCATCTGGAGCCAGAACACAGTCAGCACCACATCTCGCCACACATACCATGCATGGAATGATATGACATACCAGGCACAATGACCACCTCATTCTTCCTCGTACGGATACGCAGCAACTTGGCCTCATCCGACTCGCCATTGAGCTCTTCAATCATGCTGCCTGCACTCTGCACAAATCTCCACACCAGCCGCGCCACATCTTCCGCCCGGCGGGTCCCTTTCTTCGCCGCCTCGCCATCGGTGCCATTGGTGGCATCGCTGCTGGTCGGACGAGCAGCCTCAGCGTCGCCATCTTCCTCCTCGGTCAACAATCCTGAAGAGCGGACAATGGAGCCCGTGTCGCGAGACAAGATCAGAGTTCCCTGCACTCCGGGTCGCGAGGAAAGTCGAGCGAGGAGATTGGCCGTCTCCTCGGACGGAGTGGGCTGCTGCATGATACCTGGTGGTGGATGTTGGGGAGAGCGTTGTTTATTTGCCGTGGTTGCTAGGAGCGTCGGGTGGTCATGCTTTCCTTATCGTATTGAACAAGACCCCATCAATATCCGCTATCGCTTTGATGGCTTTTCGGATAGCTCCCGGGACCCGCAGATCCCGCCAAATTTATTTTTTGACTTCACATCTTCACATTCAATCCGCACCCAGACATCACTCATGACACTCTCCCAACTCGACGACTCACCCCAGTCCCGAACAGATTACTTAGATTGTGGCTGAGCCAACATGGGCTCTTCCACCAAGAAGAAGAACGAGAAGAAGAAAGACTTCCAAAAGCCCAAACTAAAAGTCGGCAAGGCCCGTCCCAAGAACACGAATGCCACAGACACCAGCTTCGCAGCCCGATCGATTGTGCTCAAGCAGCAGAGCCTGAGTGAAAGTGGACGCGATGCCGTAGCTCTATTCAACCACAATCTGTCGCTTCTGAGCAGTAGAAACGATTCGCAACGAAAAGATGTCCTCACCTATCTCACCAACACCGTGTCCGCATCTCCGCATTCTCTGCCACAACCCGCATCAGTCGTATTGAACAAAGCGCAACATTTGATCCTCGATGCCAGTTCTTCGGTCCGGCAGCAGGTTCTCAAACTATTCAAAGTTCTCCCCAAGAACCAGATCGGAGCGCTGGACCAAGCACTTCTCTACACCCGAGCGGGAATGACACATCTCTCCGCCGACATCCGCAAAACCTCACTCGATGTCCTGGATTGGCTTCTGGAAATCAACGGAGAAGCGGTGGTGAGCGTTGCAGGCGGCTGGATCAAAACGCTACAAACATTTCAGAACCTCCTCTCATGGCATGGCATTATAGCGAAGAGTGCCACGTCCGACAAATGGACAGCMGCGAAATCCACCACAACGAAACTCGGCAGCAACAAACTCCTCATCCACCAAATCACAACTCTCGCGCATTTCCTCCACGCGGGATTGAGGCGCGCACCTCCAGATCCCAAAGCAGAAGCTGACAGGGCTGCTACTCTCTTCCCTCTCTGGCAATGCGATGCGCATTTACTACCCCAAAGAAGCAATGCATACGGCCACCTCAATCTATTCGGTGCGCCGCGGGATGTGGAAGGAGAAGTGTACGATGATGCAGAGGAGCGCATGAATGTATTTGTTGACTTGGGTATGGATGCTGCGATTGCAAAGGGAGTGATGGRGGCGAAGAGGGAGGGTGGGGAGCTGGGTCGAGCGGCGTCTATGGTTGATAAGGCGTTGAAGTTAGTGGAGCGGTCTGTGGGATGAGAGCAGATGTCGAGTCTGAAGTCTCCAGCGAAAAAAGACGAAGGAAAGATCAGGAGCTAGTAAAACCTCTGAGTCGTTGACCATGATAGGAAAATTCATCGATGGGCGTTTGTGCCTTCACATGCGCATCAAATCACGAATTGCAGTTTCTGCACTCCCTCGATGAAGTGCTCTGTTGAGATGACAGCTTTACCTCTCGACTCACGAAACACCCTGTTCCCATCGAATGTCGAATAAAGACCTACTCCAACCTCCCGAAGCGCAGTTACAAGCCCTAGATGCACCCAGAAATCCAACCAGGTCCTCACCGAAACCGACGACAATGGAAGATCGAAGCGCGAACTTGAGCAAGACGGAAACCAGTTGATTCATAGCCATATCATGAAATGTATCATGGCATTCCAGTGGACAGAAAACTCACTACATCTAAACAAGAAATCCCGCGCGGAGATCATTACATATCAACCAAGAAGCGAAATCTCAAAATGAATTGAAATGGCAACCCTTCCTCCCCTCATTTACTTTCTCCTTTCCCACCACCTTTCCCATCATTCTCATCTCCCTCCCCTTCCCTCGCTCCTCATCCCCCAAAGACGAAATCCCCCATCCCAACTCCATTGACAAAGCAAACCAATTCAAAGGCCTAATCCCCCCACATCAAGCCCATGAAACCACCACCTCCAAGCTTCCTCTCGACAATCATTTATCCTGTACTCGTACCTATCGCAGCTGATAAGTCTATACTCATCGCATATGCCGTCTTCTAGTCCCTAGGAACAGCCCAATACGAGTCCTTCAATCCGACGCCCCTGGACTTCGTGGTAGCAGGTCTCGGTTCTGCACTTGTTGGCTGCTGTGTAGATTGCGTTGGGACGGGAGTTATTGCTGAGTTACCATTTGTATTCGGAAGTGGAGGGGCGGGAGTAGTAATGCTAGGTGGATCCTGAAACGGATCCGTAAAATCCGGAGACATTAACTGACCTTGCCGGATCGGTGGATTTGTCACACCTCCAGTCGATACACTACTCGTATTTTCAGCTGCGGGAGCATGATGATCAGGCGAGACATTCCTCTCAGCATGCCGAGCATCTCCAGCTCCGAATTCCGGCATGCGAATCGACGTACGACGCCGATCTGCATCTCCTATAACCCCAGAAGAAATCCTCGATGGAGGAGGCTGTTGATAAGAAGGAGGAATTCCCTGCAAATTTGATGATATGCGCGATCCCGTCGGAATTCTCGGTCCCGTGGGTACCGCAGGTCCAAAACCAGGCCATGATGGCGCAGCCGTTTCAGAAGGTCGACGGAAAGGAGGAATTTTGACATCCTCGGTTGCATCTACTGTATTTCCAAGACTAGAGGACGGAAGCGGGTTTCTTCTAGTCGGCGTGGGACTTGTTGACGGATGCGAGAATCGTCTAGATCTTTCCTGTTGAGATGGACCACGATCAACATCCTCATGATCTACGCTCTTGGATCTCCTGGAAGAAGGAGGACGTACGATAGGAATAGCTTTATTCGCTGGTTGACGCTCAATAATGCCTTGTTCGGTGTAATAATTAGGATTCCCCCTTCGAGCAGCTTCTTCGGCACGGAAAGCTCGATTGCGCTCGGCTTGTTCTGTTCTCGCTTCAAAATCTTCTTGGGTTCCGAGGCCAATGGTCGTGGATGCTGTTCGGTTGGTTGTAGGGGTGGATTCTGTTGTTGTTCCGTCGGAGGGAGAGGGAGTGGTTTCGCCTTCGAGGGCCCTTTGTCTCGCGAGTTCTCTTTGCCTTATTTGCCAAGGGGGTGTGATTGGTAGTGGACGAAGACCTGTTGGATGATAGTGTTAGTACATACTTCGAATGGTTGGAAGAATGTGGACACTCCGCAACCCTCGCTCTGCGAAACGTTGTACTCACTTTCAGCATTCCCCTGTTGAACCGCTCGTCTCATCCCATTACTCCRCCATCTGCCACGAATCGTCTGAGTCTCCGGTCCCTCCAAAATCCCCTTGACTCCAGCAGAATTTGCGTCGTTTCTCGACATGATTTTGACTCTCGCATACTCCTCATCATCTTTCAGCTCAAAGCGATGATATAAATCGTCCCCATCTCTAAACGTCCTACAATACACATCAGGTTAGAAATCGACTGTGAAACAGACAATTCTCCACCACATTACTCACCCCTCATAGCTAATACGTTTGCGCTTCTCATTAGGATATCCCGGTACGATCTGGATATTTGCCGTAGTGACCGATTCTTCAAACTCATGCAATAATTCGCCAAGGAGATCCCGGAGAGCTCGTGGAACCTCATCGATCGGGACGAGTTCATGTCCGAGTTCAGGAACGAGCTCGGTCCACTGTTGTAGTAATTCTTCATATTCGACCCTTGATTCGCTCGATCTGTTAGAGTTTATTCGTGTCAATACCACCTCGAACATTGATAGCAGCCTATGCTGTATCGCAAGTGGAATGTTACTTTGGTGGAAGATGAACGTAGACGCTGGCCTTTGAGCCTCACCGTGGTCGGTAGTTCCAGCTGGCTCTGTGTGATGCTCGTGTGTTGTGTCCTCCCCGTTACCTTCAGCCGGCGAAGCGTCCGGGTCTGCGGGAGCCTGCTCACCCCCAAGTCTCTGGATTTGACTCTCAAGTTCCTGGATTCGAATTCTGGCTTCGGCTAATTGTCTCCTGATCTCATCGCAATTCTCCTCAGATCCAGAATCCGGAGCGGTATTGCGTGGTTCAAGTACCCTTTGACTCAGAAGATCACGAAGCGCGGTTCTTTGCACTTCAAATTCCGCCTCCCACTCATCGCCTCGCTCAGCTGCCCATCTCTCCCCAGGAGGAGACTGTGGTTGTGGAGGTGGAGCATTTGCACTCTGACGGGGTTGCAAAGGGCGTGCACTCAGAAGAGAGCTGAAACTGTCCACTGGTGAGATGACAGGCGGCTGGTTTTGCGCGCCAGTACCTCTTCGAAGCCTTGCAAGCTCTTCCCGTGCTAATCGCAGCTGCTCCCTGACTTCATCACAAGATTCTTCAGGCTCGGACACTGGCCCCTGCCCCTGATCGGTCCCTCCAGATCCTGTAGCAGTGGAATCCAATCTCCTCTGTAATCTTTCCAAAGATACCTGGAGATCCGCGGACTCTTTCTCAGCGTCTTCGCGCTCTTGCACCAACGTAAGACGAGTTATTTGATGATCATCTTCTTTAWCGCTTAGCGTTTGTTCGAGTTCTCGGACTTTATCTTCGGCTTCTTTCTGGGCAGCCTCTGCGTCGGTTACGTCGTTCTTAAGCTGTTCGATCTTCTCCCTGGCATCCCTGAGTTCTGCCTTGACATCGGCACAAGGATCAACAGGCGGGTTAGTAATTGACGCACCCTCGTTTTCATCCGGCATTGGTGCCGTAGCAGGTGTTGTCTGCCCTTTGGATTCGTCCTGAGATCTCTGAATGGCGGCAAGGTGCTCTCTGGATTCCCTCAACCTATCCTTGGCTTGCCCCTTTGCCCGATCAGCCCTAGAAGTAGCATCCCTCGCTTGACCCAGCTGTCGATTCAAATCCGCGACCTCCCGACGCACAGTCTCCAAGGACGTCGTGGTAACTTCCATGGTCATCAGATTGTGGGCTCTCTCTCTCTGAAGATCGAGCTCGGCTTGATCTTGCTTCTCCTTTGCCCTTCGACAATCTTCTTCGCAAGTCGAGCTTCTTTGGCCCGATTGCTCAGAAAGCCGGATTGCCTTTAACTCCAGTTCCGCTTCGAGCTCCTCGCTCCAACTATTAGCCGTCGCAAGATCTATCTGTGCCTGCTGAAGCTGCCTTGTTATACGTCTGAGCTCTCTCTCGCACTCATTCTGCGTCCGATCCTCGTGAGGTCCACTTCCGGTTACTTCGTCAATCGACTCAGCGTCTGGGCCATTTTGGACTCCACTGATGATCTCTTTGAGCTCTTGAATACGATTCTGAGCTTCCCGAAGACTTCTTTCGCATTCAGGTTCCGGAATTCGATTTTCCCGCTCCCTCAATTCCGCTTCGCGGTCTTGATAGTCCTGCTTGTCTCTTAGTTGCCTGTACTCAAAATCTTCCATGATTCTATCAACCCGATCGAATGCTGCCTTGACTTTTCTGTCTGCTTCTGCATTCGCATGCGCAATGTCATTTTGCACAGCAGCTCTGGTTGCGGCGCAAACCTCGCATTCACCAGTGGTTCGTATTGTGCCATCATGAGGCAAATTAGATCCGTCTGTAGAGCGATTTGCGTCCTGTGCAGCATCATCAATCTGACTCTGCAGATCCGTGACCTGCGTCTCCGCAGCTTCCTGGGCAGTCCTAGCGGCATCAAGACTCTCCTGCAGCGTTCTTTGTCTAGTCTCACATTCGGCGTGGATATCGGGGGAGGCATCAGTATTCGTCGCAGCATTATTGGTGGCATTTGGAGTCGGATTCCAAGTAGCGTTGAGCTCAGTAAGCGCATTGCCAAGTCTTGTATTCTCAGCACGAGCATTCGCCAGCTCCGTAGCAGCCAATCTAGCCGCTTCGGCAGCAGTGTCTAGTTGATCCCGAAGTCTCCTACGATCGGCTTCGCACCTCTCAAGGTCATCAGAAGGTGACTGAGCTGATGCGGCAGGTGCTGGAGTAGGCGTTGGGCTGGGATACTGCTCTGGAGATCCGTTGATGACACTTCGACCGTTCTGCAGAATCTGATCGAGCCTCGCAAGCTTCTCGGCGCCTTGCGATGCTAGGGCATGAGCGGCGTGGAGTTGTCTCCGCAGCTCAGCACGCTCTTCTCTGCATTTGTCCAAGTCGTCAGGGGCATCTCCATCAGATGTGACATGTGAGGTAGGGAGCGAGTTTGATCCATCGGTCGTCCTCTCAGTGTCTTCCTCGGAAGCTCTGGTTAGATCAAGTCGGTTTTGAAGGGATTCGCGACGCCTCACGGCTTCACCAAGCCTCGCCTCAGTATCATTCAACTGTTCTAAACACTGCGTGGCCAACGTCTTTGCATCGTCGAGTTGCCTCTGAAGCGCGGCGCGGCCTCTTTCGCACTCAGCGAGTGGATCCTCTGCTGCCTGCCTGTCAGCGATTACAAGTTGCCTGGAGGCCTCGTCGGCGACTGCCTGCGCATTAGCCAGCTGCCCCTGGAGCACTTGACTTCCTCGTATACACTCATCCAGAAGAAGTTTATCGGAATCGATCTTGGCTTGAAGTCCTGCGCCTCGCTTGTGGCAGTCCTCGAGGTCTCCCCTGAGTTGCGCCTCTCGGACAGCCGCCGTTTGATTGTTGGAAGTCTGTGCAGCTTTGAGGGAATCGATCTTAGCCTGTTGTTCTACTCCGTGCTGTCTGCACCTCGCAAGCTCATCTTCAAGCCTCTCCTTTTCCCGAAGAAGATCAGAAGATGGAGGATCACTGCCACCGCCACCACCGCCTCCTCCAGGACCGCCGTTATTTCCACTAGGACCACCCAGGTTTCCTCCAGGAGCGCCGACGTTTCTGCTGGGACGATGCCTAGTGTGTCGACAAGGAATACAGAACAAGTATATCAGAAGTAGAAGCACAGCCAGCAATCCCACAAGCCATGGCAATATATCCCGCACAAAGTCCTCGCCCAGATCCAATTCCGGCAGACGCAGGTCCGACAACCAGTTTTTCCAATCAAAGCAGGGCTTCAGCGTTGGGCATTGAGCTTGAAATGTAGTAGGATTCCTAGGCTCGCAATCCTTTCTCTGAATGTATTCGGTATAGACTACGGGTATCTTCACGGCTTGCCAACGAGTGCCATCTGGGTTTGTGCCATTGGGCCAAGGCAGGCATTGCTCGCAGGGTGGACAGATGGTGTGCGGTGGGGAACAAATCGCACTATCGCCTATGTACGCAGCGATGCCCCAGATGCCGTKCACCCATGCCGCGGGTGCCCAGTCCATTGCGCCTGCTAGGAAGGTCGAGTATGTCCTGATATGCAATTATGGAGTAGAATATCCCGCCCTTGTACGCTCGAACAGCTGCTGGGACATTTGCGAATTGCATGAGGAATTCGTGTGGAAAAGGGAGGATAATGAAATGGGGTCTCGCCGTTTCTGGCATCTTGTTGACAAAGAACGTGACAATTGTTAGAAGATGACAAAGAGCTGAGAGATCTTGCCCACACACTTAGCTTGTCGACATCGTCTTCTGGTCATGGTAAGGTCGAAAGCGGGGCGGAAGGGGAAATATGTTGTATAGTGAAGGGGATCGGTATTCGCTGTCTGCGATGGGTCGTGGCTGTAGGACGTCTAGAACGAGAATCTCGGTAGGAAGGAAGCCCACATTTCGTACAATAGATAGTGTAGCTAGTAAGCGTTACTACTGATCTCTTGCGATATGTGGTATACACACTCACAGGGCTGTGCGAGGTGGAGAAGCACGTGACGAAGCAAGCATTCCCTGGTAATATGTCGCGTGACTCGRAGTTGCTATACGCGGGAACAATCCTTAACGTGTCTTATTTAGCAATCGTCCATCGACGCTATCGTCATTGTCGGTCCTGTCACAATGACAGCAGGAGTGAAGAGTGCACATGAGGTGAGGTCGTGGATTCGCGGCATTCGGCCCGGAGAGGCGTCGTCGTCATCGGCGGCGAAGGAGAATTCCATACCGTATCATCCTTGACACGTCGGCCCTGATTTCTCCAGCAGTGCAAGGCTGCACAAGCCGACACGAAAGAAACGAAGGGATCATAAGTGATACACGGGCATGCAAGCGAGGAGAAACATGGCATGACATGAAAGTACAAGAGTCGCGGAGTAAAAGAAAAGGGAAACCCTCCCATCATACAGTATAAAAGATACAAGGAGCAAGMATGGCGACACCCTCGAAGAAAACCTCCGATTCGGCGTCGAAGCCTATGCTCCGCCAGCGACAGTCGTCAACCCTCCACTACCAAACCTTCCCCACCGCGCCGCCCAGGAATGCAGGCCGCCCGCCGCCGACGRGGAGGGATCTTAAGGGCGGTGCCTCGTTCAACGGCAGCGCGAATGGCGCACCTTCCCCATCCGACCACAACGGCGGCGGCGGCGACGACGACGATTCCCATGCCTCCGACTCCTCCAATCAGACGCCGCTCCCCAAAGGCCAACTCGCCATCTTGGCCGYCATTTCCCTCGCCGAACAGACGGCCTTTAATTCGATATCACCCTACCTGCCTGATATGACATCTTCGTTCCCGGATGTGAGCGAAGACAAGATTGGCCTATATGTAGGACTCATCGCATCGGCCTTTGCGCTTGCCCAGTTCTTGACCAATTTCATGTGGGGATGGTTATCCGATCGCGTGGGACGGAAGCCGATTGTGCTCACGGGCACCTTCCTCACGGCGATATGTTTTGTGGCATTTGGATTCTGCAGGACTTTCTGGCAGGCGGTTGTGGTGCAGGCGTTGATGGGCGTGGTCAATGGCAATCAGGGTGTTATCAGCACGTGTCTGGGTGAAATCACCGATCGTTCCAACCAAAGCCGCGCATTCACATATCTGCCGGTGATCTATGGAATTGGTGGAATTACCGGACCCCTTGTTGGAGGACTACTAGTAAAGGAAGGCCACCAATACCCCTTTCTGTACCCCAACCTGTTCGCCGCCGGTGTGCTAGCACTGGACCTCATCCTCACAGCGTTCTTCCTGAAGGAATCCCTCGACATTAGCGATCACGAGCTCCCTCCGCTGAGAAAGCGCATAGGAAGCCTCTTCTCCTGGATCTGGCAGTTCAACAGCTCCTCCCACAATCCCTCATACACCCGCCACCACACCCACCAACGCAGACCCACCCATCGTCCCATCCTCCAAGAAAACTCCTACAACTCCGACTCGGAAGACTCGACGACTCTCTCCCAAACCTCACACCAGCAAGAAAATCTCAAATGGTCCCAGGTCGTCAACCGCGACACCCTCCTCCTCCTCTCCACCTACCTCATCTTCCAACTCAGCAACGTCTCCTACAACTCCCTCTACCCCATCTTCTCCCAAGCCTCCCCGCCCACCGGCCGCTCCCTCTCCACCACCGAAATCGGCTCCTCCCTAGCCTTCGCCGGCCTAATCACCATCCTCTTCCAAGTCGGCATCTTCGGCAAACTCCGCCAACGCATGGGCAATAAATCCACCTACCGCATCGGCCTCTTCGGTTTCGTCATTTCCTTCTGTCTGATGCCCTGGATCGGCTACAAAGATGGAAGAAACGGCACACATCCCGAAACCCGCTCCGGAAGAATCTGGTTGGGAGTGGAATTAGGCGCGGTCCTCATCATTAAGACTGTAGCGGCTGTAGGAGGCCTCACATCCGCTTTACTCTTAATCACGAATTCCGCACCTAGTCACGCCGTTTTGGGCGCTTTGAATGGTTTGGCACAAACTCTTTCTGCTTTGGGCCGAGCGGTAGGACCGTTTATTAGTGGTGCGCTTTTTTCTGCTGCGACAAAGGTTCATCCCAAAGGGGAAGCGTTGGCTTTTGGGGTGTTTGGAGGGATTAGTTTGGTGGGGTTTTTGATGAGTTTTGGAATTCGGGGCAAGAGTTTGGAGGCTGAGGGGTGGGATGAGGAGGAAGGTCAGGATGAGGAGGAGGGAGATGAGGATGAGGATGATGAGGAGGAGGATGATGAGACTGTTGTGAGGAGGTGAGGGGGGTGTCGTCATACATGTATATGGATATGATTGGGATTGATTTGTTTAGCGAGGCGTTTTTTTCATGGGTGTATGTGTATGTGTGGGGAGGGAGGGAGTGGAAAGCGCGCTTGTATAGATTGCGCGGTGCATGTGCGAGGGATGCATAGGGTTGATTGATGAGAGATGCCATGTGTGTTAGACAGGGCTATTATCTACCGAGTTCGCATGAAGCAGTACGAATTACAATACTGGATATTTTGCTTGGATTCAGACACCTGTAGAAGAACAAAGCCTCATATATTCAACACGGCATCATCAGCCTGACATAAATCCCAAGTCCCAATAATATATATCTTAGCCAGCATAATCAACCAGTTTCACACTCTTCATCTCCCCCTCCCACCCGTCCCCCCCGATCCTCCTTAAAGGCGCCACAATAGCCATTTCCGCCCAAACAAAGCTCGCACCATTAATCCCCATCTTAGTCGTAAACTCCATCTCAGCCTCATCATTTACAGAGAAATAAGTCCTATTCCCCTTACCAATCAAACTAGCATCCACCCACTGCCCTACAGGAAGACTGTAATTCAACGCATAGGCTTCCCCGCCCGTCACGAGCATCACGGCGCCGGAAGTACCGTTTCCAGATCGGAGTTGACTGTCGGGACCGGTGAAGAGTGCGCCGGTGTGGTTTGTGGATTGCTTGAGGGTGAAGGATAGGGTGTAGTTTTGGCCTTTGGAGGTTAGAGGGGTGGTTATTGAACAGGCGTTTTTGAATTGTAGGGCTCCGTTTACGATGCTGCAGTTTGAATTTCCGTGGTAGTCGTTTCCGGAAAGGTCGGTGACTTGGTCGGAGACGGGAGAATTTGGGACTGGTTTGGCGGTGAATTGGTAGTTGAGAATGGTAGAGGTTTTGGATTTGATGCGACGATCGAGGTTTTGTGCTGGTGCTGCTGCATGCAAGGTCGGATAAATGGAGTCGTATTGTTCCTCAGTCACTTTGCCTCCCCATTGCTTATCTGCGAGAGCTGGTAGGTAGTCTCTCCACGAGTAGTATGCTTCCAGGACTGTACTTGCGTTGGGACCGTAATCGTTCCATTGAGCGGCGAGCTGGCCGATAACGTAAGGATTGTCTCTACTTGGGTTGTTGGTGGCGTTGACGATGTCGAAGATGTCCGGTGCGTAAGCGCCTCCCAATGGGTCTCCGTGGAAAATGGTCGTTTTGTTCAGGATTTGAGGGTAGGATCCTGACCACTTTGAGACTATGTAGTTTCTGTCGTCTGAGTTGATGACGCTGTAGCCGTTGTTGATGTAGTCGAAAAGTGCATTGTCCTCGAACGCCGCCCAGTGTTGAAAAGCTACGGATGTAGGTATGTTGTTGTCGTAACTGTGTTAGATCAATGTCAATAGCCGCAATTTGACATTGTGGGTAAGATGTCAACGTACGATGTATTCGGTGGAAATGTTCCCCATACTCTAATGGACTTTCCGCTTTCTGAGGGAATGTATTCATTCATGGCGTTGACGAATGTGTTGTATTCCTCCGCCAGTGCACTGCATGCCAAATTAGCATTGGAGGTAACACGATGAAGAGAAGATCATACTTGTCCGACAATGATGTATCCACATACTCATCAGCTCCTATGTGAACCACCTTGCTATTGAACCATGGCAAGAAAGTGCTCCAAATGGTCTTCATCTGCGGTATAGTGCCCGGATAAGTGATGTTCAAGAGATCTATCTGTCCTTCCAGCGCCAACTCGGGCTTCCATTGCGTAAAGACCAAGGCATGACCGGGTGCCTCGATCTCGGGAACGAGCGTTACACCTCTAGAAGCACAGTTCTGCTCCATATAAGCGTAGTCGGATTGAGTGTAAGATTCATTCTGTCTTTTGTTCAATCCCTCCAATGCAGGATCATCTGACCACAGCCGAAATGCCGAGTAGAGTTCTTGTGATCGTTCCAGGGAGTAAATCTTGACGTTGTTGTAGAGGTTGTCGGAGATGTGGAAGTGGAAGGTGTTTTGCTTGAAGAAAGACATCCAGCTGCACATCTCTACGATGAAATCCGGGGGAAAGTAATGCCTTCCAGCATCGAGCATGACACCCCTGGTGTTCCATCCTGGCGCATCGATGCCATTGCCATTCGCGATGGACCCGTCATTCAGTACCGCTTGTTGTAGGATCGTTCTTGTTCCCCACCATACTCCGAGTGGGCTTGCTCCGCTGATGGTAACCCCAGAATCGGTAACTTGAATGGCGTAAGCCTCAGATGTCATTCGACCTGCGACGTCCACAAAGCCGGTGTTGTTCTGAAGGGTCAGGAAGATCTCGTTGGTACCGCATGAGACTCCTTCCGAAATCGAAATGTTTGCGCCCATGATATCAGCCCAATCATCACCGAAGGTCCTGGCAAACTCGGAGAGAGTTGGAGGTATCAGAGTCCATCCATCGTTGTCAACAGCGTTGGCGAAATTCGCATCAACGACGATTTTTTGGACATCGCGAAGGTTGAAGCTGCCGCCATCATTGACCGTGGTGTATGGTACGGTTGGAAGTCCTAGGAGATCTGCAAGTACTCCTGAGCCGCAATAAAGAGCAAAAGTAAGAAGTCTTGTAGCCGCCATGATTTCAGCTCACAGTGTGAACAGAAACAACAAGATGTCAAATCAATCTTAAGTCTTACATGTCAATGTATCGTTGCAATGTCAGTGTATCGTTGCAATGTCAGTGTATCGTTACAATGTCACCGTGGGGTTGATGTCAAGCTTCGATGTCACCTACAAGGGATTGGAAATGATCGTCCAAGTGGGGCCCTACACGACGTCAGATTGGGAAAGATAGGCAAGGTCATTTAACCGCCATAATAAATACGATCTCGCCTTGACGCAAATGCAAGTGCGGAGAAGTTAGTGCGCTTCAACGTAGCAGTGTCTGGGGTAGGCCTGCAAAAGCATAGCCGGAATCCACCCTRATAGGCCAGTCTTTCAATGCCCCAGCTGCTTATCGATTTTCTCGATGCTTGTCGTTGTGTCGAGTGTTGGCTTGAACAAAACTGCTCGACCTGAGGTCTGCGGTGTAATCCGTACGCAGGATGGATTCGGAATCGACTTCCAAGACACACAATCGTTCTCTCCGCGATCGCTAGGCTTTGTGCTTCTAGTAGGCCAGCTAGTCCGTGGACTTGCAACACGCGATAGGGAAATCGAGCAGCTCCACGTCTTATCTGGCCACAAACAATACCTCCACACAGTGTCACATTCCGCGGCCATCTCCCGTATCAAGACTAGTCGTAAGGTTCCATGAGCTTATTCGTCGCTACTGCCTCTGCAAAACCATCAAGTGCTGTGGTATGGCACCACGGCTTTGCATTGATTTCATCCTCGATGGTCGACGAGAAGCACGACGACCACTTCATCCGGGGATGTCTCTTGACAATCTGCTCGATGACATCAAGATGCACGAGATGTGGCTGCCAGCCCATGTTGTCCAATTCAGTAGATATTTGGATCAATTGGACCATTCTCGACACTGTGCCAGTCTCTCCAGGATCCTGATGACGGATGATGGCTTCGCACACGCTTTCCGCTTGGGGGAGTGGGGCACCGAATGATTGAAGTTCCTTCAGTGCAATGAAACCTCCTTGGAACTCGAAGGAGAGGTGGGTGGCCGCTCTATTTTCAGAAGTTGTGCCAATGTCATGGAATAGGCAAGTCAAGGCCCATGTCTCCATGAAGGAGCCAATGTTCCATTGCGGGAAGTTCTGGGTGACAATTGTGTGACCTGCAATAATGAATGAGTATACGCGGTCTGTTGCGGCGGTCATTAGAACTTACCGTAGTAGTAGACTCTTAGGCTATGGTTGTAAGTCTGCTCTGATAAATGCATTTTGGCATAAGCCTGTGCTTCATTGACGACAGACGTCTTTGGCCAAACACCTTCAAAATTGACTTTGACGGCGTTCGCGGTGACCTTGTCGTCGGAAGGGACATTGGACCGGTTGCGAGGGACGCTTGTCCAGCCGAATTGATCATGAATGTTTGATTCGGCCATGTTTGTTTGGAGTTTGTAGAGAGATGATCAGAGGCTGGAATGTGTTGGGCCGATTGAGGATGTTGTTAGATATAAATCGGGAGTGATGCAAGAGATTTCGTGAGTAGTGGTCGTTAATAGTGCGTGGCGTGCAGCAAATTCGATGCCCTGTAACCAATGTGCATGAGTGAAGCTGAGCTGACGGCATGTGCCCCGGTTTTTTGTGGTTACGCGAATGTGATGCAGGTCGAGAACATCCACCTCATCCTTGGATCAGCGTGAGATCGTTTTGCAGCAGAACGTTACAGCTCCCCTGATGCATCACATGGCGCTCTTTCCATGTTGCTCTCGACTGAATCGGCCGAAAGCTTTGCTGAACTGCAGCCCGCTAGGCCACAAAACACACTGCGATGCTACGGGACTCTGTAACATGCGAAAGCAAAGCATTGGACTACCTCGAGTTGGCCCTTTCAGGATGTGTGTCTCGCCCTGCAAGTTCACAAACTGAACTCCAATCTATTACCTGCGTACCGTAAGCTGATATTCCAGAAAGAGTGTCATTTGCGCCGACTTATTACCTGCATAGTCTCTTGCGAAGAACCGTGATGGGTACTCGATGCCTTGGGAACCTACAATAAGCGTATCGTGTCAGATCCTCCAGAGAATGCATGTGAAAAGCGTAACGTACCACTATCGGTCTTCCCAGGTTCGTCCGCCTCCTGAGGTGCTGCCTCGTCAGCGCATTTGAAATGGTCCCAGATGCGTTGACGCAGGGCAAGCAGGCTCTCGGGAGACTCTATCTTGAAGCATGGATGCCTCGAAGACTTGTCATTGGTACCAAATGCAATATGTACCTGTTGACCAGAGGTGCCAATATCAAACCTGAGCAGCTTTGTCAGTCGTCGACTTGTTGAAACCACTTATACATCTCTTACCAAGCCAATCTACCCCTTTGCAGCTCTGGGACTCTCCTGGGAGTCAGCCCAAGAGTGTCGCCATAGAAGCGGGTCGCAAGCTCGAGCGAACCAGCGGGGACCAGCAGGTTGACATGGGCGATGCCGCTAATCATCTTGGTCTTGAATGGGAAGATGGATGGAGTGAACCAAGACTACTCAAGCGCCGATGACCATCGAATGTTGCTAGGTAGAGATGCCTAATACCTGACTTGGGCCTCACGAGTCATGTGGCACTCCTCATCGGCATCTGTCGGCAATGTAGCTCTGCGATATCGCCGGAGCACGTCACGGATCGGTGCCTGGTCCGGGATTCCAATCAAATATTGACTCCCACGTGCCTTGGATTTGATGACTGGCCATACCTTCCATTGATTCCATACACATGCAGATTTCCATGCAAATCTCACGCCGAACGCGAGCGAACACGACTAGTAGTCTGGAAGTGGAAGGAAAGATACCTTACATGTCAGGGTGACAGAAAGTGACTTCCAAGAATCCTTCTTTTGTCGGAAAGCTCGGGCCACCAAACTACTTTCCTTGGCATTGGTCTACTCCACAACCATCTTTCGCTTGTTCGGCCCCAGCTACCTCTTAGCTACACCCGCACCTCACTTACCTTAGCTAGTTGAGAAGTACGCATCGAAAGCGGAGATACGATCGCCTTCGGTTACTCGACCGCAGTTCATGCGCCAAACAGCCGAAGACTGATTGTTTCTTTTAACCCGCGCGCGCAAGAGGTTTCTACTTCTCTCCGCCAAACGTAAGTGGTCTCGCTCTCTCAGCATGGCGTCGCTACTTTCCTTCCTGAGCACTTTGCTTCTTGTCTCCTCCTCGGTCACTGCTCAACCTACCTACGGAGGGTCTCCCGTTGCTACGGTCAAGAATGGTACCTACGAAGGCCGCTTTGAACCATCATATGGAACGGAATACTTTTTGGGCATTCCGTATGCGCAGCCTCCCGTCAAGGATCTTCGTTTCCGGCCGCCTGTTCCGTTGAATTCATCATGGGAAGGTACCAGGAATGCTACTGAGTTTGGATACCAATGCATTGGATATGGCAAAGACAGTAAGTGAACGAAGGGCAGAAGGCGTGCAGAGTAATTCAAAAATGTCACTTGAGCAAGGCAGGCTGTAGGCTACGTTGGAATTAACCAAAACATTGCTGACCTTTATACCCTTCCCTTTTAGCATGGAGTCAAGGTAACTACGTCAGTGAAGACTGTCTGACGCTCAACGTGATCAAGTCGCGCGGATCTGGTCCGGGTCTACCAGTGGTCGTATGTTTTCCCAAGAAAGACGAGTAAAATTGTTTAGGTGGAAGAGCTCGCTGACGTCTCCCAGGTCTGGATTCACGGCGGAGGATACACCAATGGAGGCGCATCGGACAACCGTAGGAGCCCTTGTCATGTGTTTACACGAGTTGATCATACTAACATGGCTGGCTAGGTTACAACCAGTCCTTCATCGTACAGCAGTCCGCAGAAGCAGGAATGCCGATTCTCGCCGTGTCAATCAACTACCGTCTGAGCTCGTGGGGATTTCTTTACGGCAAGGAAGTGCAGGACAGTGGCAACACGATGCTCGGGTTCCGCGATCAGCGTCTCGCACTCCACTGGGTTCAAGAGGTGTGCTTCTTCTTCTTCTTCTTGATCGTAAAATGATTCACATTGACAGTATCTAGAACATCGCGGCGKTTGGTGGGGACCCCAACAGGGTGACCATTCAAGGCGAGAGCGCCGGCGCGTTCTCAGTTGGTGCCCAACTTCTGGCATATGGAGGCCGTGACGACAAGCTGTTTTCCCAGGCAATTGCTCAATCTGGAGCTCTACTCCGCCCAGAAGCCTATCCGACACCGGAGTCTTGGGAACCAGTCATTGCCAACATCTCAGCAGGCGTTGGCTGCACCAATTCATCTGATGTGCTGGACTGTCTGAGGTCTGTGCCAGTGGAGGAGCTGAGCAGTGTACTCAACTCGACAGCGACCAGCGGTGCTGTATATGGAGTGGTCATTGACGGAGATTTCATCACAAAACCCGCTGTTGAGCAGATTGAAGATGGAGACTTTGTCAAAGTACCATTCCTGCTCGGGTGTAATGCCGATGAGGGGACGAGCTTTGGCCCGATTGGAATCAACACGACCGCCGAATTGAACAACTACATCGGACGCTTGGGCTACGATAACGCCACTGCTCAGGATTTCAACATTCTCTATCCCGACATCCCCCGAATTGGGTAAGTATTCCTAAAGGGCGAGAGGTGTGCAGTGTAGTTCGAAGTTGTCCCTTGAGCTTGGATGGCACCTATCCAAGACGTCGCTAACCCTTCTACCTTTCGCTCTTAGTATCCCAGCAACCTACCCCGGCAGACCCAATGGCACGTACGGTGCACAATACAAGCGATCTTCGGCATTGGTTGGRGATCTACGCCAGCATGTTCCCAGGAGATTATCGGCACAGGCATACGCCAAATACGACGTACCAATGTACTCTTACTTTTTCAACGCGAGGGTATGAAGACCTCTTTCCCGCTGCTTCACGATATTCATTTTGCTAACCTTGACAGCCCAATGGCATCAGTTGGACATCAGGAGTTCCGCACTTCCAGGAGGTCGCTTTCGTCTTTTACAATACTCAAGGTCTAGGATATCCTCAAAATGGAGGCCCCAATCCGCTTGCCGGTAACGTGAGTTGCAGCCGTTTCGACGCCTGATATGGTAAATGCAAAATTCGTCTACCAAAGCTAACGTTGGTACGCCATTAGGAGAAACTCGTTGAGCTTGCACTACTCATGACAAGACAATGGATTTCATTCATTGCCTTTGGAAACCCCAACACCAATTTGGGAGGTGAGTCTGCGACTTCGCGGATAGCTAGATCGAGAGGTGATCCTACCTCTCCTTCTCCGCACGCTATCCAGCACTACAAAATTCCTCRATACTAACATCCCCCCAGTCGAAGCCGAAAACTGGCCCAGATATACATTAGAAGACCCCCAAAACTTCGTCTTTAGCGAAAATGTCACATCGCACGCAGAAAATGACGACTACCGCGTCGAGGGAATGCAGTACATTTCGGGTATGTGCATCGATCCGCGGAAGCTCAGCCTAAGATGTTTGACACTAACCGACTGTAGATCTCTTCGCTGCGAGGCGCGGAAGGAACTGCACAGGAATCGTGGACTGCACGAGCTGATGAATAGGAAAACAAACTAGCGTCATGAGAAACCCGACGCATAATCTTCGGCACAACTCTTGGCTTGGGGGAGGGGTGCTCAAAGACCGGAAACGGCGCATGCATGAAGGCGAATCACATTCGGTGGCTGTTCAGACGGTAAAGATGCCGCGACTAACTCCGTCGGGGTCTTTTCCCAGCGCGCAGGAATGTTTTGGGGGAACTGCTGCCATCACCTATTATCAGATGTAGCCGATATTTTGCCAGAATCCGAATGTGAATCCTTCAGATCTGTCTCTCCCCTGCATCCTCTTCTAATCTTGGTCTTCTATGTGGATACTCTTGGAGATGGCGGCGATATCCTCATAAGAAACGTGTGGGAGCAAGTATACTCGCGTTTCCAATTTTCCCTTTTCTTCTGGCGTTCTATCTTTTCTTGTTCCTCAGTCATTCATTTTCACTCTCGACTACAGATTCCACCACCAACCCACCAAAAAGAAACCTTTGATACAGCTTCAAAAATGGTCCTAAACAACCAAGTCATAGTCCTGTTCGTCCTCCCTCCCTCCCTTCCCTCCCTCCCAACCAAAATCCTTCCACATCAACACCACCCACCCAATCTAATCTCCCATCTTCATCCTCCCAGAATCGTCGTAGCAGCAGCAGGAGCAGCAGTACTCTGCGGCTACGCCATCACGCGCTTCTACACGAACTCGGCTCCGAACGAACATCTCGAAGGCGTGGGCGAGGAATTCTCCCAGGCGCAATATCAACGGGAATTGAGATTAAGGAATACGGAGAAGATTGCTGAGATGACGGGACATGGTCGTCATACGCTGGTATGATATTTTTGATGAGAGAGGGTTTGGGATTATTTGRGGTTTTTGATTGCTGAGATTGGTGATTTGTGTAGAATGAGATGAGGGCGAATGCGCATTCTGCTCTCTCGTGAACACAAGGAGAACGCTCGGGGTGTTTTGAGGATGTGTTCTTGGAGAGGGGACTGGTTGGTTGGAGATGTGGTTGGATGATGATGCTGGATCTGTGTCGTCTCCATGGAAAAAGTACGATCCGCGTGGAAGGCGTCGAACAGGACGAAGGATGGCCGAGAAGGAAGAAGGAATGCGATGAGCTTTTGAGGTACAACTCATCATGGGACAATGATACAACAAACTCAGGACTTGGAGATGGTTGGTATGCCATGCATGTATCAGAGTGGTTTATCAATCTCTCTGTAGGCATCGGWTTGTCACCAGATATCCCTGTCAACGGACATCGGCAGAGGATGTCACAGATCACTGCCCGATGGTTGCGACGATCACATTCATTATTATCAAGTATGACACACAATATGCATGAGACAATTGTTCATCCTTCGTTCGTTGTCCGATTCCATGAAAAAGCTTCTTCACGATTGGCTCGTAAACTAGCTCGCATACCGCTGCAGCGCGTCGTCAGCGAGGCTCAGCCGTTGAGTTGAGAGGCATTTTATTTCCAAACAACGACTTCACATAACATCCACAACATTAGCATCAAAAAACATCAATCGACAGTACCTTATCTATCATTAACAATGAACTCCGAAGCGGATATTCCCACACGAAAACGAGCAAAATCCCACCAAGAATATCTCGAAACATTACACCCACCTTCCCCAGCAGAAATCAAACGCATCAGCAACGTGCAAATCCACAAAGAAGAAGCCACGAAACGAAAATATGAAAGCGCTCAAGAAACTCACGCCGCAAGACTAATTCAACGAGCATATCGCGGTCATCGAGAACGAAGACAATTGCAGGGATTGATGCTCACGCCTTCGACACGTTGGGTGGAAATCATCAAGGAATGGAAATATCGATCCGCGATTGCGCCGCATGATACTCATACTCCTAGTCCGATTGAATCATCACGGGGTGGTGAGAAGATGCGAGCGAGAGCGACTTCTGATGTTGCGCAATTACGATGGCGACGAGCTACGCAGATTGCTGAACGAGCTGGGGGAGGCGCGATTACTCCTCCCGTGGTCGATGCAGTATCCCAGTCTCCTCCTACATCTACTAAGAGGAGATTTTCTGGAAGAAAAACTTCCGAGAATAATGTCGACAACTCAATGCTTTTGGATCTCCGGTATTTTCTAGAAATGGTCGATCTCAAACATCGTTACGGAGCGAATCTGCAAATCTACCATTCGGAATGGAGGCGCTCACCCACCACGCAGAATTTCTTCGAATGGTTGGATCGTGGGGAAGGAAAATATTTGGATCTTCCCATGTGCCGTCGTGCGAAATTGGAAAGTGAACGGATCAGGWATTTGAGTAAAGAGGAACGGAAAGATTATCTCGTGCAAGTGGATGATGAGGGGAAACTTCGCTGGGCGAAGAATGATTGTCTTATCACCACCAGTAGTGATCGATATCAGGATTCCATGGCGGGGATTGTGGAGAGAGGGAGTGCGGAGTCTACTTTTGATGATGAGGATACGAAACGCAGGTTATCTGCTGATCTGGGCTTTTCTAGCAAACTCGCTGCTATCAACGGGAGGTACTTTCGCGGCACAGCTCCGAGTCATTTGAGCGACGAGACATCATCTTCCGAGTCTACTAGCGACAGTGATATCGAAAGGACACAAACGGAGCAAGATATCGTCCATCAAACCGCCACGAAAGACAGCACTCCACGGAAAAAATTCCACGTCTCGCCCGCCACGATCCTAAATCATCTCCTCCGCGCATCCGTCCGACCGGGAACTTGGATCTACGTCGCCGACACGCTGGGGAGATTATACGTCGGGATTAAATCTTCGGGGAGTTTTCAACATGCTTCTTTCCTTTCGGGCGCGAGGATTAGTTCTGCGGGAACGATAGGGATTGAAGATGGGCAGTTGAAATATTTGAGTCCGCTGAGTGGACATTATCGCCCTACTACGAGATCTTTCAAAGCTTTTATGAATTCTCTAAGGGAGTCTGGAGTGGATGTTTCCGAGTTGAAAGTTTCGGGTGCGTATGCTGTGTTGTTGGGGATGGAAGTTTATGGGAAGTCGAAGAAGGGGATTGGGAAGATTGTTCGGCTTAGAGATGGGGAGAAGCGAAGGAGTAAATCGCAGAGGAAAAGTACTAGTGAGAAGGGTGGAGAGATGGAGTCTTTGGCTCCGTTACAGGAGGATGCATCGATTGGTGCTGTGGAGAGGGTTGAGCGGAGTTGGGAAGCGGAGCATGAGCAGAGGAGACGCTTGGGTAGATTTCACATCCATAGGAAACGCTCGTCGACTGGGAATTCGTCGCAGGGAGCGGAGGGTGCAGTGCGTGGAAGGTCGCCATGAGGTTTTCATAGATACCCCAATCGTCATGAGAGACTACTGATAGAGACTAGACAAGTTTACGGTAGTGAGACACATGTGATTCGACGCTTGGCTCAAGCTATGCTACATTTGGCGCAACCATCTCATGTGGCGCATGAAGCACAACGATCGCCTACTTCAGCGAAGCTACTGCATCTACGCTAGCGAACTTCTTTCTTTCTGGTTGATCATTCATTTTCCGTTACCAGACCGTCATTACAGAAGTGAGGCTCTTCTGCTGAAAGCATCTAGTAGCGCTTGCCCTCACGGAGAACATCGCTGTACTCCTCGAGTGGGGAGCGGATGAGCTTGGTCTCCTTCCACAAGTTGGGAGTGAGGAATGCGTAGGTGTTGGTGATGGCAACAAAGGTGGCCTTGAGGGTGTTCTCGAGGGTCTTGGTGGATCCGGAGGAGGCGGTGTAGATGTCGCTGACACCGGCAAGCTGGAGTAGACGCTTGACGGCTGGGGAGGCGACCAAACCGGTACCACGTGGAGCGGGAATGAGCTGGGTTGTATTAGTATTGGAATGGAAGGTTGAGGATGATCATGTCAACTTACACGAACGGTGACGGAACCACACTTTCCGCTCTCCTTGACGGGGATGGAGTGAGGGTCACCGAGGTTGGTGCCCCAGTATCCGCGACGAATGGGGACGACACTGATCTTGGCAATGATGATAGCGGCGCGAATGGCAGTGGCGACTTCCTTGCTGGTCTTGATTCCCAGACCGATGTGTCCAGCACTGTCACCAATAACGACGATAGCCTTAAAGCGAGTGCGCTGACCAGCACGGGTCTGCTTCTGGACGGGCTTGATCTGTGGACGAGGGAGTGATCAGTATGGGGGGGTGTTGAGATGGGGAGTATTATTCCAAGCACGCACCTTCATGACCTCGTCCTTGAGACCTGGAAGGAAGAAGTCCACAATCTGGTACTCCTTGATAGGGAGCGAGTGCAGGTAGATTTCCTCCATGCTCTTGATCTTGCCGGCCTTTACGAGACGGCCGAGCTTGGTGACGGGAGCCCATTCCTTCTCGTCGCTCTTCGCACCGCGGCCACGACCACGTCCACGACCACGGCCACGGTCTCCTCCACGGCCACGGTCGCCGCCACGGTCGCCACGCGAACCGAATCCACCGCCACGAGCGCCGCCAGCGCCTGCTGCTCCGCCTCTGTCTGCCATTGTTGCTGGTATGTGGGTGAGGGGTTAGTGAGGTGGGCGAGATGGGTGATGTCGGCGAGTTGGGAAAGCGAAATTTGAGAATATCGAGGTTCCGCGCCGATTGCCAAGATTTTTAGCCTCGTGGGTTGTGCCCGCTGCGCTAGTCTATATTAGTACTAGAGAGCTGTGTTGATTCCCTTTGTTTACTTTACCTCGCGATTGCGACTCCACCATACATGTCGATTCGCGTGAAAAGCGCGCCTTGAAACATGGATTTGGCCGTCAACAAGGAGAATATCGCGCCGACGACATCAAGCGATCCACTCACTCGGAAAGGAGTGTCAATGTCGCCCTCACCGAAGAAGACGAGTCGAAGGGGCAGAAGTAAGAGCATCGGGCCTGGACTACTGGATGAGCCCGAAGAACCCAAACGCGAGTCCAAGGACAGGCGCAAGTCTGCCTTTATACCCACCACGGCGACGAAATCGATCCTGTCCAAAGATGAGGCGGCCGCCAAAGCCGCGCGTCGCAAGTCGATGATGAACCGGCGCGTATCGTTTGCGCCGGAAGCAACGCTGCACACTTGGGACATTATCGAGCAGGCGCATGACCAGACCACATCCACCGATTCGGCAGAGAGCACGCGACGGGGTTCCGCTTTTCGTGGGGCCTCTTCCTCCCCCGGCCAGAGCTCGGATGGGGAGGAGTTTGCGTCTTCGGCGCAGGATGTCGCGGATGCAGAGTTGCTATCTTCACCGGTGGCGCAGGATCGTGCGTCGAAGAAGAAGGCACGGCGGAGCTCGGGAATCCCACCCATGAACTTCAACAACCCAGACGACTTTTCCTCCAGTGGCGCGAGCGGTAGCGAAGATTCTGGAGAAGAGGTGGAGGAAGAGGAAGATGTCTTATCTGGTGATGAAACTGGAACAGCCATGAGCCTGGACATGGACGACAATACGATGCAGTCGGGCAGTGACGGTAGTACCTCGTCAAGCACACGCATTGAATTGGCTTTGCAGCAAGCCGCCAAAACTGCAGGAACTAGAGGCATTGCGTATGATGAGTTTGGTGACATGTCCATGGAAATCGCTGGAGAGGAAATCACAAACGCCTTTCAACCGTGGGTGCAACAACATGCAATGGAGCCACTTGGGTCCGCGGCCATGGATCAAGAAAACATCAATCCCTTTTCGCCAGCTTTCAAGGCCGATATAGCATCTCGGCCAGCGACCATTGACGAGGTGGATGAGGAGGATGAAGAAGTTGAGGAAGACATGAGCATGGATGTGACTCGCGCTGTCGGTGGAATTCTAAGAGCCCAACCTGTCGCGCCAATGAGCTCTCCAACCGGCGATGGGACCATGGATCTCACACAAGCAGTCGGCAAGATCACAGGACAGAAGCGACGCAGATCTACCACCGAATCTGGCTCGCCTGGAGAAGCCATCTCCATAGCACAATCAAAGAGGAGAAGGTCTTCCGTAGCGAGATCGTCCATGGGAGATGACACTATGGATTTGACCATGGCAGTTGGAGGAATCCACAGTGTGGCGTCACCAGCGAAGTCAGAGCGAAGAAGAAGCATGCGAAATCGCAGATCATCTGGAGCAGTATCCGATGGTACGATGGACTTTACGCAAGCCGTTGGTGGCATTCATGCAGCAGGGCCGCGCGAGGACGATAGTTTGGTTGGCAATGAGGAACTGTCCATGGAGCTGACTACAGTACTTGGAGGTATTCGAACTGGTCAGGAGCCGATCCATGTCGAGTCGAGACCTCGCACACCTCAGCAGGCCCAGTCTCCAATCCGCGCGGCAGCAAACACAACACCCAAAGAACAGGAGAGATTCAAAGAGACGCCCGATTTGAGTGCCAAACAACTCCTGACGCCTGTATTTCAAGCACAATCAGAGATGACTTTGGATCGCCAAGCCTTTGTGAGCAAACCACTATTGGGACGGACGCCGAAAGCATCCGTGGGCACTACTGGATCACCTGCTCGATCGCCTGCTCGAGACGATGTAGCCAGTTTTGCTGAGATGCAGAATCAATCCACCCCTAATCTTGGGTCGTCTCCAGCCAAGACCATCTCTTATCCGCAACTTCCACCCTCCGCGCAAAAGGTTTCACCCGTGAGAACACCATTGATGAGTCCGCAGAGGCAACACGTCCAGAGAACCCCAACAAGTGGGTTGCGAATGCCGCGGGCTCTTGAAGGACACATCCTCGAGGCTTCGCCTACTGCAGAGAAGCAAATGCGAAGTTCTCCTGCAAAGGCTACTGCAACACCGGAAAAGCGTAGCTCAAACAGTGATGGTCAGAATCTGACAAACACCATAAAGTTAATGTCGACACCACGGAAAGAGACTCTGAAGAATGTCACACCCAAAAAGCACACCCCGGCAAAGYAGACATCTCCTGTGAAGGCGATCACGCCTAGAGGCCGTCCAACACCGAGAGGCCGCCAAAATGTCAACGCTTCTCCTGCAAGGCGGCTGAAAGAAGACCTCGAAAGCATGCAAGCAAATGGAAATAGCCTGGAAAAGGTCGGCCTGCAAGATTTCTTGACTCAAGCTGGCATTCGTTTCATGGACCTCACAACCACCAAGCGTAGAATGACGACTGCGCCGACTCCATCCAAGGTCAAGAGTGACTCTCAGATCCATGACGAGCCCGAGGAGGCAAGTCTGGAGAATATGGTTGTCGCTGCAGCACGTACTGTCCCTGAACTAGAACTGTACCAGCATGCTTGCCACGAACTCAAGCGTTATACCAAGGAGGGCAAGCAGATGATTTCGGAGCTTGAGGCTGCAACCTTACAAGAACAACCACCTATGATCAGAGCATATGTGCATGCTGCGCCTGGTAGGAAAGCTGAGCTAGATCTTCAGATGCGCGATATGAAGACAAACGCACGCCTTCAAAGCAAGGAGATGTGGTATGCCTGGCGCAGTCAGCTCCTTGATGAGCTGATGGTCGGTTTGCAGAATATCGCAGAAGGACTCATTAAGGATGACGAGACTCTGGCGCGGACTGAAGTGATGATTGATGAGGTACTTCCTAAACTCGTCGAGCAGCATGATGGCTTACAACAAGAGGCCGAGAGGCTGGAAGAGAGTGTGAATGCCGTTTCGGAGGAGGAAAGAGAGGAGCTCGAGACTGTACGCGAACAGCTCACAAAGACGAATTTGCAAATCACAGAGAAGAGGCTTCGGCTTGAGGAATTACAGCAACAAGTGCAAGAGCAGGATAAGCTTACGGAGAAGTTGCATGCAAGTAATGCGGAGTTCACCGCTGCCACTCAAGAAGCGAATCGAGTCCGAGAGGCCTGCCGTGGTGTGTCTCTTGGCGAGATTACAGAGTTGAAAGGTTGGTGCCGCTTGTTGTTCATTACACGTACTTTACTAATTGATCCTTTCCAGATTCCGTCAAGCAGTTGGAAGATACCTTTGGGTGGTCTATCATTTCAGCAACTTCCTCCCCATCAACGCTCACGATGACCTATAAGGGCGACCTCCAGCTTTTCCTCCACCCGCAAGCCTTTGCGCAAGAGGACGAGCTACCGAACGCCCCTATCCGCCTGACATACATCGCGGACACGCAGTCTGTATACAAGAAGAAGCCGCTGACTACTACTTTACGGTTCTTCCTACAACTCCTCCAAGCGACACTCCAGGGTCTCCCACAATGCACCACCARGCTTGGCGATTTATTATCACTCGTCAGCAAAGGATGGGACACCGCCACCGCTCTCGCAGAGTCCGAACGCAGACTCAGCATCGAGGCATTAACGGAAGTGAAAATTCTTGGAGATGAGAAGCTAGCCATTGAAGCGATTGTACTTTTACCAAAAGTCAAGACCAAAGTTCGAGCTGGCTTTGAAGTCACTGCTACCGTTGGTGCAGATATGGAAGTCGTGACGTCTGTGGAGCCGAGGGTGGTCGTGGTGTATGGGGAGCAATACAATGAGAAGAATATGGCCGAGTTCTTGAAGAGCGTTGTTCTTGGGGGGTTTGATTCGTGGGATTCTGCTGTGAGGGGTATGAGGGAGAAGTTGATTGCTAGAGGCGTCAAGGGCGCGAGGAAGTGATTGTATAGGTTCTTTTGGGGCTGATGACCGTTATGATATGGGGGGGTAGGCGGCGCTATTGTTGAGGATATCCATTTCACTTGAAGGACATGTGCAATTTTCAGTGGCGAATTCTCTGAGTGTTTGTGCCTACAATCCAAATTTACCTTCTTGTCAAAGAAACCACAACATCGTTCGGGAGAAAGAAGTGGCTTCGACCAAGCATACTGCTTAGTTTTCCTCTACTGCAGAATGTCCGTTCGGAACGGAAATTCCTGGCGCCTCCTCGCTAGTACTGTTAGTTACTATGAGTTTCTCATTTCATTGATATAGTAGTTTTGCTCTAGCATCTCTCTGGCATTCGACGAAAGAACATACCGCGGTGTTCTTAGTAGTTCCGGCTCGTGACTATGTCGTCGGAGGAGGAGGAGGAAGGACAACCGACCAATTACCCTATGGGGTTCCGAGGCTAGTTTCCTTCTCGCATTAACAGCCCTGCCTGCCTGCTTCCTGGACGCTATCCACGAAATGAATCATCAGACTTCATCTCCCATGTAAGGGGGTCGTCAACGATTAAATAGAAAAGGTCATAAAAACCAACCCCACGATCCCGGGAATCTCTAACCATTTAACACGCGACATAATCGAACTGCCCGCTGCTGAAGACGTCGTCGTCGTCGGAGAAGAAGAAGCCGCAGACGCATCCGAAGCACCAAAAGAAGTCACTTCGCTCGAAGCAGTCGTAATAGCATCCCCCCATCGATCCGTCGTAGCAGGAGGTAAAGTCAGAATCCTCGCTCCATCAACCGTAACACTCTGCATAGCAATCCCATGCGCAGTATCCGCCCACAAACAATACGGCGTCTTCGTAGGGATATAATCCCCCACAACATCCCCCGAAGACCCCCCAAAAGACGCACTGGTATATGTGACGGCGTAATTTTGGGCGTTGTGGATATTAGTCGCTACTAGACTTGCTAGGGGGGTGGGAGTTCCTGTTGTGCATGTCTGCTGGCCGTTGTTGTTGGGGATTAGGGGGAGGATTCCACCTTGTTGAGGTCCTTGGACGCGGCAGCAGAGGAGATTTTCGAGGGATATGTAGGTTTCAGTGGTGCGGTTGGGGTGGTATTCATAGAGGTCGAATGTGGAATCTATGATCCAGCCGTCGCAGCAGATTGTCGCGAAGTCGGAGGGGGTTGTTCCGCGGGTGGAGTTTGCGCAGGTGTTTAGTTCGTCGTTGAAGTCGTAGAGGGAGTATATGCACCATTCTTTTATTGTGCCTGAGGGGATTGCTGTGGTTATTGAGGACATTGTTGGGATTTATTATTATTATTTTTCCGTGTAGGGGCTTTTTGGGGGGGAGAAGATGGGAAGGAGGGCTGGAGTCTGTTTGAGAAGTTATGGCTTGAAGGATTCTTGCCAAGGGAATTATATTATATATAGTCCTTTTCAGCCGCGTTCTACTTGGCGGAAGACGACCTCCTATCGCTTAGCTATTAGAATGTCGAGTTGAACTTGTTGTTTATTTCCTTCTCACACCGATGGACGGATGGAATATCGAGATACAATGCGGGGAAACAATGTTTTAAGAGCCGAAGATTCAATGTCGTAGACGAGCTATTAAAGAATATAAAGGAGTCGTGTCTCAAGGTGTTAGGGGTTTCTACTATAGTCCGACGGACAACACGAATAAAAAAAAGGGGGGCGGAAACTACCAAAATATTCATAAAAACACCATGTTTTACTCCAAAACTAATATAAAACATTCGTCGTCGTATACCATGTCTAGTATTCCCCAACGCACAAAAACTACACCACTACCATAGCAAAAGATCCGCCACCACCCCAACCCTAACCCTGAAATTCCCCCCCAGAAGAAATGACAAAGTACATCGCAGCTTCTCACAACTCTTCTTCCGCAAAAACAAAAACAAAAACAATCAGAAGAAATGCCTCACCTCCTCCTGCATCAACCCCCCCTCCCTACCCCTAACCTCCATAGCCCTACGAGCCTGCACAAAAACATCATACCCATACCAAAATTCCTGCCTCTCCCGCCTCCCCCAAGGTTTCGCCGTCATTTCCATCAAAGGTCCTTTATAGAATTTCCTAATCGCAGAAATATGATCTGTGATGACGGGGTCTTTATTATTTTTGGCATTGCGTTGCATTTGGGAATTGGAATATAATTGCGTCGTGTTTACGCGAGGAAGGCGGAAATCATTGAGGAGTTGGAGACGTTGGGGGATACTTTCTTTCTGGGGGGAGAAGGTTGGTGGGAAGAGGATTTCTAGGGAGGCGGCGTCTTCTAGACCCATTGCTCCGCCTTGGGCCTGGTGATTGATAGATGTTAGTATAGGTTTTGATTGTACTGGGAGAGGGTTGGGGATGAGATGCTTTAGAATGGAAGGAAGGCTGGGGGGGGGAAACTTACGTGAACGGGCTGCATACAATGAGCCGCATCTCCAATAACCACCGCCCTCCCACAATTAAACCGCGGAAGTGCTTCGCGTTGCGCAATCGGAAAGCATTTCATCCCATCCCCTGCATGTTTCACAATAGCTTTCCAAGCAGGATGCAGCCCATCCAAAACTTCCAGAACTTCCTCAAGAGTTGCAGGGGAATTCCAACCTTGGTCGTCTTGATGATTGGCTCGCGTGTCGTGGAAAATTGCAACGTTGAGGATTTTGTCATTTCGACAGGGGTAGGTCATGATGAAGGTTCCGGTTTTGGATAATGCGGCGTAGAAACCTGAAGGCTGGTTTTCGAAAATGGGGCGCACGAGAGGGTCGTTGAGGAAGAGATCCATGGGGATGAGACCGCGGAAGACGGAGCGGCCGATTTTGATTAGAGGGGCGTCGCTGCCTGAGATTTGGTTGACGAATGTGCTCTGGGATGTTGGGTTAGTGGTGTTATTTTATCTTGGAGGAAGGGAAAGGGAGGGGAATCTTTACCTTGATACCATCTGCAACGACAATCATATCAAAAGTTTGCAGCTCTGCATCCTTGAACTGTATCTCTCCCTTCTCGCAATCCAAACCAACAACTTCCTTCCCAAGAACAATCTTCACTCCCCGACTTTCCGCCAGTTCCCGTAAACCTTGATGAAGATCGCATCGATGGAAAGCATTGAAATTATGCCCAAACCTCTCTCGAACATCCCCAAGATCCAACTGGATTTGCAACTCAAGCGTCTCTGGGTCAACATAACGACTTTGTTCTTTGAGAGTCTCGCCGGCAGCTTTGGCGTCGAAACCCCAATGATCTAGAATACGATTTCCATTTGGTGCGACTGTGATCGCCGCTCCGATTTCGTTTTTGAATGTCGATTTCTCGAAGATGGTTGCTTTGTGTCCAGAGTTTCGAAGGGCGATGCCGGCTCCGAGACCGACTATACCGGCGCCTATAATGGCGCAGTTGAGTGGAGTTTGGGCCATGTTAGTTTTGTGTGCGGTTGTCTTTTTGGGAGAGAGAGAGAGAGGAATGGATGTGGTTAAGAAAGCTGACGTCGTAAGGCATCCAATGTACATAGGTACCTACTTTACCTCATATCATGAAACATTGGCCGAAGCTCTCCGGCGCTATATGACTCGTACATGCTCCCGCTCACTCTGATCTGGAGTTAATGAACGAGAGCGATTTTTTGTAGGGTGACGTAACGAAGCGGACTCAAAGCAACACAACCGGTCGGATGTTGTACGCCGTCTTAGTTGTTGGAGCGATGGTGGTCGAGAGATCAGCCAATTTCGCATCTTTGGTTCGTTGATCTTGACTGGACGTAGTGCACTGTAAAGTGGTCTTCTATCTATACAACATCCTCGGCGACCGGTAATTCCGAAGTACCCTATGCCATGAGATGATGAGAGGGCTCGAGGAGGGGTAGAAGGCATAAGCTTTTCACGTTCACTCATCTAGCGCCAAGCTTGAGCGGAGCTTGCGGATCATGAGCAACAGAATAGATTCAACGACAAAGGACAATGGAAAGTTGATAGATCACATTGTACAAGCAGACAATTCATTACGATTATGAAAGTGGAGACTTACCGTCCCAGGGACGATCATTCCTCCATGTACGAGCATCAAGTTTCAGCCGCCCGACGACAATGCTTTTGCACGCACCATGCTTGAGTGTGTATACCGGCATGTGGGGTTTGCGATTCCCATAAAGCGCATATAGCAGTCTCACGGTCGACGTTGATGCCATGGATGCCTTTAATTCTTGGTCGCAGAACATTGAGTGCATCAGTAGTCATCGCTGAAGCTCTCGTCCGGTGGAAGTCTGGAGACATCGACTTCGAGCCAGCCATCGGCGTCTTCCTCGTTTTCATCGCGTTCGATGGCGACTTCCTCGCTGCCGTCTTGACTGCGGAAGAGGATCTGATGGTTGGGATCGGCATCGTCGTCTTGTTCTTCCTGCGGCATCGTTCCCGGGAGGAACGGATACGCGATTGTGAGGTGCAGCTTCCAGGCTTTGTCCAACTCGTCGCCACCGTCGTCGTCTTCATCAAGCTCGTCACCCTCGCCAGTCTCCTCGCCTCCGCCACAAGTTGACTGATACCTCGAACCTGACAGGATGCCTCCTGACAGACTCGTGATGTGTTGGTCGACCTCATCTTCGACGCTCGCAGAAGTTGCACCCACCTGATCATCCCACATCTCTGATTCCGCGATCCGCCGTGTCAGAATCGCCGACTGCTCAACATGCTCCCAGTCCTCGTATTCATCATCCACCACTGACTGGTACTGCGCCGATGCAGGGTCCTCATCGATATCACCCACGCTTCTGATCGTGTTACCATCGGAGAGTTCCCCGGGCATGCTCGAAGATCCAGAGAATGAGCTTCGACTGCCCCGTGCTTCCTTCACTCGGATATCCTGGAGGTGCGCGAAAAGTGAGATGCCTTCCACCGGCAAGCGATGTCCCACTTGTAGTCCTCGTTTCTCAAAGAAGACATCATCTTCGGACACATCGGAGTCGTCTGAGAAGGAGTTCCCGTCTTCCCGAATGGCCTTGAGAGGCTCGCCAATTGAGATTGGTGGCTGGACTGTTTGCTGACCATTCCGGCCAACGCGCGGTGAAGCGGACTTCCGAGGTGGTGGTGGTGGGAAATACTTTGGGAGGATGGGCGGGGTGTAGCGTTTGGGCGAGTCGGAGGCCTCGGAGAGAGAAGGGCGGCACGTGATGTGGAGGGGAAAGGCCTCGAGGCAGAGCAGGCTCTCACGATCTGAGAGGTTGGAGAGGCGATCATTCCGAGACTTCCTGGCGCGGTCTTGGATAAGTTGCGCTTCGGTGGAGAGGCGCTTCTGGGTGGCATCACATGCGACTGCAGTTGGTAGATCCGGCAGCTGATGAGCGGAAGGGTCGGACTTCTTTGCGCATGATGGCGCGCGAGGTGCAGCTGGCTTTCGACGAGCCGGCATTGGAGGAGGAGGCGCCACTGGTGCTCGCGTGTGATATGCGCGCGGTCGCGATGCCTTTGGATCAGGAGCGAGGCTTGCCTGATGATAGGCCAGTTGAAGCGACATGGTGAAGGCCATGTACGGGTTGGAGATGTGCGCGGAAGCGTCGACCCCTTGGGATGCGGATGCGGATGCCATGATGTTGTGGTATCACGTGGCCGTGGCCGTGGTCGTGTGTATTCTTTTATTGATCAGGCTATAATGGGGCTGGTATCGGGCGGTCGACGCGTGCAGAGAAGTGGATGAGGGCGACAAGTTGAGCTAGGTAAGGTACCTACGGGTGGGTTTGAAGTGGAGGTCGAGAAGAATTCGCATTCACTCACTTACCTACCTTGAGAACTTTCGTGTTCTGTCTTTGCTTCATTCACCATGATTCACCGAAGACATGTCTCTCCCCCCCGTCTCTCTACAGCAATGCGCATATTCGACAGGTGGCACATACATGTGGTACCCGAGAAGCGTAACGCATCCAGCCCATCAGGCCGCGATTGCTCTCCATGACGAGAAGCGACCTGATGATATGGCTGATGGCTTGCGATGATGCAGACGGGAGGGAGGGAGGGAGGTTAGTACTTGAGAGTGAAGCCAAACCACTTTTCGCGCTCCAAATATAGATTTGATCCACCACGTGGAACTCCAACCTACCTAGCTGCCGGTGGTGGAGGCGGGGTGTTCTGCCGGGCGGTGAGAACAGAACTCTGGGTGAACCTAGTGTACCAGGTAGCGACATCGATTAGGTATTGAACCAAACTCGTTGGAACACATGGAAGCCCGGCCTCGGTGGTGCGATACGTGAGTGTTTCTCAACAAACCACGGCTCAGCTTGAATATGTCGGAATGCAGTAGCCATCACAGATCGACGCGCACTTGGCCATCAGGCCCACCACGCATTTCGCCACAAATTGGGCCTAGGCCAGGCACGTTTCTCCAACTCCCGTCCCGCCTCGCTTGCTTTCCAGATTGCTTCTGGCGTCGGATCAGGATCGTGCTGGGGTAAGTTAAGGGCAGTCGGGCCCACCTGCATCCACCACGGACGACGGACGGGTCCACGGAACGATGCAATCCTGCCCGTACAGTAGTAAGGTACTTACTGTAGCAGCGATACCACACGGCATCCGTTGACTCGCGGCCTCGCTGCGCCGCTCAGATCCCTCAACAACTTGCCAGATGCGAATTGTTTGTCCGATCGGCTGCTCTTCTTTTCATCTTACAATCCCCGTTGCTAATCGTCACTGACGCCCCTCCGGTGTGATACCGATACATACCCTCATTACAATAGCACGCGAGACGAGACAGAACAGCTGCGATCCGAGTCGAAGAGCGCAGACATGCCGCAATAACGACCCAACCCGACACCTTTCTGTCCACGCGATGAAGACGTCTGGCGACGAGCGACCCAGCTGGTTCCAGCTCAAGGTCAAGCAGCCGGCCGCATTGTGCTACCAGCGCTACTTTGTCGAGCTCATCCTCCGTCAAAAGCCACTGCCACCTTCAAAGGATGGAAGACATGTCCTGCTTAATGCCGCCAACGATGCGCCACTGGTCGACGAGCGACGAGGCCATGCATACATCTCCAACAGCATTCGATCGTCGCGATATACCATCTTCGACTTTCTACCCAAGCAKCTGCTCTTCCAAGCCACGAGACTGTCCAATTTCTATTTCATATGCATAGGTGTTCCGCAAACCATTCCGGGACTATCCACCACTGGAAGCTACACAACAATCCTGCCATTGGCATTCTTCATTCTCTTGACCATGGCAAAGGAAGGATACGACGACTTTTGCCGACACAAGCTTGACAAGGTGGAGAACAACCTGTTGGCGTTGGTTCTGCGACGAAGAAACGCAGATGGACATGTGCAGGCGAGTGAAAGTGCATTGGAGAGAGCCATTTCCAAAATGCAAGGTTTACTGTGGAAAGCAAAGGCTCATTCCGAGGAGGTTGTTGTTGAAGAGAAAGAGCCGGACGAGGACGACACATATGCATGGGCCAAGACGAAGTGGCACAATGTCTCGGTCGGGGATGTGATCAAGCTCAAACGAGACGATCCTGTCCCGGCAGACATCATCTTGTTACACTCCACGGGAGAGAATGGCGTGGCCTATGTTGAGACGATGGGTCTCGATGGCGAAACCAACCTGAAGCCCAAACAGGCTCTCCCAGCTTTGCTCGATGCCTGTAGCACTGTGGGCGACATTCGACGCGCAGATGTGGAATGTGTTTTGGAGGACCCGAATCCGAATCTGTACGATTTCAACGGCAAGGTCACCGTCAATGGCACGACGCTCCCTCTAGCATTGAACGAAGTCATCTACCGAGGCAGTGTCATTCGCAACACCACGCATCTCTACGGCCTTGTTGTCAACACGGGAGAGGAATGTAAGATTCGCGAAAATGCAAACCATCATCCGACCGCCAAGGTCCCACGCTTGGAAAGATACGCAAATCAAGTCGTACTGACTCTGATCGTGTACGTCGTCACACTCTCGGTCGGATTCTCAATGGGATATCTCCTGTGGCACTCTGATTTCGAAAAGGGAGCATGGTACTTGGAAAACGCCGCTCCGGAATTCAAGCAAATCATCATCGGTTTCCTCATCATGTTCAACAATATCATCCCACTAGCTCTTTACATCTCACTTGAGATTGTAAAGGTCGGCCAATTATTGATGGTTCAGAGCGATGTCAAAATGTACGATGAAAAAACTGACACAACCATGAGATGCAACACAAACACGATTCTGGAAAACCTTGGACAGGTTAGCTACATCCTTTCCGACAAGACCGGAACGTTGACTGAAAACGTCATGCGCTTTCGCGGCATCAGTCTGGGAGGGGTGGTCTGGATGCATGAGCCTACCGCGAAAGCACATGCCACTGTTGAGGCCGAGCAGAGCGAAAAGTCAACGTCAACGATGCCTCAGCAAACCAAAGTGGAAGCCATGAAGCCATCCTTTGAAAACCCCAGTATCTTTGTAGAGGAGCGCGAGATTCCCTCCTCAAGTTCTGATCGCTCTTCCGAACCGCGAGCGTCCAAGCTCTACACACGTAGGTCKACGAGTCGTCCAAAGCAAGCGCCGGCGGAGCGCACAACTGCAGAGTTGATCGAGATCATGCAGCGACAGCCCGACTCCGCCATCGCACGGAAAGCGCGAGAGTTCATTCTCGGTCTCGCCATATGTCACACCGCGCTGCCAGAGGTAGATTCAAAAAATGGGAAAATCGATTTTCAGGCCTCTTCACCAGATGAACTTGCGCTTGTACGCGCCGCGCAGGACCTAGGTTATCTCCTCATTCAACGCTCATCGCGGAGTGTCGAGCTGCTCATCACTAACACAAATGGGAGCGAAACGAAAGAGCTGTACGAAATTCTCGAGGTAATCGAATTCAGCAGCAAGCGAAAGCGAATGTCGATTGTGGTGCGTTGCCCAAATAATCGCATCTGGCTGATCTGTAAGGGTGCCGACAGCGCCATCATTCCCCGTTTGCGACAAGCGGAGCTCGCTGAGAGGCAGTCGCAGGAAGTCCGGAGAAGTGTTGATTATGGACGCAGATTGGCAAGGAAAAGTGAGCAGAACGAATCCAGGAACAGCTTCGGCGCACGGCCCAGCCTGCAGATCCGCAGCAGAAGCTCCATGGATGTGCAAAGGTCAATTGGACTTGGGAGAGCAAACCTGGATGTCCCCAAGCCCAGTTATGAAATCCGGAGAAGTCTTCAGCAAGACCTCAACAATCTCGAGGACAAGGATGACACGGCGCTGTTTGCACGCTGTTTTGAACATATCGATGCCTTCGCGACCGAGGGGCTCCGCACGCTGCTATTTGCACACAAGTACCTCGACGCGGATGAGTACGAAACCTGGAGGAAGATCCACCACGAGGCTACAACGTCGTTAGTCCATCGTCAGGAGCGCATCTATGCGGCTGGTGAGGTGATTGAACAAGGATTCGACCTGTTGGGTGCTTCTGCGATTGAGGACAAGCTGCAAAAGGGAGTGCCTGAGACGATTGAGAAGTTGAGAAAGGCCAACATCAAAATCTGGATGTTGACTGGTGACAAGCGGGAGACGGCCATCAATATTGCCCACTCGGCAAGGATCTGCCAGCAGACTTCAGTAGTGACGATATTAGATTCCACCAGAGGAGATCTCGCTGGCCAAATGATGGACGCTCTCCAGGAGGAATCAGCGCACAGAGTTGTCGTCATTGACGGCCAAACACTGACAATCGTTTCCGCCAACCCGGAGCTCAAGCACACCTTCTTCAGCACTATAATCTCTCAGATTGATTCTGTTATTGTTTGTCGTGCCAGTCCGGCGCAGAAGGCTGCCATTGTGACTGCTATTCGTGCGCGTCTTCCTGGTCTTACCTTGGCTATTGGTGATGGAGCGAATGATATTGCGATGATCCAGGCCGCGCACGTTGGGATTGGACTTTCTGGGAATGAAGGTCTTCAAGCTGCACGTAAGTTGTCATTGGTKATCACTCTTTGGTATGTTGCTGACTATATCCTTCCTGCTTTCAGGTGTTGCCGATTTCTCCATTGCGCAGTTCCGCTTCCTGCAACGCCTTTTGCTTGTGCACGGACGATATCAATACGTGAGGACAGCYAAGTTTGTGCTCCTGACTTTCTGGAAAGAGATGTTCTTCTACATGATGCAAGCGCTGTATCAGAGACACAATGGCTTTACTGGCACTTCACTTTACGAGGCGTGGTCGCTGACAGTATTGAATACTTTGTAAGCTCAACCATCAATCCTCCCCATGCATCATCATGTTGCTGACTGATTACCCGCAGATTCACGTCCTTGTGTGTAATCGTGCCTGGAATCTTCGAACAAGATCTTCGACCATCTACGCTTCTCGCGGTGCCGGAACTATATGTCTTTGGACAGAGGAACCAAGGATTGAACATCCCCATGTATCTCGCCTGGATGATTCACGGGGGAGCGAATGGAATTATTGTCTGGTTTGTCATCTGGGCCGCCTTTGGCTCCACTAATGTAATGAGCGATCGTGGTCTCTTTGCCCTTGGCGACCTCGCTTTCACCTTGGGAATTGTCTGGACGAATTGGAAGTGTCTAATCCTCGAGACACAATACAAGACTTTGATCGTCGGCATCTCTCTCGTCATCACAGTGGGCGGATGGTTCGCGTGGAATGGCTTCATGGCAAGCGTGTACAGCAACAATCTTTCGCCCTATGATGTCAAGGGAGGCTTCAACGGGACTTTCGGCACCGATTGGAACTGGTGGCTTGCGCTCCTCCTCGCCCTGCTCATCCTCATCACGTTGGAGCTGGTGTATGATGCCGTCAAGAGAAATCTCATCGCTGCGAAGATGTGGCCGAGGTGGAGACATTTCTTGCCTCGTTTGGATAAGCGGAAGCAGCAGCAGCAGCAGGAAGAGATTGTTGTTGCGGAGGATATGGAGATTGAGCTCTGGCAGCAGATGGAGAGGGATCCTGTGATTGCGGAGCAGTTGCTGGAGATGGCTGGGGAGGAGGGAGGTATTGCGGAGGAGGAGGAAGAAGAGGAAGAGGAGGAGGAGGTGGTGTTGTTGCAGGATATTGAAATCGCGGAGCCGGAGAGGGGGAGAATGAGGAGGATGTTTTGGAGGAAGAAGGGATGAGGTTTGGAATGATGTGGTGGAGGTGAGATGATGTTACCTATGAGGTTTGTGAATGCCTATTATGACTTGGACGATGATACCCTTCGAGGCGGCGTGGGATGTACATACATACATATACATACAGACAGTTGATGCATGTAGAGAGCCCGAGGGCAAAGTTGTTGTTGCTGCCGCTAGTTGGGGGTTATCTTGTGAAGAGGAGGTGGTCCTGTAGCTAGGTAGTACCTCACCTAAGGTACCTTTGTCAAACTTGTGTGTTAGGTCGGCGATCAATCTCGCGCCGGATGAATTATCTACCAGCGGAAGCGCCTCCGTGTTTCATCTTGGACAGCACGAGGCAGGGGTACAGATCTACCTGATGATGATGATGATGATGCACCATCTTCACCTTCACGATCGCGACTGCTTGTTTTTGTACATAGCACGACGCGTGACTCTTTGCTGCAGGCAGCACATTCGATTAATCATACCTACCCTCTCGTCACTCTCTTCACCACCTGGCTTACCTCTTCAACACCCTACCTCTTCAACACCGACTTCACCTCCACACACCTCCGGATCCTTGTGCATTCCATGAACATAGCTGGTCTATCCCTCCATCATGCCGCTCAAGGCGCCCGAAGCATATGAGCTCGATCGCTCCGACAACAGCCCATTCCTCGACCCCGACGAAGACGAAGGCTCCGACGTCTCCGACATTGACGAGTTTGACCCCCTCAAAAACTCCCGCCGACGCTACACGGATGATGCATCACAACCACTGCGCAGCATCTTCGATAGCGAGAAGAATGTGTCGTTTGTGCAGCAGCCGTTGGTTTGGTTGGACGATCGGCGGAGACGGGGTAGTTGGCAGCGGTGGTTGATTCCGAGCCGGTTTTGCTGCTTGTTGGGAGTGTTGTTTGTGACTACGCTTTTGTTGCTGCTGAGTGCGGGTGGGCTTTGGGTCTATAGGATTGGCGGCGTGCCTGATGATGGGGAGTCCGAGGCGTGGTATCCCAGTCCGAATGGCGGGACGGTCGATGCGTGGAGGGATGGTTATGTCAAGGCCGCGGAGATGGTGGGGCGGATGACGTTGATTGAAAAGGTCAATGTTACGACGGGAACGGGATGGTCGATGGGAATGTGCGTGGGTAATACGGCTCCTGTCAATCGGGTGGGTTTCCCGAGTTTGTGCCTACAGGATGGACCTCTTGGCTTGCGGTTCGTGGATAATGCTACGGCTTGGCCGGCGGGGATCACGGTCGGAGCTACGTGGAACAAGGAATTGATGTATCAACGTGGTCRAGCGCATGGGTTTGAGGCGAAGATGAAGGGCATCAATGTCATTTTGGGTCCGTCCATGGGAGGGTTGGGAAGACTGCCTGCTGGTGGGCGGAACTGGGAGGGCTTTGGCGCTGATCCTGTCCTTCAAGCTGTTGGAGCTTCACAAACCATTCGCGGAATCCAAGATACGGGTGTTATCGCCACTGCAAAACACTTTGTTGGCAACGAGCAAGAACACTTTCGCCAGGCAAGAGAATGGGGCATTCCAAACGCGATATCGTCGAATATCGATGACAGGACYCTACACGAGGTCTACGCCTGGCCATTTGCAGAGTCAATTCGCGCTGGAGTCGCGAGTGTCATGTGTTCATACAACCAGGTCAACAACAGTTATGCCTGCCAGAACAGCAAGCTCATGAACGGGATGCTAAAGGATGAGCTCGGCTTCCAAGGATTTATTCAGAGCGACTGGCTGGCTCAGCGATCTGGTGTTGCTTCTGCTATTGCCGGTCTGGACATGTCGATGCCAGGCGATGGTCTCGGATGGCAGGACGGCGATTCCCTCTGGGGTGGCCAACTTACCAAGTCTGTGTTGAACGGCTCCGTGCCGATGGAGCGACTGAATGACATGGTTTTGAGAGTCGTGGCTGCATGGTACCAGCTCGGGCAAGATGATGCGACTCACTGGCCCAATGGCACTTCGAGCAGCTCCGCAACATTCAGCAGCTGGACTGATGACAAAGTCGGCAAAATCTTCCAGGGCGCATCGAACAGCAACGACACCGCCGTTGTAAATCAGTTCGTTGAGGTTCGTAACACGACAGAAGGCGGAGACCACGACATATTGGCTCGTAAGATTGCAGCCGAAGGTATTGTAATGGTCAAGAACGATGACAATGTTCTGCCGCTTGCTCGGAATGGATCTGGCGTTCACTCCACACGATATGGAAAGTCTCTGGGTGACAAGGTCAAAGTCGCCATCTTTGGCGAAGATGCTTTTGCGAACCCACGCGGCCCCAACGCTTGTGTCGACCGTGGTTGCAATGAGTATACATTGGCGGTAGGCTGGGGCTCAGGTGCTTCCGATTTCCCACATCTCATCGCCCCCTTCGACGCTCTCAACGCCACTTTCAATCACAGCAGCTGGGATGTCACACCTTTCAATCATCAGGGAGCCAAGCATGCAGGCGAGCTTGCCGAAGAGCAGGACCTATGCATTGTATTCATSAATTCTGATGCAGGTGAAGGTTTCTTGAGTTGGGGTCATCTCCGGGGAGACCGCAATGATCTATATTCCCAGAAGCAGGGCGATACGCTTGTGGTCGAGGTAGCGAACAGGTGCGGAAATTCGCACAATACGCACGGGTCTGCTGCCAATACGATCGTCGTCTTCCACACCGTCGGTCCGGTGGTGGTCGAAAAGTGGATTGATATGCCGGGAATCAAGAGTGTACTCATTGCCCATCTTCCAGGGCAGGAGTCAGGATATGCACTCGCAGATGTTATGTTCGGCGATGTCAATCCATCTGGCAAGCTTCCTTATACGATTGTAAAGGATGAGGATGACTTTGGACCGGACAGTAAGATTTTGACCTTCCCACACCAGCTCGTTCCGCAGCAAAACTTCACCGAAGGTCTTTATATCGACTACCGATATCTCGATAAGCATAACATCACCCCTCGATATGCATTCGGTCATGGGTTGAGCTACACAAATTTCCAATTATCGTCTGTTGTGGCTCAAAGTCTGGACATTCAAGGCGAACTCCCAGCTCCCCGACCAGAGCCGTCCGCAAAATCACCGACACTCGACACGACGATCCCTGACGCGGCATCTGCAGTCTGGCCTGAAGGTTTCAAGAAGTTGAAGAAGTTCATCTATCCTTACATTGACTCGGCTTCTGATGGCAAACCCAAAGGCCCACCCCAACTTCCCTACGATCCCGCAAATCCCCACGCCCTTTCCCCAGCCGGTGGCGCTCAGGGCGGTAATCCAGATCTTTACACCCCCGCCGTGGCCGTCAAAGCCTCTCTCTCGAATGTGGGAAGCTTGACGGGTAAAGCAGTGGTGCAATTGTACCTGAGTTACCCACCGGAAGTCAAGGATGCGGATGGTGAGATTGTCGACATGCCAATCAAGGTCCTTCGCGGGTTTGAAAAGTATGAAGTCGAAGTCGGACAGGATCAAATCCTGGACTTTGAACTGACGAGGAAGGATTTGAGTTATTGGGATGTGAAGCGACAGAACTGGGTGCTGCCAAAGGGAGAATTCACTGTTGCATTGGGCTTCAGCTCGGCGGAAATGGCTGGCCAGGCGACGGTTACGGTGTTGTAGATGCGTGGAATTGGAGGCTGAATTTTTGATCGAGGAGTGAGTGGATTGGGTGTGTTTGTTTATCGAGGCGTTGGTGATATTTGAGGAGAACAGCACTTGTGTACATACATACCGGAGGTAACCACCTACGGGAAAGGGAGAGAGGACTCGGTTGTACTTACACCTTAGCGAACGGAGCATGGATTCGATACCCTTTGTAGATTATTGCCTGGAATTGAAACGGAACCACCTTGTTGTAAATTGAGATTTTGTTTCCTCCGCTGGTTATGAAAAGTTCCAAATACTTACACACTTAAGTATCTGTAACCAAGTGAGGTAGCTAGCTCTATGAATGTTCGTAGATTTTGTAGGATTCAGCAAGCTAGGTATGAAATCGATCTACCCCTTAGGAATTCGTGGCACTTCTTCATGTGGCTTAAATCTCGACGCAAAATCATTCGCTCTGACTTATGGAAGGGGGGGGGGGGGGATCATCGAGCTCGACTTTATTAGGATTGCGTTTGAATAGGTAGATCCAACTAAGACTACCGCGCTGGGGGACTGTTCAAGCTCTGCGGATTATGAGAACATTTCGAGCAAAATCTCATACGGCTGCATTCTATATCTCGACCTGATAATATGCTGCTTACCAAGCGTGTCGTCTCTTCATGCCGGGACGCCTCATCCACCGACACGAGAAGCTCTTATCCTAGTGATAGCTTGGGCACTCACCATCTCCGCGGCAGTGTCTTGGCACGGACATATAGTCTACAAGAGGCAGCTCTTGTTCGAACTTTAGACAGACTATCGAATCTTCTTCTTCACTCATTTTCACGCCACTATAGTGTCCACGTTGATCGATCGCCCTAAGCTCTTTTAGTAAGGACTATATCAAGAGCCTATAATCCCGTCCATTCACTCGGTAATGTACTGCAAATACTTCCCTCATCTCAAGTGCATGCGCGATGCAAAGCTYTCTTTATGGTTGTTGTGTTAAGTTCTGGTTTACGCCCTTCACTGGTGAGCTTTGAAGCCAGCCGAATCTCGGATGAGCGTAGGCGCTTCAACAGATGATTTCATCGACGCATGCTACTAAAGACCTGCTCCGAAGATGGTGGACTCTACACCAAACGACGATAGGATGGTCACGCTCGAACCAGCAGTCTGAGACGACGACCCAACCACGAGGTGCTTTGCTTCTTGCTCACTTGGCTGATTCGGTTCATCTTAATACTTCTTCAACGTCTTACGAATAAACAAATGTTCAACCTTCACTGGCGATTACCTGATCGTAGATGACATCCAGCGGCTTGGCAAGCTCATCCGCCAGATCCATCAAAGCATCCCAATCCTTACAGATATGAGTGGCACCCAATCCAAGTGTTCGGTCTGTAATATTGCTCCCGGGAGTGATGCCTTCGAGAGCCATGTCCCCTGCGCACATGAGAGATTGCCGGACGTAGTCGAAGCAGTGATATACGTGCTCGACTGCCAAACTTGCTGGAAGCTTGTGTCCATGAGTTGATGCGAGATAGGCACGGAATATCAGTCCCTAGAGTTGTTGATATTTATATGTGAGCTTCCTTCCCGTCGACCAGCACACTCGAACAAGGGCTCACACTCACCAGACAGTGTACTCCATGGAATGCTGCCATTCCGTACATATTGACGGCTGTGCCGTTGGGCGTCGTCAAAGGAGCTACCAAGACGTAATCCTCTGGATTGTCGACTGTAAGAAAGCCTCGACCCTCTGTGCATCCCGTTAAACCTTGAACTTCGCCATGGTTATGAGAGACAACGTACCAGGCATAAACGCCTTCTTCCAAGTTGTAGCAACCAGCTGGTCCTTTTCCGTGTAGTTCATCTTCTGATCATATGGAATGTACTCCGGAGCCTTACGAAATACAACCGTCTTGAGCGGTACTGCAATTCCGAGTCGTCAAACTATGCATTTCCGATATACTGGACCAAGAACGCACCCTTTGGAATTAACCCGTTGACTTCCTCCGCCAGATTTCGGACTGGTTGGCAGGAGTTGCTATGCTCTGCTGCTCGCCAAAGCAGAGATAATAGTACCACGTTGAACATTAAACTCCCAGCAAGCATCCCGATCAAAATGGCTGGTAGGGAAAGACATTTTCGTTGACGCTTTCGCTCGCGGAAAGTTGGTGAGGGCTCATCTTCTGACTCGGACGATAAGACCTTGGTATACTTCTCCATCGTCCCGAATGTGAGATGCGTGAAGCTGCTGAATTGAAAATGCACAATTCTTGTCTTCAGTCGGCAGGCTGACTGATGACTTCGATGATGGAGGATGGTGGGGAGACGGAGCAATGCATTGCCAACCGGGAATACGTGTCATGGTCCCGATCCATGTAATATCGTGGCATGATGTCCAGTTCTTCATGTCGGGATATATAGCGTGGCACCCCTGTCCAATCCTGGTCGCTGAAGCAAGTCCCATGAAGATTATCATCAATTCACCATGAAACTACGACCAGGGTGCTACGGTCTATTCATCTTATTGTCTTGGCTATGCGATGTCTCTTCTGATCAGGAGACAGCTTGTAGGTTCCAATACCCTGTCCGGATACATACAGTAACCTTCTTATTAAGGACATCACGATACTAAGCTACTGATGTACCGTAGCAATTTGAGACTTTGTAAAGGCGGCGCCCCTGAAGCTACGAGGTGTAACTCCGTAAGTCGTCGAAGTGCGATATACGTAAGCGCAGCCCCTTCGCGACAATCGTCGACTGCTAAAGAGCTCCCAAAAGCCCCGGCATTTCTCAAGCTATTAAGGTACGATGCTTATAAGCTCACCGTCGGTAGCTGCTGTGTGTGGGGATATAGGTAGGGGCAACGGCGTGAACTGTACCCTACATGGTTCGATCTTCACGTGCGACAGCTGTTGTACATGGAGAAAATCCCGCTTATGAGAAGCTTTATCAAAGAAAAAGAATACCTACCAACGTCGTCAAGGACGAGGACGGTTTCGACGCAATTTCTAACAGAATCGGTCAACTCCCCTTAACAAGCCGGAGATTCTAGAGCTGATCTTATACGGCTTGTGGAATGAATACCTATGGGGTTGCAGGGCAGGACAACAACTCCCATAACATTACAGGAGCTCCTGATCAGGATTTTACGTTCATCGATAGCTGTTGCAGGGGTGGAAGCTCAAAAGCTTCTGTACAATGGGTGTCCCGCATACAAGAGTACTTACTTGGCGAGCTTCCTATCCCCGTAGGTACTAAAGCTTGCATCGTGGCCTTGTGAATGGACAATGCCCCTTACACCAGGCGAAACAGAAGTTTTTCATCCCTCTACTAACYAGGAGCGGAAAGTTCCGAATAATTCTGTATGCACGACTGAGATTGTAAGGGTATAGGTAGGGGATGATCGCATAGGACTACTATTCTGACTCGCACGATCAGTGATCTCTAGAAGCTATTACTGGGTTGATTCCTTGCTCATAGAGCTCCAACCTCAAGGTCAACGCAATCGGCCGACGGCGAGCCTTTCGATGAGACTGCATGGTGGAGCTCATAACGGTCAGGGAAAGAATCTGACATCCGTGTATAATAAACGTCGTAGCCCGCGTGGTCCATCGCAAGAGTATTTCACACTCAACTCCAGATCACTCTCAAGTCCAGATCACACAAGACCCAGGGATACATTGAGACCATCGAATCGTGTCAACACTCGCAGAGCTATGCATTTGAAGAACATAATTGGGGTTGTCGCAGCCTTTATGGGCGCGTTGGCCTGGGCTGCCCCAATCAGCAGTGTCGACGATGCTGCTGCACCCGATGGAATGAACCAGAGTGAGTCCTTATTCATGTAGACCTCTTCCTCAGTATCGACCCGTTCTGACTTGACCAGAGAGAGGATGCTGCTGGAGCGAGTGGACCAAAGGGGACGATGACCCTTTCGAAGAAGCTATTGCTGCAGCAGAGGCAGATGGAAAAGATGATGAGTAGGCTCGCCATGGCGATATGCGAAGCCTATGGTTTGTCCTACGATGTCAGAAGGATCTAGGAGGAACCATATACGAATCGAGTGACTGAGGAGCTGTTTCTACTATGCGCTGTAAGCAGGTGATTGAATGGATGCTTATGAGAGGAGGAAGTAAACGGAAGTCGGAGGTTATTTCGCGCTTTGAGCATAGACCACGCGCTAGTGCCGAACTAGGCGCTACGGCATGTGAATGTGAATGAAACGTCTAGCTTCAAGCTGAGTGAAGATATGGCGCGCATGATCGAAGTCAAACTTGCGAGTAGCTGAATGATATTCCTGAATCGTAAGTCTTATCGCCATAGTACTTTACTATCGGGAGCTAATTGAGAAATGTCATGTCCGTGCCCTTTTTCATCCTAGACGCCTGCCCGCATGGTTGTTGTAATAAGGCCTTTTAGCGTTGGCTGAACTACTGATGTCATTTGGACCATCATCTTCGTAGCATCGTCTGCTTCGTCGATCACCATGGACGGTCTGCTGGCTTTGTTAAAACTATTTCGATGATGTCCATCAGGGAGTGAAAGTGGTGACGGGTCGTCGGTAAGCCCGAATGACTCGATCTTGATCAAAAGAACCTTTGAAAGTACAAGGAGGCGAAGTCTACATTGCATCAAGAGTACATTCTGAGGTTTCTATTCACCTTCTACACACCAAAGCTGTTAGTCGGCACGAAAGAAGAGGAAGAGCCGGAATTGAGTATCAGGAGGGAGAAAGTTAAGCCAGGATACATGCTGGCGAGAGCTGAATAATTCCAACCGAAGATATCCAGCACTTCACTCATACGGAGAGAATTGCCGTTGTTAAGAGATCTTGTAAGGAAATAATTAAGCTCATACTAGAAAGAACAGCTGGGCGTAGACATAATACCCAATACCGAAAAGCTCTCATCTCACAAGTTCAAAGGCAGATGGAGGAGTCGATGCAAAAACCAAGATTCTAAAATTATTCCATCATAACTGATGTCTGAAGTTGCAGCTACTCGCCTGACCCAAGCTCGTCTTCATGTTGTAGCAACAGCCTTGACAACATGCATAGCGCAAATGATCTGGCTTTGCATGCTCATTGAACGCATCCTTGTGCTGTCTGCTCTTCGCGAACGCGTTGTTGTTCTTCGGTATCCTTTGCACACTTGCGAAGATATCTCAACATCTTGGTAATCCTCTTATCGGGCCAGCAGGCGTGACCGTGCATTGCGTCGGTCAATTCTTCCAATGTACAAAACCTGTGGCGTTGTGATTTCCCCCTCAGGTGGGCCCGGAAGTGATCCCCAGCATTGTCAGGGCGTCTGACGTTTTGGGCCTTGCATCCTTCCAGGGGACAGCTGTAGGGAACCTTCCACATAGGCTTGTGCTCGAGCCGAATGTGCTCATCGAGGGCCCGACGCAATCGGGGGTGGAATGTACAGCCACATTCCTTGCCGTCATTGTCCTTGAAATCGCACTTCAAGTCTTTCATCGGGGACATTTTCCTCCATCTCTTCCTCACTCTCTCCACCTCCCTCCTCATCCCAAGGACATTTCATGTCGTCAATAGGCCACAACTTCGAGACGAGCTCCCGCGCCTCCATCCACTCATAATCCCAATCTCCGTCCGAGCTAGGATCATGTTAATGATTCTCCTCGAGACAATTTCAAGCGAAAGACCAGCGTACCTGACCTGTATTGCCTGCCCAGACAGCTGGCTTGCGCGGAGGAGAATCGCCGAGACACTGATATCATAATCTTTCCCCGCAGTCTTGCAACAGTCGAAATCTATGCAGATGGGCTTGAGAACAAAGTCCTCGTGGGATTCGTCGTATCCATTCAAGTCAATCGCATYATCATCAATGGATTTACGCAGACGAACTCCAGCAGCCTGAACAATCACACGCGCATCCATGACCAGCAGTGGCCAGTGTTTCTCCCATACTGCTTGAGTTTCGGAGGGGATTTTCCAGTAGTGGGTGTAGCCCATGATGTTGTCTTAAAGCAATCTTGGAGAGAAGAGAATAATAATAATAATGAGCAGTGTGAGCCATCGCTGCCGGGGACTCTTATAAGTATGAAATTGTAGAAATATCTGCCAGCAAATCATTGGCACTGCTGCCTGTGAGAATTGGTTCTGCCTATGGCTATGTAAGGGGTAGTGACACAAACTAGGCGGAAGCGAAATACTTACATGGTTGCAAAGGTGGATCTGTATCATGGCAAACAGCCCATTGATACTGCTGGCTGTGAAGAATCGTTTCTGCCTGGGGCCAAGCAAGGGATGGTGACACGAACTAGGCGGAAGCGATCATTCCAATGCTTAGATGATCGAAAAAGTGGATCTGCATCATGGCACTACCAAAGAACTCAGATCATGCAGCGTCTCAACCCATAGGGTGATCTTGCGCATCCTAGCGCTCGTGCGTTGGTAGTCGAACCGATTCTTAGGTGACTTTAGCAAAAGCGAACATTTGGCCATTGAGAATAACCTCCGAATACAAAGAGACGATTTAACAGATTTTCAGACTTGGACGTACTCCTCCTAGCACTACAACTTCACTTTCTTCCACTAATGATGTATCCACCGACGATGTACCTCTATCTCCACCAAGCCAATCTCTGCCAAGGTTGAACACAGTACAGTGCCTAGAATGGTTTATCAGCCAACAGCATGACCTACCTACCTGAGCCTGCGTTCACGGTATTGATACCTGAAGTCAGTGGTCCGCAATCTAAAAGAGGGAACCGAAGCTAGAACTACAAAATCCGCTGAAGAATTGGCGGGTCTTCAAGATCTTTGACAATCATACTGGCATTGTCGTATGTACCTTGCCAGCATTTCATAACCACCTCTCCAATCAAACCTAGGGATTCTGTTTTTGGAAAGTCCTTTCTCACATATGTATCCTCGATCTCCTTGTCTGTAAGGGTGCCACAAGGCGGTTCCCCAGTCGTGATTTCATACAGGAGAGAGCCAAGCGCGAACCAGTCGCCCTTCGCTGATCCCGCATACACTGCATGTGCATGGCTTGCCGTAACATGGACAAGTAGAGGCGAGTCGCGCAACGAAGAGCCGGAGAAATCGGCCACTTTGGCATTCAACTCCTCATCCAGAAAGACATTGGCACATGTCAGGTCTCCATGAACGACGCCCACTTGATGTATGAACATCRAGCCTTTTGCGATTTACGTAGCCCACTGCTGGCGCTGACCAGAAGAAATTGTGCCAGCGTTGTGATGGAGGTAGGTCCGCAGGTCATGCTTTGATGCATACTGGAGCCTGATCGACGAGTCGTCATGTGTTCCAARGTATTTCAATATCCCCGGGTGACCACCGCATTCTTCAAATCGTTCGTATATATGCTTCTCGGCATCTATGAAAGGTTGCGCCACTTCGTCGTGTGCAGATTTGACGACTGTCTTGGAGGATGAGTCAAGGCATACCAGCCCGAAACTACCCCAGGCTAAGATGTCCTTCAGAGAGAAACCGTCAGGATACTGTATTTCGTCGTCCATTAAGGCGGAAGGAGGACTCTGTTCGCGCGAGTGCGTAGGTAGAGGTTGCAATTCACCGCAGACAATTCCCCTAAATCTTCTTGATGCGCTAGTACAAATTAGGATTAGCCCCGATTGCCATGACGCTTATCCTTTTCTAAAATACACCCCGTCTTGTCGCCAACTTCATAATAWCGCTCGGCTATACAACAGTCGACCAGAATGCCATTCTTAGCACGATGGAGGCAGCGACACAAGAACTCATCTATTTTCGTTCCAAGATGATCTGGTGGCTCTTGATCTAGTTTGCACTTACCCTTGGTGTGGTTTGCGGGCCTTGTTGTTAAAAGGATGGCCGCAGTAAACTATCATGCTCCCGATAAGTGGGTCCACGGGTTCCAGAGCTCGCAACGATGTGGTTCTCACCTTCAGCTGAGGCTGATCTATTCTCGTCCCCTGGCTCCCCTCACACTTTTCGTCCAAGAGAACTTGGAGTATACCTTCTTTGGCATTCCGTCGTGGCAGGAGTTCTAATCCAATCCTGTGTAAAATCACTGCGACGGCTGGATATGTCGATTGATTCCCCTTTTCATTGGACTGGAATGCTTGGGTAGAGGCAGCCTGGGTATGCGTCAGCAAATTATGCTACCGTCCCGGAATACTGAGCCACACCGAAGTTCCGGCCGGCAAGACATTTTATCGTGATACATCGCTGCAAGGAGAGCTTTACATGCGACTACCGAATGGAAGGCCTGACGTTTCCGGGTCGACGGGTCCCTTCTGTCTTGTTTCTCCGGTTCGACTGTTGGAACTTTTTTGTCCTGACCTTCTTCTCCTGGCTGGAGCAAAGGTAGCTTGGAGCCTGACTTTCATTATATGCGCCTTCGAGGCGTAAATCTAGAAGCCGCTACAGCTGTGCTGACGTGGGATAAATCTCTGGATGCTATTTAAAGATGTTGTCTCACAACGCAGCGTCCTTGGCTAGTAAGGTATTACACCTCCCTCTACACGAGGCCTTGACTTCCCACAGTCATTTCTAGAACATGTCTTGCACGCCGAAACTTGATGATCATACAGCTTATGATCCGCTGAATGATGACAAGTCTTCTCAGGTACTCTCGCGATGTTGCGCAGCCCACTATTTCGACACACTAACCTTGCGTAGATGCATCGAGGCCCTCGGAAAGGTCTTCTGAGCTTTACAGCAGACAACGTTACTATCCCGCTGGCATTCTTTATTGGCACAGGAGGCGCGATTGCATGCTTTTGCTTCACCTATTGGCTCAGTAACCAGATATTCGACTGCCCCGACTGGGCTCTGGATTGTTCCGTGTCGTCTTTCGTCACGACTCTTCACGACGAGATCGCGCTTGTTCAAGGTATAACCTCGACCATATACGGTATTTGCATGTCATGCATGGCATATGCCACTTACCAGCTGGCCGAGACGACTATTTGGCCTACCTTGACTCAGAGGACCTTTGATTTGGACACTATCGATCGTTACCTGTCTACGACGCGTGGATCGATTGCTTCGGCACCACTAGCAGTGCTCCACTCACGAAGGTTCAATAAACTTGCTGTTTTGCTAGCAGTCACCATTCTTTCGCTCCTTCTCAAGGCTGACGCGACTGTTGTGGGATATGCTTTCAACATTGGCACTGTTCCGACCACGTTAACAAGCAGCCAAAAGACCCAAGGAGGCATCGGTTTGGCGTTCAGGCAGATGAATCCACCTCCCAGCTTGCCTGGTGCCGTTACTGTGGCCATAACCAACTACCAGACATGGGCCTACAATCAGGTGGAAGAGCCGATGTGGCAGCAGAGAGAGTTCATGATTGACAGAAGGCAACTGCTTGCACTTGGCAATTTCACGGCCAAAGCGGTCAAGGTGGATATGAAGCAAAACTGCTCAGCATGGCGCACGGATCTTTCCGGGGAACTGCACCGGGTCAACGGTGACAAGCAATGGAAAGTCGCGACGAATATGGACAAGTTTTCGGATTCTTCTGTTTCGCTACGGCTACATTCAGAGCTCACAGTGTGGGTGGACCACTACAGAAAAAACGGCGATGCCTCCGCTACAACGAGACTAGTCTTTGCTGCGATCAACGGAGATATTGAAGGTGGATACCTCAATATCCCGCCATCCGAGTCAGAGATGTATACGGATGGCGTCGAGGCGATTTCGACGCTGGCATGCGACGTCAATGTCCAGCTTGTCGACAGCTCCGTGTGTACCTATCCGACACCAGATTTGTGCCCCTCTTGGAATCAAGATAAGCCACTGAGCGATTTGACAAATCTTAAATCTCCTGGTCGAATGGGACCAATAGGGCATTGGCAAACTGCTGTGTGGCTAGGCGCAATGGCCTCACTTGTGGGAATCAGCGTCTCGGGAGCACAGCCATTGTTCGAGGCAGGTCCTGCCCTTTCATCCCAGAACAACATCACTCTCCCGATTCCCTGGACCAGCGATGTCAGCCAGAGACCGTATCCTGCTTATAGCTGGACCCATTCCCAATTGAACGCCTTCGTGAACACCAGTGCCGGGGCTTTGACGACTGCCATAACGAAACGATGGGAGTCGGACCCTATCACCATCCAGTCTTCTAAGCTACTGAATCGCATGCAGACTTCGCGCTCATACCTAATGCTGTTGCCCGTTGCAATGACTCTCGCTAGTCTCGCAGCAATGCTGGTGTTAACAAAGACAATGCATCGATCTTGCAAAGTGGACGTTATACGACTTGGAAATACCACTGAAATGATTGACAGCACTCAAAGCCTGGATATGGCAGATGTCGTGGAACAGGCGAGAAAGTCCTTGGATACCCGAAAGGCTTTGTCAAAAGTAAGAGTTCGCTATGGGTTTCTCGCACAGGGTGGTATTGGGCTAGCGGAGACGACTAAGGTGACTGCTCTTCGTAGAGGTGTTCTTGGCCGAGATTACCTATAGATGTTTATGAGAATGTAAGGGAATACCTGGACTTCTAGAATGTGGACTATTCGCAACTAGTGATATGACCACGATCAAATGTTTTGCTTGCCTTTATTAGGCGCTTCTTTAAGACGGCAAGCCTCTTCCTAGAATTTACTCTCAATTTCTTTGAAGCGAATGAGGCAGTAATCAGAGACGGTAGTATCTTATATAGAGTGTTCACTGAAAAAGATAAGGACAAGGCAAATATCCACACTATAAACATATTCAGCGTGCGCTACAAATGATAAACGGACCCAGTTAATGTCATCCGCATACATGCATTAACAATCTAGTAAGACGTATGTAGGGAGGAGGCCGGTGCATTGAGGAGGATTATGCGAAAAGGAGCTTTTGCATTCACTTTGTCATGGGATTCAAACTCTATTTTAGCTTGATTGCTCAACATCTTATTCCATCGGATGTTGGCATTCTGAGCCGATAAGATCCTAGACACATAACACATAGGTCATTACGTACCGAGATTCATCCGCTCTTTATAGACGCGACGGTTGTGTTCCTATTCACCGTGAGTCGAGGAACAAATGTCGAAGAAACGTGTACGGTTGATTCAATCGTCTTTTGAACACAACGTCCCTTTGCACCGGAAGCCGGTCATGATCCGACCATCGTTACACCGGCCGGATAGTCGTGACGACGGGAGTATAAATGTATCAACTTGCGTAGTGCAATCTCATTCCGACAGTGGCACCATGTACTTGCTAGATACACACACGAATGAACAGACACACCCCCCCTGATAGCCTCAAAATTGAAACGTATCTCCAGCATCAAATTCCGCTGACCATCCTGATCAATTCCAACTCTCCACCTGATTGGATCCGATAGTATCTGCCAAAGACCCAGTTATCTCTATCATAGCTCTACTCGCTACACACCACGGTGTAGAAGGTAACATCGTCAACGTCCTGGGCGGTGACCTTCTTCACACCTTCAACATCGATTTCCTTGTCGGCTGGAATGCTCGAGGAGCAGCCTGTACCTTCCCGGGAGAGCTTGAAAGCGCACTTGGCCCAGCCGACGTTGATTCCGACGTCGACACACGCAAAGGTTGTCACGGTTTTCGAACGTGCACAGTTCGTGGTGGCACTGTTGCCTTTGATCGTCTCGCTTTTCCCAGTACACTGGTTGTTGACGGCCGATCCAAAATACCCAACCAACTCCCACTCATCTCCAGCCCGCGGTGAGATGGCGATTGTTTTGTTGAAGTCAGTCTCGAGAACAGCAGCCTCGATGACATCGTACGTGGCTATTGGGGTCGCTGCAGCCCATGGGAGAGCCAAGCCCAACAATGCCACAAAAGAGAAGTTGATCTGGTCGAAAATGTGTTAGATACGAATCGACAGACAGTGAAGTATTCGAGGGGGACTGCACCTTCATATTGTCTGAGATTTGAGGTGAACGATCTGATATGGGTGTAATTTGATACGCTGTTGAAGATGCTGGGGATGTCGCGGCCACCCTGACTCTATAAATCTACGTTCCGAGTTCAGACGAAGTCCCTCGGGTAGAAAGCAAACGGACGAGGCTGGCTGCAAACGACGGAAAAATCATCTCTATCCTTCGTCCTGCGTCTACCTTCATGTAGCGTCTACCCTTCGCCCAGCGTCGATCATTCGTTCTGCGCCGATCCTTCGGTCTTGTGCCCGATCCTTCTTCCTAAGTGGAACAATCGCTCTGAACTTATCCTTGGTCTCGCGTCTATCCTTCGTCCCGCGTCTATCCTTCATATAGCGTCTATCCTTCGTCCTGCGCCGATCCTCAAGACCACTCGTTCTGGATTTTAGTTCAGAGTCTATCGTTCGCCCTGCGTCTATCCTCCATGTAGCGTCTATCCTTCGTCCTGCGTCTATCCTGATCTCTAGGACCTACGTGGATCGGTCGCCTTGTGCTGGAATGACTTGTTTGGACTACTACATGCGTGTCATCGGTGTATTTAGGAAGCAACCTCCCCGTGCAAGATGTGTCTCCATCAGCACCAAACATCAACTCAAGCCAGCATAGCGAAGCAGCAACCACAACTTATGTGAGTAGCATCGATTCGGCCTCGGGAAACTTTCAATGTGCACATTAGACTGACATGTTCTTCCTCTGAAAAGCAAACATCCATCCAAACCTGCACAATGAAGACAAGCAACGCAGTCGCTGCTCTCGCAGCCATAATTGGCTTCACCAACGCCTTCTTGTTCACCGATTGCAATTCTGGCGACATCACCAACTTCGGCGATAATAAGTGCCAGATCTGGACCGCCGATCGATGGTCTTACGAAAGCGATGCAGGCTGCGAGTTGGCGGTGTATTCGGCTGGGAATTGCGAAGGAGAGGATTTTGTTACCAGCGTCCAGGATGGATGCATGTCTGCTCCATTCCGCCCCACGTCTGCCATCTGCCGCAAATAAGGGCGGAATGATGATCGAGTATCGGGCCAGGCATGCTCAATAACGTGGTCAGTGTGGCGCATCTTCATAAATTCATAGGACAATGAAAGATGTATAGCTCTTTGCAATCTCTCCCAATTCCTGGGCGCGTCAAAAACTCTCTTGGTATCATGAGTCCATGCATCGGATCCAACAATGAGCTCGTGAATCGCCTGGCTGTGAGTTCTCAGCCCCACACGCTGTCCCGTCTGACGATGGAACATTTCTAGACGCAGTAAAACATGTGATGTTCTCATCTTCCGCCTGATCATTGATGCGAACGGGTTGATTTCTGCAGTCCTGTCTGTTCGGTGGAGAATTTACAAAGTAAATCGAGCAATGCAAGCCGGCCTGTGAAGGACAAAGATGTGCTCGACCCACGCAAAAATCGGCATTTCCAATTGTACCACAAGCTCTCACCCTTTGGAGCCCACGTTGCGATAAGTCGCCTCCTTTTTATCATAAGTGAAAAGGGTGTGTTTGCCCGTCCACTTGCTATCCAATGTGATGTCAAAATGAGTAGACGTGGATGAAGTGGGTTCATCTTGCGGTGTTTGATCAGAAGCCTCTTCGCGGTCTACCAGTTCCCATCCCTTCTCATCGCTCTTGGTAGACGTTGATGGGGTAGTTGTGGCTGCTATAGATTAGCAATCAGCACACGTACTTCTCATTCACTCGATGTCTGTTCATGCGTACCATGTTGTGCAGAGTTTGTTTGATTTGCAGGCCGATCTTTCTCCTGCACTTTGGTGATATCTTCTCCCGAATGAGACATATTAAGGCCAGGATGTTCTTGACAGTGGAGAGTTGGAGAAGTAGAATATATGCCAGGGAGATATGACAACACAGATGAAAGAGACGCGACCACCCTTGGAGATATGTAGCAGCTTTTGACTCGCTGCCAGTTGCCACACGAGACTAGTACGTGTCCCACGCTAGATAACCCAACCGGAACAGAACTCCCGGAAAGCTGCAGCCTAGAAATTGGCCCAGCCTGTGGGGGCAGGGGGTTCACTTCGAGCAAAGATCGGCCCGGGTCCTCCATCTCCGTGCGTAAAACAATCGCTGAGATGGGTGACCATTATACCTCGTGTGGTGCTCACATGACGCACTTGTGTACAACTTGGTTAGTCTTTTTTGATGCATCATCGTTCAGTGGTTCCGTTTTGCTGAGCTTTTGGAGGCATCGAAGCAACAAGTAGTTTGGTTGTGTCGAGAAATTCGACGCTGCCTAGCGTTCTGGAACGAAGCGGTAACGTAAGAGTAGTAGTACTTTTCGTCTGTCCTTTTCTTCAGACGATCTGCATCCACACGAATAATACCCTAATCAGAGAGTGGGCGCTGCCAATCTACCTCAGCTGCAAGTCTCATGTGCTCATGGTGAAGCTCACGTCCGTTCTGGGCCTCGAACCAGAAAGCCCATGTGCTCTTCGTGTTGATCTCCAGATTGTTCCTACTCGAGATAAGTCCGACGTGCTGGACGACCTGGGGCGCCAATGCAAATCGCTCGTAGCCTGTCCGATCTGCGTACTCTTCTATCAGAGCATCAGTCTGGCCACCCCGTTGATGTCCCCGCAATTCTTCTAGAAGATCAACCGCTCCAGATCGTGGAAACACAAGAGCCTGGGTACAGCAGCCGAACTTGTCCATGCGCTCAACGCCGTTCAGGGGAAACAGATTATATTTCCCCACCATGAAGAAGAAAGTTGCGAAAGCTGGGGCTGCGACCAGGGTCAGCACAGAGATGGTTGCTAGATCCAGCCATGTCCGCGCTCCCGGATAAAAGGACCGGGTAGAGAACAGCATCATAGCTGAAGAAGCTGTAGCCACGAAGTAGAAAAGGGGCTTATTGCGATACCAAAAATCGCTTTCTACCTCCCAGCCAAGCGAGGTCTCGGTGTAGAACAGTCGCAAGTACAGCCAGTGGCTTGAGCGACTTTCGAGTTCCTCCAGAGCAAGCATAGTTTTCGAAAGCCAACCCTCCGCGAAGATGACATCATCCTCTAGAACTGCGATGTAAGGTGCTCTGGTTTGGTTGATACACTGCTCAAGAACATACGTGTAGTCTCTGTATTCTAGTCAGATTTCACATCGTATCTGAGTTGTTAACAGAGCGATAAACAATGCTCACATAATTCCCTTTACATAGAAGTTTTCCTTAGCTTCGACGGCTCGAACTTCATTTATCTCGGATTCCGAGAGCTTATAGCCCGACTAACTATCTACTACCCGAAGCTAGG